CTGACATCAATCACACAGCTGGGAAACAGAGGGGCTGCGTTTTAAAGTGGATCTTTGTGACCAACTCCAAAGCTTGCCAGGGTGCCCCTCGTAAGCTCTCTGAGGCCTCCAGCCTGGATCCAAACTATTCACGCCCCACCAAGCCTCTCTTTCAATTAGTTGTGCCCCTCTAAACACTCCCCAAGGGTAAGATCTACCTTTCCCAGCACCCCAAACTAAACAGGGCCAGCCTCAGCCCCTTCCTTCCAGCTGTCCACTGTCTGTCGGAAAGCAGAGGCTCTGGACAAGGGGGTGGGGGCAGGGTGCAGAGGGGCACAAAGATTTGGAAGCCAGCAGGAAGACAAAAGAATGACAAGAAGGAGCAGCTGTTTGTAAAGGGAAACCTGAGACGGCACGAAGCTCAGGCCCTAAGCCCAGGCTCGTGTGGAGCCAGGGTAGGGGTCTCCCCAAGGTCAGGGACTCTGGGGGCAGGCAGACTGGAATGCTGGGCCCCACTCCAGGGTGGGTCCCCCCTCCCCTATGCTCAGACAACCCATGCCCCCTTCCTCTTCCTGGGCGAAGATCCCTGCCTCTTTCTGCTGCTCTCCTGCTCTCATCCCATGGGTTTGGGGGCTCCTTTCTTATTTCCCTCTTTTCACACCGAGGTCTCCTTTAACTTGCCCCGGTGCACCCCTCCTCCTCCCATTCCTGGTAGTAATTTTAGCAACTTTTCCTCTGAACTCCCGCTGGCATGTTCAGAGCAAATGGCCCCTGTTTGGACCTGACACTTGATCAGGGTGGTGACAGAGCCCAGACAAAGCAGTCACAATGCTGGGGAGGGGAGGGCAGGGGAGACAGATTACCTTCCTTCCACTCCAGGCCTTATTTGGTCTACCTTGGTGAGGCTGTCCTCCCTCCAGCCCCTCTTTATTTATAGCATTTTGCTCTGCCCTCCTTTGTCTTATCTGCTATCACTCTAACACACCCGGCACTCTCCCCACGCACCCCACACAGGGGGCCCCTGGCCCCTCATTCCTCCCACCAGGAATGTACGTGCGAGCAGAGGCACTGGCTATTAAGTTCAGGCCTGGATTTCACTTCTTCAAACAGTTGAGTAGAGCTGTGCGGAGGAAGGATCTTTATATTGGTCACTGTTACATCCTGATTGACTAAAATAATGCCTGGCACGTTGGTGTTCAATAAACACTAGTTGAATGAAGGAGTCAGCAAAGCTGCTGTCTTCAAACTGTAGTGAGTAGAAGGAAGAGAATCCTGAGGGAGCTAAGTATAGGTGCCAGAGGGTTGGAGAAAGTGTGGGGATATTTAAGGATGTCAGACCCTCCAATCTGGCTTCAAACTGGGGCACTGAGGCAGCAAGCCTAGAAATGGGCGAGTTCTCTTCTCCCCTTCATGAGCTCTCTGAGGAGAACAGTAACACTGTAACGCCAGAAGACTTGATTCCCCCCAACTCAACAGGAGGGGAAAAAAGTACCATTGATTTACTAACTGTAGAAAAGGCTTCCCAGTTCCACGCCACAGACGCTGGCCCATGATGAAGATACTGGCTTTGAAATGGCTCAGCTGGCTCCCAAGCATCCTTTGTGCATCTGTTGCCTGCATCTGCATCTGAGCCCTGGGAACTCAGGGAGGGGCGTAGATGCTTTAGCTTGGAAAGCTAGAGGGGGTGGATAAAAAGAAACTTTGCCTTTCATCACCAGTCCCTGAGGTCCCTACCAGTGGTCCTAATCCCTCAGCACCTGGCAGGGCCTGGTCAGGACGCCCAGAATTTGCTCTGCTGAGCAGTGCCTGTAGGGGCTGCCTCAGCGGCTGCACACCTTGGCACCTGGGAGCTGTGGCCGCACTGGCTGCACGGCCCCTGCGTTTCATGGTCGGCCTCCCACTTGCCGGCTCCTGCCCAACTAATGCTGCCCAGGCTGCGTCGTGGTTACCAGGTAGCCTCCATCTAGGCCCCCACCTGGATTGCCCTTCCCCGCTGCACCCACCGCACCCTCAAAATGCACCTGCGCCCCATCCCTTTGCCTGCAGCTCTCCTTCCAAGCGGACAGTAATCAGATGGATCAGTCCGCATGCATGCGCTGAAGAGCTGTGACTGGGAAGGAGGGGGAGCGTCAAACCAAACCACGCAGTGGTTGCCTGGACACGGAGCCAGTGAAGCTTAAACACGGGAGGAGCATGGCATCGGCTATGTTCTGTGCTCACAGGCTGAGCCCCAACTCCCGTTGCTCCCCTCCTCTGTGGCTGCTCCTCAGGCCCTCGGGAAAGTGGGAGATCTTTCCAGTCACTCTACCCCCCTTGCCTGAACACCCATCTCATCAGAGCTGGAGAGAGGTCACCCCTAGAGAACACAAGTGGGGTGCAGGCAGGCACAGCCCCTCCTAGATCACAGCAGCTGTGTTGTCTAGGCCCTGAGGTGGGGCAGTTAGTGCCTGTGGTCAGGGCTAGGAAAACAGGCAAAAGCCTCCAACCCAGGACCATCCGGAGCCAGCCTTCCGCATGCAGTGGGTCCTGGGCTGTTCGGCACCCCCAGTCCTCCTTCTCAGGCTCCTTCCCCAGGCTGGGCTCCAGCCCCATCTCCTGAGCTGCTCCCCACCCTCCTTGAATCTTGCTGCCCTGACTGGCTGTATGATCTCAGAGAAGGCTTTTCCTCTCCCCATGAAGTGAAGGGCTTGGACCCATCACTAAGGCCTGTCTGGCTCTGAGGCTCGGTGACCTCACACACTGCCTGGCCGTCCAAGGAAACCAGTGCCTGAGCCAGAGGCCCCATCTCTAAGCTCCCTGGTTGTACGCCTTGCCGTTTGGCTGGGACGCCTCCTCCCAGCTGCCCCCACCTAGCCCCTACCCTGGGCCCAACTCTGCTCTGGGGTGGCTGACTCTCAGCCCCATCCCATCTCACAGCTGGGTGCAGGACCCAGGCCAGGGAGCAGGAAGGACACTATGCAAGGGACCAGGCCGGTCCTGGGGGCAGGGGCCCCGGGGGCAGTAGTCCAGGAGGGCAGGGAGGGCTGCCTGAGGTCCTGGTGGTCGTGGTCAGTTCCCCTCCCACCAGCTGTGGAATGTGAGGCCTGGACTGGGAGATATTTTGGCTGTACTTGGAGCCCTCCCCGCCCCCTGGAATCAGACCCTGCTCACTCCATGCCATAACAATGACGACCACTTCCAATTGTTTCCTAGCTGGAGGGGGGGGAGGGGAGCACGGTTTGGGAAAGGAGGGGGGAGCCTGGGGGAAATGCTTCTAGTGACAACAGTCCTTTCTAAATCCGGCTGGGGACTGGGTGCAGGTGGGGGTGGGGGCGCCCTGCTTCCCCATATATACAGCCCCCGCCTGTCCAGGTCGGCTCCACAGCTCTCTCCTGCGCTCCAGTCTTCTCTCCTTGCTGCTCTCAGGTAGGGGCTGGGAGCTGGCGGCCCTCCTCTGGGATAAGGGGCCCAGGTTTAAGAAGGGGCTCCTCTAGGAACAGTACCCTGCATTCAGGGCTTCATGCACAGTGTCAGGTCCGGTCACTGAAAACACATGGGCAGGGCTAGACGTGTGTGTACACAGGGGAGTGGGGGGCTCATGTGTTACAGCGGGAGGTGTCTGTGTCTGACCGAGCATGTGCGACCAGAGGGGTGTGTGTGTGTGTGTGTCTGAATGTTTGGTGAGGGAGGCTATGGGCCTCACTGCCTGAGACACAGAAATATCAACTGGGAGACGAGTTTATGATCAGGCCTGAGGACAAGTAGGAAGCGGCAAGAGGACGGCAGAGAACCATTATTTAAGAAGTTTGTGCATAAAAGCTAGTTCTGTGAGGTCTGCACTGGGTAGCTACCCATATTCACACTCACAGAATGGCTCGTGTGCGCAGCTGGGAGTCGAGCCCGTGGGAGTATGTTTGCCCCCTGCAAAAGTTGCTCCCGGGCACAGGAATATGGTGTCCTGTGTTCATACCCTTGACACGGTCTCTGTGCTGGGCACAGACTGAATGTACAGCTTGCCACATGTCTGTTGTGGAGCGCATTCAGCTGTGCCATGGGTGTGTCTATGAGAACATGCCCACGGGGGCTCCTCTTTGACAACGTCCACCACAACTGACCATAGAATGGGGACAGGATGGATGAGAACTGGCTCCGGAGTCATGAGACTTGGGTTCAAGTCCTGGCTCCACCACTTACTGTGATGTGTTTTTGGACAAGCAAGCTCATGAACCTAGATTTCCTCCTCTGTAGAATGGGGTGAGGACTAAGGAAGAGGATGGGGCATAAAAATGCTCTGTAGGCTGTGAAGCCCCAACCGTGTGACCACTGGTTGTATGTCAGGTGGCTCAAAAAGGCAAGCTTCACTAGATGGGGGAGGCCAGGGCAGGGCCATTGGCCAGGAGTGAGGAGTGAGGGGCTCACTGAGGTGACATCAAGAACCTGGGTGGGAAAAGTGAGGGAGAGAGCAGGACCAGAGAAGGCCACCGCCACCACCCACCCCGGCTCAGGCCTTGGGGTGGAGGGGTGCTGAAGGGTGGGGCCAGGGTGAGGAAGGGACACAGCCCTGACCAACCTTCCTTCTCCCCAGGCCCCTGCCACCTTGAGCCCCTTTCCTCTCGAAGGCACGTTCGAGAAGCCAAGGTAAGGAGAGCCGAAGAACGGGTGGAGGGATCTGGGAAGACACACAACTCTAGTTTCTGCCTCGCCTTAGGGGGCATGGCCAGGAGTTCTTCCCTGTGACTAGTGAAGGAGTCAGGTGGTGAAGAGGTTCAGAGATGTGTGTAGTGTGCAAAGTTAGCTTCCTGCTCCCAGAAGACCAGGGCACTCTGCCCTCCACTAGGAGGGCCCCAGGCTGGACCACGTTAGCCTCCACCTCTGCCCTGATAGATTTGCAAGGGCTAGGAGATGAGCTGAAGGAATGAGGGACTCTCGGTGACCCCTCCTGACCCATGAGCACTGTGCTAGGCTCTGGGGCTCCTGCTGCAGGGGAGAAGAGTGGAGGGAAGCGCAGTCAGCTCCTTCTCCCTCCCTTTGCAGCCGCAGCCATGGTGGACGCGGAGATGGCCGCGTTTGGGGAGGCCGCCCCCTATCTGCGCAAGTCAGAGAAGGAGCGGCTGGAAGCCCAGACCAGGCCTTTCGACCTCAAGAAGGACGTCTTTGTGCCTGATGACAAAGAGGAGTTCGTCAAGGCCACGATTTTGTCTCGAGAGGGTGGCAAAGTCACCGCCGAGACAGAGCATGGCAAGGTGGGTGGCGGGACCAGCGTGAGAGGCCACCCTGGATGCCCCTCACGCCTGGGGTGCCTGGAGGCAGGTGCCACCAGGATGCACCTCACAGAGTTCTGGTTCTCCCTTCCTCTGGGTAGGGATCTACTCTCTCCAAATAGCCCTTCTCATCCCCAACATCCCGTCTATCTTTTCTGGGACCCTGGATTCTTTTCTCATGAACATATTTCTCCTATAACCTGCCTAACTCCCATCCCTGTCCGTGGGCTGTTGCAGACAGTGACCGTGAAGGAGGACCAGGTGTTGCAGCAGAACCCACCCAAGTTCGACAAGATCGAGGACATGGCCATGCTGACCTTCCTGCACGAGCCTGCGGTGCTCTACAACCTCAAGGAGCGCTACGCCTCCTGGATGATCTATGTGAGTGCACCCCCGGACAGCCCTCTGAATCTAGTGGCTTCCTGCTCCGTGTATGTCCACCTCCTGGAGCCCAGCGTGTCTGCCCTTTGTGCCCAGGCAGTACTTCACTCTGTCCTAATCCTTACATCTTTGTGTGTGCTAAGCTGCTTCAGTCATGTCCGACTCTTTGTGAGCCTATGGGCTGTTGCCCACCAAGTTCCTCTGTCCATGGGATTTCCCAGGCAAGAATAGTGGAGTGGGTTGCCATTTCCTTCTCCAGGGGATCTTTCCAACCCAGGGATCAAATTCGTGTCTCCTGCTTGGCAGGTGGATTCTTTACCACTAGCGCCACCTGGGAAGCCCACCTACACCCTCAGGTCATTCTAATGACCCAAGGGCTGGGATTGCTCAGATGGACTGTGTTCATACAATTCCTTTTTCTCCCTCTCCTAAGACCTTTCTCTAACTCCGAAAACTGCCACCCCTCCCACTTCATCACTTCATCAACTCACTTCTTTTCCTCTCCTAGACCTACTCGGGCCTCTTCTGCGTCACCATCAACCCCTACAAGTGGCTGCCGGTGTACAATGCCGAGGTGGTGGCTGCCTACCGGGGCAAGAAGAGGAGTGAGGCGCCGCCCCACATCTTCTCCATCTCCGACAACGCCTACCAGTACATGCTGACAGGTGACAGGCCCCAAGCGAAGGGTTTCTTGAGGGCCCCTCCTCCCGAGGGGTTCAGGCCTCTGGGAGAGAGGCAGGGAGCTGGGGCAGGGTGGGGAGATGACAAAGCATCCTGTGCAACTCCTGACTTGTCCTCCCCATCTTCTCCCCACAGACAGAGAAAACCAGTCCATCCTGATCACGTGAGTGTGGCTCCTTCCTCTTCCCTTCCACAATTTCCTTGAGCCCAGCCCCCATCAGGACCCAAGCCCCCATGCACAGACTCCCAGTTCTCTTTCCCTCCACCTTCTGATGCCAGCTCTGATGTCTTCTCTGGCTTTGACTCTGGCCTTCTCCTTGCTCCTCCCCTTTCTTTCTCCTCCCCACTCCTCTCTTATTTTTCCTCTCCCATCTCCTTCACTCATGCCCCTCTGATTCATCACTCATCTATCCATAAGCCTGGGAACACCATGTCTTCTTCCCCTCTTCATTTTCCTTCATTTTTCCCTTCAGAAACCCTCCCCATTCTCCCAGCGCCACCCATTCTTTTCCAAAATGGCCTGGGCCCATCTCCTCTGATTGGCCTTGCCCAGCCAAGACCATATTGAGCTGTGCTTAGTCGCTCAGTTATGCACGACTCTGCAACCCCAAGGACTGTAGCCCACCAGGCTCCTCTGTCCATGGGGATTCTCCAGGCAAGAATACTGGAGTGGGTTGCCATACCCTCCTCTAGGGGATCTTCCTAACCCAAGGATCGAACCCAGGTCTCCGGCCTGCCCAAACCCACTTCTTCTAGCACATCCTTCCTAGTTGCTACCCTTGACCCTGTGTATGTCAGAGCACAGCTGTGTGGCTGGGATGCATATTATCTGGTGGCTTCCTGCTGCAGGGCTCCCCCTGCCAAATAAAGTGAGGCAATCTCTCCTGACTCGAGGCTTGTGGTCTCAAGCAATGTTGGTTCACTGCCTAATAAGCCCAACTGTCCCAACAGCGGAGAATCCGGGGCAGGGAAGACGGTCAACACCAAGAGAGTCATCCAATACTTCGCGGTCATTGCCGCCATTGGCGACCGCAGCAAAAAGGAGCAGACCCCAGGCAAGGTAAGCCTACTGTCCTCCAAGGGCCTGTACCACAGAAAGGGAGGAGGAGGAGGAGGAGGCCTCTCACCTGCCATCCTTCTTGACCTCCGCAGGGCACCCTGGAGGACCAGATCATCCAGGCCAACCCCGCCCTGGAGGCCTTTGGCAACGCCAAGACCGTCAGGAACGACAACTCCTCCCGCTTCGTGAGTGGGCCCTGCCTTTGGACTTGGGATTTGGGCTGGTCAAGGGATATGTCAAACAGGAGCCCTCCCCCAACTCAGCACCACTTTTCTCCATGTCTCCAGGGGAAATTCATTCGAATCCATTTTGGGGCGACCGGCAAGTTGGCGTCTGCAGACATCGAGACCTGTGAGTGTCACAGATCTGCTAGGGCTCATCCTGACCCTGCCCTCACTCTAACTGTCTCCGACTCAGTCTCTGTCACTGGCTGGCTCTGCCCCTCCGGCTCTCTTCCTCTCTCCCTGTCTCTGTGTCTCTAGGTCTATATATTCCTCTTCCTCTGAGACTTCCTCTGGTCTTTCTCCATCCCTGCCTCTGCATGTCTGTGTGACTTTCCCTGGGACCTTCCGCTGCTCCTGGGACTTCGTCTCCATCTCCATCTCTGTGTGTGATCTCTGTGCATCTGTGGGCGCATCTCTCTCCCTCTCTTGCCTCTCCCTTTCCCTCTGTCCTGTTCTCTACATTTATCATTCCTTTTTCTCTATTTCCTTATACTTAAATCCTAACGTTTTCTTCTTCTCTTTCTTCTCCCCTCCTATTCACAGACCTTCTGGAAAAATCCAGAGTTATTTTCCAGCTGAAAGCAGAGAGAGATTATCACATTTTCTACCAAATCCTGTCCAACAAAAAGCCTGAGCTGCTGGGTGAGTCACAGCTACCAACTGAGACCAACTATCTCCATGGCAACCTGGTCCCCTCCACTTGCAGCTGCTTGTTGACAGGCCCTGGGTTTATCACATGGCTGGATTCAGTTCTGTGGGATGCAGGACCCCATTAAGCCCTATCATGTGGTCTTTCACAGGTCATGTGTCATGGCAGATAGCCCCAGGGAGGGCCAGGGGTTTGAGCCCCCATTCTAACGTCTCTCCCCCCACCCCCCAGACATGCTGCTGATCACCAACAACCCCTATGACTATGCATTCATCTCCCAAGGAGAGACCACTGTGGCCTCAATTGATGATGCTGAGGAGCTCATGGCCACTGATGTAAGTGTGTGAGGACCCAGCTGGGAGGCAAGGGGGTTGGTGGTGAGGGGAAAATGGGTTCAGTTCACTGGCCCAGAAATAGAGCTAAGACCCTGGCTGTCTGTTGTTCCTTCCTGAGGGCCAGAATGTGCCCTGTGTCCTGAGTGTGCTGGGATACAGGTGAGATGAGACAGGGTGGGCCAGTGACTGGTATTTTTCAGTCAAAGCAGAGAGGGTTGAAAGCCATGGACAGAGAAACAGACAAGCCAAAAAACAAAGCACTACTAAGGGAAAGGGGTGGGTGGTCATGCAGCTGCCATGGGGCTAGAGCAGGCTGTTAGGTGAAGAACAGGTATTGATACATATGGGAGATCCAGGCATGGATGTAAGGGAAGGGCCTAGAAGAGGGACAGAAGTAGGAAACGTTAGTGGGTCACCCAGAGCAGCTCCAGAGAACAGCCTAACCATTGATACCCCAGCCAAGGCAGTCCACACCCACCTGGCTCTTATACTTCCCAGCTTAGTTGTGGGGTTCCCCACTGGGGATGGGAGTCTCAGCACCCACAGAGATTCAGGAGATAAGATCTCGCTCAACTGCAGAGGGGTCTCATTTACCTTCCATACTCCCTTTTCTGGGGTCCACCACCACGGGTCCTGCCTACAGAATGCCTTTGATGTGCTGGGCTTCACTACGGAGGAGAAGAACTCCATGTACAAGCTGACGGGCGCCATCATGCACTTTGGAAACATGAAGTTCAAACAGAAGCAGCGAGAGGAGCAGGCCGAGCCTGACGGCACCGAAGGTGGGAGTCAGGGGTGCGGGGAACAGCTATGGAGCCATGAAGCCTTTGTCTGTGGAGGAGGTGTCCCTCTTCCAACTCTGCCATCTGCCCTTTCCTTCCAGAGGCTGATAAGTCCGCCTATCTCATGGGGCTGAACTCAGCCGACCTGCTCAAGGGGCTGTGCCATCCTCGGGTGAAGGTGGGCAACGAGTACGTCACCAAGGGGCAGAATGTCCAGCAGGTGGGTCATCTTCAGGTGTTAAATGGCAGAGGTGCTGGCCCGGTGCAGCCGTGGGAGCTTTGCAATCAACTCTTCCCACCACTCTCTCATGTGGGTTTCTCCCCTACCTTCCAGGTGGCGTATGCCACTGGGGCGCTGGCCAAGGCCGTATATGAGAGGATGTTCAACTGGATGGTGACACGGATCAACGCCACCCTGGAGACCAAGCAGCCACGCCAGTACTTCATAGGTGTCCTGGACATCGCCGGCTTCGAGATCTTTGACGTGAGTGGGGAGCCCAGGGTCTGGGAGAACAGGAACTCACTGGTTCACACAGCCAGCCACCGCTGGCCAAACCCTGGGGAATGCCATGGGCTCCCCAGGGGTGGAGATGGCCACGTGTCTTCAGGGGGCACTCCCTCCCTACCCTGACCAGAGAAAGGCCAGCCACACCCATTGCCAGGCTGGACGCATTCCTGGGCTGACCCCTCGAGGCACAGACCCCTGCCCGCCTGACCCACTCCTCCCCGTCCCCGCCCTGCAGTTCAACAGCTTTGAGCAGCTGTGCATCAACTTCACCAATGAGAAGCTGCAGCAGTTCTTCAACCACCACATGTTCGTGCTGGAGCAGGAGGAGTACAAGAAGGAGGGCATCGAGTGGGAGTTCATCGACTTCGGCATGGACCTGCAGGCCTGCATCGACCTCATCGAGAAGGTGCTGCCTCAGCCTCTCTGCCTGAACTCTCCATTCATTCCCCACACACATGAATGCCCCAGAAGAATGGCCGCCCCACCCTTCTGGGCATCATGATCTAGCTAACGGAAGAATCCCGAGCCCTAGTTTCCAGAGCCTTGTGCTATCCCGGCCACCCAGGACAGGGAGGTCCTGGAGAGCTGAGTTCCAAAGCTTGAGAGTGGACATGCAGAGGATGGGCACTTCAGGGATGGCCTCCCACACCTGTGTGTTTACTGACTCTGGTTTACCTATCAAGGAGCAGGAAGTCTGAGGGTGGCGTGGGGAAACACAAGACAGCACTTCTTTTCAACCCCAACATCTCAGGGATCTGGGCGATGGAGTAGGGTGTAAAGCACCTGTAGCATCCACGTTCCCACGTTCCCCCAGACTTTCACAAAGGTCCCTTTGAAATCAAAGTACCACCTTGGGAAGGTTTGAACAGGTGCCAGTCAATAGGTAACTGCTTAGAGCTGAAGTACCAGCTAATAGGCAAAGGGGCATCTCCATCGACACTAGAGCAGGCAGGATCCATCTCCATCTGCTTGAAGCAGGCTCAGTGATGCTCTCCCCTCCACCCTCAGCCCATGGGCATCATGTCCATCCTGGAGGAGGAGTGCATGTTCCCCAAGGCCACCGACATGACCTTCAAGGCCAAGCTGTACGACAACCACCTGGGCAAGTCCAACAACTTCCAGAAGCCGCGCAACATCAAGGGGAAGCCGGAAGCCCACTTCTCCCTGATCCACTACGCCGGCACGGTGGACTACAACATCATAGGCTGGCTGCAGAAAAACAAAGACCCACTCAATGAGACAGTGGTGGACTTGTATAAGAAGTCTTCCCTCAAGATGCTCAGCAACCTCTTTGCCAACTATGCTGGGTTTGACACACGTAAGTGGAGACTGAGACCCTGGGACCAAGAGCAGGTTTCTACTGTGGTTCTGAGGCAGGTCATGTGCTAGCCCCCCACCACTTGCATGTCGGGCTGGGCCCCGGGGTTTACAAATGCAGTGAGGGAATTGGGCGGAGAAGTTGGAGCACCCACAGTAAAGACCATGGCCTGCAACCAAATGTGGAGAGAGGTTGGGATTCCTCACCCGCCGCTCTGACTCCGTACATGCCCACTCATCTCCTTTACTTGACTCTCTCTTCCACAGCTATTGAGAAGGGCAAAGGCAAGGCCAAGAAAGGCTCATCCTTTCAGACCGTGTCAGCTCTGCACAGGGTGAGTGTGTGGTCGGCGCCACCCCAGCCCTGCTTGTCCCCTGCCTGGCTCAGCCCTGACTCCTCCAATCAGTCTCCTCAGTCCCTTCCTGACCCTCTGCACCCTGTCTTCTCTTCCCTGTATCTGCTGGCCTCAGCTCTTACTCCTTTCTCATCTCCCCTGGCTTCTTTATCCCTTCTGCCTCCCACCATCTCCTCCTCCGTGTCATTCCCTAGCCCTCCTTCACTCTCCAGCTCCTTGCATTCTCTCTTTCCTTTCCTTCCCCTCTGCTCCCTTTCTTACTTCTCTTTCACTTTCTTAACTTCTCCCTCTTGGGTTTTGGGCCACAGGAGAATCTGAACAAGCTGATGACCAACTTGCGCTCCACACACCCCCACTTCGTGCGGTGCATCATCCCCAATGAGACAAAGTCTCCAGGTGAGCCCAAGAAGCCAGGCCCAGCCCACTGCTGAGATGTACTGCCCCAGGGGCAGGGTCTTTTAGATCACCTCTTGAGCTCCCACCATGGAGATTTCTAGATCACATTCTTCCCCTCCTATTCCCCAGAGAGGCTCACACACAGCCTCCCACCCTGGCCCCAGCGCTGCCCTCCATTTAGAATGTGTAGCTCAGGGCAATGTGTAACTACTTTGATGGACATTCCCTCCTAAGTGCCTTACAGCCCCTGATGAGACATGTAAGGATTGTTTCTCCCTTTCTGAATCATGAGGAGATGGAGGAGTTCAGGTGTCTGGGTTCTGGTGCCTGGCTCTGCTCTCATCAGTTCAATGACCTTGGTCAAGTCCCTTAACCTGTTAGGGCTTAGAAAATGGTCTATATTGGCCCTGGCTACCACCTATGAAAATAGGCATAAACCCTATAAAATAAGGACTATGAAAGCCTTTTGGTTACTCTCAAAATTTATGGCAAGAAAAAAAAAAATACTGACTTGCTAAGGTTACAGGCCAGTCCATGACAGAGCCAAGATCAGAACCCAGAACCCTCGGCTCTTAGCCCCATGCTCTCCCCACACACTCCTCTCCCTTCCCTCCTGCCACAGGGGTGATAGACAACCCCCTGGTCATGCACCAGCTGCGCTGCAACGGTGTGCTGGAGGGCATCCGCATCTGCAGGAAGGGCTTCCCCAACCGCATCCTCTACGGGGACTTCCGGCAGAGGTGGGTACCAGGCGCTGCAGGGCTCAGGGAACGGGGGGAGCCTGGGCAGCCTGAGCAGGACGCAGAAACTGCGAGTGGCCTTGGATTCTGTGGGCAGAGCCGATCACTGCAGAACACAGGTGACACGGGGCACCTCCCTCCCAGGTATCGCATCCTGAACCCAGCGGCCATCCCCGAGGGCCAGTTCATTGACAGCAGGAAAGGGGCAGAGAAGCTGCTGGGCTCCCTGGACATCGACCACAACCAGTACAAGTTCGGCCACACCAAGGTAAAGAAAAGGAGGGAACGAACTGACTACAGGGAGACCTCTCTTGTCCTTTTGCTCTATGACTCCTTTCCTTTTACCAACCATCATTTTACCAATACTCACAAGCATTACTGAACCACATGCTAGCCCTCCCCACGGACCAGACAGACCTGCTCCCCCATTCTAGCTCCAGTTGCCACTGACCTCCTTCCTCCAGTTCTTTCCTGCCTTGTCACCCTCCCTAAGATAAGCCCCACTTCATCCCCCTCCTGCCTGTCCCAGTCATGTCCACACACCACTTCCCTGCAGGTGTTCTTCAAGGCGGGCCTGCTGGGGCTGCTGGAGGAGATGCGAGATGAAAGGCTGAGCCGCATCATCACCCGCATCCAGGCTCAGTCCCGAGGTGTGCTCTCCAGAATGGAGTTCAAGAAGCTGCTGGAACGCAGGTGAGAGATGTTAAAGGGAGGGTCTCAGGCCTTGAAGGCCCGGGTTGGCTCAGAGCAGGGGATGGAGAAAGAGCGCTCCAGACCTTCAAGTGACAAAGGGCCACAACACAGCCACCAACACCGGCGGTGGGCGTGGCAGGGGTGGGGGTGCCTCACTGTCACAGGATGGATGGAGGAGCCAGGGCCTCTGGGCAGGAAGGAGGGAAGAGGCTGTCTCACCGACCTTCTCGCTGGGCCCCTGCAGAGACTCCCTGCTGATTATCCAGTGGAATATTCGGGCCTTCATGGGGGTCAAGAACTGGCCGTGGATGAGGCTCTTCTTCAAGATCAAACCACTGCTGAAGAGTGCAGAGACAGAGAAGGAAATAGCCACCATGAAGGAGGAGTTTGGGCGCCTCAAAGAGGCGCTGGAGAAGTCAGAGGCTCGGCGCAAGGAGCTGGAGGAGAAGATGGTGTCCCTACTGCAGGAGAAGAATGACCTGCAGCTCCAAGTGCAGGCGGTGAGACCCCCAGGCCTCTGCCCACATCTCCCATACACCCTGCACTTCCCTACCTGGGGGCTCACCATCCTGTGCCCTCATAAGCAGAGAATTCTGGAATCAACACTTCCAAAGGCCTCCAAAGAGGTCTCTAGAGAAAGAAAGGGAAGGGGAGAAAGGATTAACTTAAAAACACAGGTTTTCCATCAGGATTTAACCTGGACCCATAGCTTGATAATTCTGTGACTTTGGGCAAATGATGTGTTATCTCTGGGTCTCCATGTCCTCATCTCTAGACAGGGAATAAAGTTGCCCATCTCACCAGGCTGTAAATATGCGAAGTGCTGGCATCAACAAATGCAGTTCCCTCCCCTCTGATGGAGGAGACCAGAGGAAGAGGGCTAGATAAAGAGACTTCTGGTTCCCTTCCTCTCTGCTCTCATTCCCCAGTGCTCCTATCACATTGCCCTAAAACTCCTCCTCTCCCCATCCTTCTGAGGTTCTTCTCAGCTGGGGAGATCCTGGGGTTGCCCTCTTACAGTGAAGGTGGAGCCTGTCCCTCCATGCTTTTGCCATCTACCCCATCCACCGAATAGCTTCCCCTCTGCACCTTGCCCTCAGGAACAAGACAACCTGGCTGATGCAGAAGAACGCTGTGACCAGCTGATCAAGAACAAGATCCAGCTGGAGGCAAAGGTGAAGGAGATGACCGAGAGGTTGGAGGACGAGGAGGAGATGAACGCTGAGCTCACTGCCAAGAAGCGCAAGCTGGAAGATGAGTGCTCTGAGCTGAAGAGGGACATTGATGACCTGGAGCTGACACTGGCCAAGGTGGAGAAGGAGAAGCACGCGACAGAGAACAAGGTGAGGGCGGCTCCCTTTGACTCCAGACCGAGTCTCAGGATTCCCAGACCTGAGTGTGGTCCTGGCCCCTGGCCTTGGAGGTCTCCATGGATGTCTCCAGGTTGGTGATGTTTAGCCCTAAAGAGGATGGGGTTCTTGGTCAACAGGTGAAGAACCTGACAGAGGAGATGGCTGGGCTGGATGAGATCATTGCCAAGCTGACCAAGGAGAAGAAAGCTCTGCAAGAGGCCCACCAGCAAGCCCTGGATGACCTTCAGGCTGAGGAGGACAAGGTCAACACCCTGACCAAGGCCAAGGTCAAGCTGGAACAGCATGTGGACGATGTAAGTAGACTGTTACAAGGGCCTAGATATACCAGGTCCATCAGTGTCTGTGTGTGCATGTGTGTGTGTGTTCGGGGGTGTGGGGTTAGAGAGTGCTCCTTCTCCTGATATCTTTCTAGAAGGGAGCTGGGGAACAGACAAGGGGAGGGGTGATCAGTTCTGAGCTACGTATCTCATCTTGCTGATGTGATCAACAATAGAGATGGGCTTCCTTCCTTCACTTTAAGTTCAAGCCTATATGTCTGTCTTCAACCACAGAATTTAGAGGGTTATCTCATAAAAACATAATAAATTTCCCCGGGAATTTTCCCTTGGAATCTTCACAAAGATCCTCCTTGAGGATCTTTGGACTTCTAATATTTTAGCCAGGATCTTGCCTTCAGTGATCACTGTTCCCATAGGTAGTCCTTCGTGTATATGTCTCCTGAATCATTCTTTATTGCTCTGTGTTATCATTATTGAAGTATTGGTCCCAGCCACAGACTGGAAGCTACCTTTAGGTGGAACTTGGTCTACAGTGCCTAGGATGGGGCCTGGAACCCAGTAGGTGCTTATAGGATGCAGATTAAATGAAAGTAGCTTTGGGATTTTAACCTACAGTCATTCATTCAGTCATTTATCATAGTTACTGAGCATTCCTTCATGCTAGGTTCTCTCACAGCCCCCTGGCAATATTTGGCCCATTCTGGGGTAGTTTTCCCAAGTCTTGACACCTCTGAGGATCCCTCAACCCCAAAAAGAATGAGTTCCCAAATTATCAAGTCAGGATACTTGGCCTAACAGGTCACACTGGTCCTTCTCTTCATCAGCTGGAGGGATCCCTGGAGCAGGAGAAAAAGGTGAGAATGGACCTGGAGAGAGCCAAGCGGAAGCTGGAGGGTGACCTGAAGCTGACCCAGGAGAGCATCATGGACCTGGAGAACGACAAGCAGCAACTGGATGAGCGGCTCAAAAAGTAGCGTGTTCCCTGCCCCATCGCCCATCCTCCTCCCACACCCAGCAGCCTGTTCCACCCATGGCAATACTAGCTGACCCAACAGATCCATCCTCAGAGGCAACAGCTTCATGCAGCCTCCATAAGGGGGTGCAAAACTGTGGGCAGAGCCTCCAGGAAGAAAGCTTTCCTCCCCCAGACACGCACATCAGGGCCCAGCAGGCTTCCCTGGCAAAAGTCTAACCCAGATCCCTCCAGCCCTTTCTTCCTGCTGGGCACTCGCCCCCTTTGTACACAAGTCTCTTTGGAGACCAGTTGCTTAACACAGAGGAAAGTTCCACACAAAAGCCTCTCAGGAAAGTCCTTTCAGGTCCTTCACAGAGAGCCCAGAGGACCACAGAGAAATGCGGTCAGCCACCACATGTGAGCAGTGCAGTGTCTGGATGCTTATTTGTTCAATGATCTTGTGGTTCCAATTCTTATTGCAAGACCTTCCAAAATGTGTAGATTCACATTTCACACTTGGCAAAGAGTGAGTCTGTGGGACATATTCAGATAATCAAAGATCTTCTGTTGCTTTAGGGTCAGGACTCTGAAAGCCTCTGAGACTCATCCTGATCGACAGCCTCCCCAGAAAGTCTTCACACTTCCCCAGGCACAGCACTTATTGAATGAATGAATATATGATCCCACTGATCCTCAAATGACCTTTTAAGAATGGTACTTTAACCTCACTTACCAAAGAGGAAAGCAAGGCTCAGAAAGGTTACCAAATTGCCCAAAGTAACAGAGACAGAATTAAAGACCATCAGACCTAAAAGGTGCCTTTGAGTTGATCTAGTCCAGTGCCCTCATTTTACAGACCAAAGAAGGGATCATCTTGGAGCTCAGGTCTTGTCACTCCACCTCTCCACCTACAGTGCTCTTCCTGTTGTAATTCCTATTGAACTTCAATCCTCCAGCAGGTGTTACACTTTCAAGGACCCTACAACAGCCCTGGAAGCTGTTTTTTTTTTCCCATGAAATCCTGCTCCTCATTTGTTTCATTACCATCTCCAGTCACTGGCAGCCCCTCCTTGAGCCTGATCAGCCTTCCTTGCTTCACGGTCCCTTCTTCCTCACAGGAAGGACTTTGAACTGAACGCCCTCAATGCAAGGATTGAAGACGAGCAGGCCCTGGGCAGTCAGCTGCAGAAGAAGCTCAAAGAGCTTCAGGTAAGGCCCCTGGGCTGGTCCTCAGGCTCCCAACTCTCCTCCAGGCCATTCTCGCCCAGCATCACAGGCACTGGCTCCGTGTCTGTGAAGGGAGATGCTAGCTATCACAAATCCCCCGTGGAGCACTTCCAGGAGGGCCGACTAATCCAAGGATGACATAGGAAGAGATCTGGAAACACTCACCGGTCTGAGGACAGAAATCCCAGCTTCCTACGTCAGCTGTTGTTTAGCTGGTGACCATGGGGAGCGCACTGCCAATCTCTGGATCTATATGTCCTCCTCTGTTCCCCATGGCTTTTCAGGACCCTTCAGCCCAGCTGGGCTGTGACTTCAGTTCTTACCTCTAGAGTGGACACCGTGTTGGGTCTTAGTTGTTCGGTCAGACGAACCTGACTCTCTCATTCCAACTTCAATTATTTTTGCCACAAAACTGCCTAAACTGTCCCTGGAACACTGGTCCCTTTGTCCTTCTTCAAGAGCAACCTTCAACCACTTTCCTTCCCATAAAGAGAATGTAGCATGTTTTGGCCCAAAGGCAGGCTAACTCAACTATCCAAACCATCTCACCAAGGTGATCCTTTTATTTCTACTTGTCCCCTGGTGGGACTAAGCTGACAAGCCAGGAGCCTTCTAGAGTCCTGGGAGGGGGCTCCGATGGAGGGGCCCAGGCGCTGGGTCTGAGCCCCCTCCGTGTCCCGCCCAGGCACGCATTGAGGAGCTGGAGGAGGAGCTGGAGGCCGAGCGCACCGCCCGGGCCAAGGTGGAGAAGCTGCGCTCAGACCTGTCCCGGGAGCTGGAGGAGATCAGCGAGCGGCTGGAGGAGGCCGGCGGGGCCACGTCCGTGCAGATCGAGATGAACAAGAAGCGCGAGGCTGAGTTCCAGAAGATGAGGCGGGACCTGGAGGAGGCCACGCTGCAGCACGAGGCCACGGCGGCCGCCCTGCGCAAGAAGCACGCCGACAGCGTGGCCGAGCTGGGCGAGCAGATCGACAACTTGCAGCGCGTGAAGCAGAAGCTGGAGAAGGAGAAGAGCGAGTTCAAGCTGGAGCTGGACGATGTCACGTCCAACATGGAGCAGATCATCAAGGCCAAGGTGGGCCCGGCTCTCCTCTCCTCTCCTCCAATTCCCTCCACGTTCCTCTGCTTTCTGTCCACATCTCCTCTCTTTGTCTTGTTCAGTTTCCTGCTTCCCTCTTCTACCCTTTCCTTGGACCCTTCCTCTATGCCTTCCTCTTTCCCTGCTCCTTTAATTGCACCGCTTGCACCCCATCAGCCCGCTGCATATACCGTATAACTCTCCTTCCCATCTCAGGCTAACCTGGAGAAGATGTGCCGGACCCTAGAAGACCAGATGAATGAGCACCGAAGCAAGGCTGAGGAGACCCAGCGTTCTGTCAACGACCTCACAAGCCAACGGGCCAAGCTGCAGACCGAGAATGGTGAGCCCTACTCTTGTCTTCTGAGTTCCTGAGCCAATCCAGGCTTGGGTATGCACACATCTCTCCAGAGAATGGGACCTGAGGGTTAGGGGAAGGGTGGGGGAGAGAGGAGTGACTGGCCCTCAAGAGTTGAGTGTGCTTCGGTGCCTCTCCAGGTGAGCTGTCCCGGCAGCTGGATGAGAAGGAGGCACTGATCTCCCAGCTGACCCGAGGCAAGCTCACCTACACCCAGCAGCTAGAGGACCTCAAGCGGCAGCTGGAAGAGGAGGTTAAGGTGAGGCCAAGAGTCAGGCCACTTGTCCAGCATACTGGCTGGCCTTGCATCCACATCACTTCTTTCCCAAGAATGAGGCTTGCTGTCTACCCAGTATTTTCCCATTTTCCAAAAAGAAAATGCCCAGAGCCTACCATGTGTGTGTGTATGTGTGTGTACATTCAGTCCAGTCCAATCTTTGCAAAACCATGGACTGAAGCCCGCCAGGCTCCTCTGTCCATTGGATTTTTCAGGCAAGAATACTGGAGTGGGTTGCCATTCCCTCCTCTCGGGGATCTTCCAGACCCAGTAATCGAATTTGTGTCTCCAGCATTAGCAGGCAGATTCTTTACCACTGAGCCCCCTGAGAATCCCAGGCCCTACCATATGCCTCCTAATTCTACCTCCCACTCAGAGGCCCTCTGCCTTTCTGCAGCCACCTCGGGAGGGCATGGAGTAAGAGGTGGGGGTGGGGGTGGGGGAAATGAGATGAAGAGAGGAAATAAACTAGAGAGCCGTGATGGCCTTGGCTGGACATAGGTATGGGATGCAGGAACTGTACAAGTGGTCCTGGGATTTGCAGGGCAATCTGAAAACTGGAGAAAGAAACTCAACTGGATTCTATTTCGAGCACTTTGCAGGGCTCATTAAAAAGGGGAAAGAATATGAATTTTTAAAAAGGTCAGGGCTCAAATCCTAATCTGCCTCTTAAGAGCTTGGTGATCTTGGGGAAATTGCCTAATATCTCTGAGCCTCCATCTCCTCCGCTGTAAAATGGGGGTGAGGATGGTAAAGCCTGCTGCGTGAGGAGCATGAGGGGGGTGGGCACAATGCACTTTGTAAACAGTGCAGCACTGTATGGACTTTGTTAACAGTACTTGGTAAACTGTTCCAGGTCCACTAGGGATTTAGAAACAGATGAGACTGTGGGAGGATGCTGAAATTAGAGTGGGGAGACAAGCAGTGCATCACAGGGCAAGCTGAGCCCCTCTCGGTGCCACCCCTCGCAGGCAAAGAACGCCCTGGCCCACGCACTACAGTCGGCCCGGCACGACTGTGACCTGCTGCGGGAGCAGTACGAGGAAGAGACGGAAGCCAAGGCCGAGCTGCAGCGCGTCCTGTCCAAGGCCAACTCAGAGGTGGCCCAGTGGAGGACCAAGTATGAGACGGACGCCATCCAGAGGACCGAGGAGCTGGAGGAGGCCAAGTGAGTCCCGGGCAGCCTCCCTCTGGCAGGGGCCCCTGTGTCAGCAGGCCGCAGCCCAGCCCACCGCTCACCCGGGCCGGCTGCGGGGGTGGATGTTAAGCTAGGTTTTGACAATGCAGAGGACCCTGCCCCGGCCCCACCTCCTTCTCCTCTCAGGAAAGCTTTTTGCTCGCGTTATGTTTCTCATCCGAATATAAGACGAACAAAAGGTTTGTCTGAGGGCAGAGTGCTCCCACCTGGGGCAGGGTGCCATGGCAGGTGAGAAGCGGGGTGCTGGGACTGCACGTGTCCTCCAAGTCTGCAAGCCTAGAGGCTGGCCCAGGGTGGGAGGGATGCCTCGCAGAAGGCTCCCTGGGTGCTGTGGGTCTTCGCACCCTGTCCCCCAAACTCTCCAACTGTCTTGCTTTCTGCCCCTGGGCCTGTCCTCAGGCTTCTCCAGCAACGCCTCTGAGTTTTCAAAGACTGTTTTCCACAAGACTCACCATGTCTCCCCTTGTCCAAATCCACACCCTCCATCTTTCCCGCCCACTCCCACCACTACTGCCCCGCCCTCACCAACACGGGCAGGAAGAAGCTGGCCCAGCGGCTGCAGGACGCCGAGGAGGCCGTGGAGGCCGTCAACGCCAAGTGCTCCTCGCTGGAGAAGACCAAGCACCGCCTGCAGAACGAGATCGAGGACCTGATGGTGGACGTGGAGCGCTCCAACGCGGCCGCCGCCGCCCTGGACAAGAAGCAGAGGAACTTCGACAAGGTGGGCCCGGGCTGGGGGCCGCAGCCAGGGGGCAGAGCAGGTGGACAGGCGGGAGTCGGGAACATCCTCCCAGGAGGCTGAGGCCAGGGGAGACTGGGCCCAGGAGGGGGACCTGGGTCCCGGAGGCGGGGCTGCGGCTGCCCCTTGAGCCGCGTCCGGCCGTCGGGTCCCCGCAGATCCTGGCCGAGTGGAAGCAGAAGTACGAGGAGTCGCAGTCGGAGCTGGAGTCCTCGCAGAAGGAGGCGCGCTCCCTCAGCACCGAGCTCTTCAAGCTCAAGAACGCCTACGAGGAGTCGCTGGAGCATCTGGAGACCTTCAAGCGCGAGAACAAGAATCTGCAGGGTGCGGGCGCGGGCCGGGCGGGGCGGGGCCGGGCGGGCCGCACGTGGTGCCGCGCCGCGGCTCCTCGAGGCCTTCCCCCGGCGCAGCAGGCAGCAGCGCCCGGCTGAGCTGCCCGCCCCTCCCACAGAGGAGATCTCCGACCTGACGGAGCAGCTGGGCTCCAGTGGCAAGACCATCCACGAGCTGGAGAAGGTCCGCAAGCAGCTGGAGGCCGAGAAGCTGGAGCTGCAGTCGGCCCTGGAGGAGGCGGAGGTGCGCACACAGAAGTGGAGGAGGTGCAGAGGGTGGGAGAAGAAACTGAGGGCTAGGCTATGGTCCCTGTTCTCATCTCCTCTTTCCTTTGCTCACGGGTCCATCCTCAGAGCCTAGAACAGTGCCTGACACTTAGTAGGCACTCAACAAATATCAGGGAATGAAGGAAAGAACCGGTCACTCACTTGCCTTCACACAGACATTTTACCTATTACATCTTAGACAAGATTTCCTGTTTCATTCCCCCTCTTTTCACCTCTGCCTCCCTCTTTGAGCTTTTACATTCTGTGCCTGATTGCCTCTGTTTCCTTGGCAACACCACTCTCTTCATTTTCCTCTTTGTCTTTATAGCTCACTCTCCTCTATAAGAGCCTGAATCACCTTCTCTTAGGCCTTTTTTTTCCTTTCAAATTCTTTTCTTCTTCCTCCTCCTGCTTCTTTGACTGAACCACTTATACCACTCTTGAGCTGACTTTGTATCCACAATTCATGGACAGACCCCTGGCCCCATCCTGTGCCCTGAATGCCTCAGACCTTCTCTTCCCAACCCCCTCCAGGCATCCCTGGAACACGAGGAGGGCAAGATCCTCCGGGCCCAGCTGGAGTTCAACCAGATCAAGGCAGAGATGGAGCGGAAGTTGGCAGAGAAGGACGAGGAGATGGAGCAGGCCAAGCGCAACCACCTGCGGGTGGTGGACTCACTGCAGACCTCCCTGGACGCAGAGACGCGCAGCCGCAACGAGGCCCTGCGGGTGAAGAAAAAGATGGAGGGCGACCTCAACGAGATGGAGATCCAGCTCAGCCATGCCAACCGCTTGGCTGCCGAGGCCCAGAAGCAAGTCAAGAGCCTCCAGAGCTTGCTGAAGGTACACAGTGATTTTGGAAGCAGGAAGTCGCCTCATCCAGAGAGGGGCAGTGGCATCCCATCATCAGAGCACCAGCTCGCTCCTGCCCCTGAGCCATCACTGACCCCTCCCACAGGCCCTGCCCGAGCCACCGCCACAGGCTCCCTGCAGCATCCAGTTCAGCTAACAGCCTTCTGATGGGTTGAGCCCAGCTCCCTCCTTCATGAATCTCTCTTGATGCACAGGACACCCAGATCCAGCTGGACGACGCAGTCCGTGCCAACGACGACCTGAAGGAGAACATCGCCATCGTGGAGCGGCGTAACAACCTGCTACAGGCCGAGCTGGAGGAGCTGCGGGCCGTGGTGGAGCAGACTGAGCGGTCCCGCAAGCTGGCGGAGCAGGAGCTGATCGAGACCAGCGAGCGGGTGCAGCTGCTGCATTCCCAGGTGAGCAGTGCCCTTGGGCGGTCCCAGAGGGGAGCAGAGGCAGGACTCTGCAGGTGAGTTTCAGCAGACGTGCATGGATGCTCAGTGCTGCTTTTCCTGCTCTGCCCACCCCAACTCTCAGAACACCAGCCTCATCAACCAGAAGAAGAAGATGGAGGCAGACCTGTCCCAGCTTCAGACGGAAGTGGAGGAGGCGGTGCAGGAGTGCAGGAACGCCGAGGAGAAGGCCAAGAAGGCCATCACGGATGTGAGTCCCCCTGCCAGGTCTGCCTGCTCCACGCCAGGGTTTTCTTGGACTGGAAGACTTAGACCGAGTATCACTTCTCTCCTGTGCGCAGGCCGCCATGATGGCGGAGGAGCTGAAGAAGGAGCAGGACACCAGCGCGCACCTGGAGCGCATGAAGAAGAACATGGAGCAGACCATCAAGGACCTGCAGCACCGGCTGGACGAGGCGGAGCAGATCGCGCTCAAGGGCGGCAAGAAGCAGCTGCAGAAGCTGGAGGCTCGGGTGCGAGAGCTGGAGAACGAGCTGGAGGCCGAGCAGAAGCGCAATGCGGAGTCGGTCAAGGGCATGAGGAAGAGCGAGCGGCGCATCAAGGAGCTCACCTACCAGGTGTGGACCCAGCAGCTGCTCCCGGACAGGGCCCTCTGCATCATGGCCTGAAGCCAGGGTGACAACCACCCCAGAGGGATGAAGTGTTCTTTCTTAGCCTCTTAGAGGGCAAAGAGCCGAAGTACAGCCTATGGCTACTCAGTTTCTACTCTGCCAGGCCCTGTTCTACCCTAAGTGCCACTGGCTCAGGGGACAGTCTCTGAGCCTTCTGGCCTTCAAGCTCCCCATCAACATTCACCATCAACCTGTCCCTTCAGGACACACCCGGAGCTCCAGCAGAGCTCACCCAGCACCGATGACCAGAAAGCAAATATGTAGCCAAATCTTAGCCTGGCATCATCACCACCAAAATACACCAAAGCCATTGGAATGAATCTCAGAACTTTTCAGTTACTCACGGAAGCATAGACTTTAGCTTTCACAGTGTTTTCCAGAATCAGACTATCAATTAGATTTTGTTTCCATTCCAGTCCAGAAAGTCACCATCCTATGCATACTTGTCCTTAACCTAGATCAAGTCTATGTCATTTCCCAGCAGTCCAGGAAATCCCATCAGGCCTGCAGTCCCAGAGTTCCTGCCAGCACATGCTGGGTTTATCCTCCGTGGGGCCCCAGGACCCCCCCAGGGCCCACTTCCAGAACAAGGCCCATGCACAATTTTGTGTGCAATTTCAGGAGGCCCATCCGCTCCCTAGACTCTTTGTTGGCACATACTATTAAAAGTAGGCATATGTTTTTTGATAAGAAATTGTAAGGAGAACTCAAGTGTTTGGTGAGGATCAGAAACTTGAATTGGGTCAGGATACTACCTTCAGGGTAAAGCCGATGAGTGCGGGAGGGTCCATACTGCTTCCTATGACCATGCCATACTCACTGCTGCCCACCTCCTTCCCCACGACCCCCAGACAGAGGAAGACAGGAAGAACCTGCTGCGGTTGCAGGACCTGGTGGACAAGCTGCAGCTGAAAGTCAAGGCCTACAAGCGCCAGGCTGAGGAGGCGGTAAGTGACCCTGCTGGGACCCAGGCCTGGAGGAGGGAACCAGGCAGTCTCATAACCCCTGGCTCCTCACCTCATCCTCCCATCCCCCTGAACCCCCACAGGAGGAACAGGCCAACACCAACCTGTCCAAGTTCCGCAAGGTGCAGCACGAGCTGGATGAGGCTGAGGAACGGGCGGACATCGCTGAGTCCCAGGTCAACAAGCTGCGGGCCAAGAGCCGTGACATCGGCGCCAAGGTGGGTTCTCCCCACGGCAGCAACCCCCCAACCCCTCAGACAGAGCCCCTCACACCAGGACTCCTCCCCTTCACTTACTCCTGCAGCCAAACCCCACAGCCCCAGAGGCGAGGTAACTCAGTCCTCCATGATTTCTAAGGTTCTTCCCACTCTCACTTTCAATGGTTGTGTGATTCCCAGCCCTATGGTGGTCAGCAGAAGCCCTAACTGACACAGAGTCAGTGTGCCCCAACTTCCCCCAACTGCTATTTCCGCTTCTCTTCCACCTGGTTTAGACCTTCAGTCTTGTAACTCCCACCTATGATGTACGTCCCAGAGGACCTTGTCCTTGTCGAGGGAGCGTCCCTCCGTTTGACTCCAGGGCCCTTCCCTCCAGAGCCCTCCCCTCCACACTGACCCCTAGGGCCCATCTCCCACCACCTCGGGGCCTCCCTCAGGCCTCGCAGTGGTACTCCCCACCTTGGTGCCCACCTCTGCTTTGCTGCCTGTGCCTAGCCCTGCCCAGCACCCACCTCTCCGTAGCTAGTGTGGACTGTGTTTCCTTCCCAAAGGGCTTGAATGAAGAGTAGCCGCGCCACATCTTCTTGGTCTGCCCCATCCTGAGGGTGCAACGAAGCTCCCAGTCCTGGAGCCTGGAGAGCTGCCCCTTTGGAAGAAGCAGAATAAAGCAATTTTCCTTGAAGTGAGATCCTGCCTCTAGACTCTTCTTCACAGCCTGCCAGCCACAGGAACACGAGGACATGACCACGGGATGGGGTGGGGGCGGGGCCTCCAGGGGAGGAGGCCAGACCCAGGAGGCCTCCCTGGGGAGCCTAGAGGCTCCGAACATCCTTGGTGCAGCTCTCCCATCACCTCCTTCTCAGCAGATGACACCTCTCCTGTCAGCCCTCTCCCTGGCCCAGAGACCCTGGGGGTTAAAGGAGATTTAGAGATGCCCCTAAAGCTCTCCTAGAGCACGTGAGCCCATCTGTGTTGACCTACGCCTCTGATGTGATCCACACTGCCCCCCACTGCTGACAATACCTGGGCTGGGCCACGGGGAGGAAGTTTAGTGCATGAGGGTGCCCTCCAAGGCATGACCCACTTAAAGTAATGACCCCCCAGTCCCCATGTAAGGTAAGTGTCTGGGAGGGCACAGGACTAGCATCCATAGCTCCTTCCCCTTCCAGACACAGCCTCTACTGTCTCTGACTACCTCCTCACCCTGACCTGGAGAACTGCACTGCAGCCCACCTCCCCATCACCTGGGACCTGGCCTGTGGTCCAAGACACTCTATTCCTCTCCCTCATTAATTCCTACCATAGCTTTTGGCCTTGCTGGAAGATGGAGGTTCTTTGGCCCATTTAGAGCAGGTCATCTGGAGGGGAGGCAGGCAAACGAGGGGCTGGGGAGAGTCACAGTGAGCAGGACCCTGGAGAAGGAAGGGGCTGGGGAGGATCACCAGAGGGCTGAAAATTGGAGGAAGGAGTAAGCTCCCTCTCAACTAAACAAGCCCAGTCCTCCACCTCCCCCAGACTCACTGCCACACCTGGGCTGCTTAGGGAAGGCCTGGACCACAGAGCACGGGAACTGAGGAGGCCCTGGCCTGAATCCTTCCCAATGTACTACCCATGGCCACTCCAAGCCCCTCTGGGCTCTGAGCTCCCAAAGCAGCAGCTAGAGTAAGTGCCCAATCCAGGGAGGAGAGAAAGAGGAAAGAAGGGGAACGGGGAAGGAAAAAGGAAAGACCTAAGGAGGTGGGCAGTGGAGAGAGAGGGAGAAGTTTCAGGAATCCGGAGGATGGTGACCAAGGAAACCAACAAAGAGAAAATATAGAGGAAGTGAGGTGAAAGACCCACAGGCTGTCCCATCTTTCTCTTCACATCCTCCTCCACTCTCCCTGCCTAGCACCAGTCTTCCTAGGAAAGACTTGGAGAACAACAAGGAGATAAGTGGAGGAAAGAGAGGGACACATGTGAAAAGGGAGATGTGGGGGATACTCAGAGAATCCAAGCTTCCAGATCAGAAAACAGTGGCAGAGAGAACAGCCAGCAACCACGCAGCAGACAGGCCACCGAAGGAGGGTGCTGAGAGGGGACGGGAGAGGAGACAGAGAGGGCGAGCCTTGGATAGAGAAGCTAGAAGAGCCAAAGGTCTGGTACTGGGCAAAGGAAAGAGTCCTGGGTCACCCTCAGATACCGGCAAAATCAGGAAAGTGAACAGTCAGGTTCGAGAGACGTGGATGAAGACCCAGGAGCAGGATGTGCAGGCTGAGATGGGACATTGCAGAGGGTGAGTAGAGGCTGGGAAGAGAAAGGCAGAGACGTGTGGAAATACAGGCATGTCAGACCGTGCAATGCGCAGAAATATGGCGCCAGGGAGAACGGGAGCCCAGGTCCAACTTTGAGACAGGGAACCAGGCAGAGGGGAAGGGAGACAGACACAGAGAAGGACAGACAGACAGGGAGCCAGGCAAAGGCAGGGCAAAGCTGGCCCTCTCTCCTCAGCTCCTTACCTGCGGCAGGAGGGTCCAACCGGCACGCTCACCCTCCAGGACACCTAGCAGAATGAGGAGCTACTTTGGGAGGACAGAGAGTAGGGATGGATGTGAGAGGGGGCTAGGATAGGGAGAAGACGGCAAACCAGACCAGACGGGTGGGGCAGAACCCTGGAACCGGGTTAAGCCCTCCCCTCTTCCTCCTTCCATAGGAGACAGTGGGAACCGCCTGCCTACCTCTCACCACGCACCGACTCCATCTATACCCAGTCTGGCTTGCTTAGGACATAGGGTTCCCTGAGGACAAAGCCTAGTCTTTGTCACTTGGTCCTGACCCAGCCTGACCTGATGTTCTCAGCCCCTTATCACGTCCCCAGGGCAATGGGAACCAAGCAGTGACGCACTGGGCCTCAAACTAAACCCCCAGCTTGCATACTAGGTCCTCGAGTGACCTGGAGCAGGGGACAAGTAGCTTTCATCCCAGGGGGAAATGAGTTGGCATATGAACCTGCAGGAGATGGGAAAGTGGGGTTGACTAGGGTCCCCCCAAGGACATGGATATAGGGTACAAGTCCCCTGGAGACAGATATGTATTCCTGAGTCCAACGATGGGGCAGTGGAGGGCCCTAGGGAGTTGGGGACCATGGGGGAGAGACCACATATTTGGTGGAAAGCAGAGAAGTCGACCCCCATCCGTCCTACCCACCTCCACACTCTGGAGCTATATTGAGAGGTGACAGGAGATGGTTTGGGAGGGGGAGCTTGGGAGCATATTCCTGGGTGTGAGGGTGTAGGGAAAGCCAGGGCAGCGGAGTCTGGCTTTGTTTCCTGAACACAATGTCCACTTAGTCATAACAGGCACGGCCTGCTGAAGACCTGACACCTACTCCCTCTGAGAGGTGGCATCACTGGAGGCGGGGAGGGGGCCATGAGGGCCTGGGGCGCTTGGGGACACCCACCAAGAAGGACACGTGAGTATGAGCCCATGAGGGTTGAGAGGGGACACCAGGGTTCTACCTGGGGAGACGGGAGCGGACTGCAGAGCCCCCACCCAGTGGAATGCCGAGCTTGGGGCCCAGCTGGTGTAAATCCCGGGGATTGCCAGGGCCCCAGACAGCCTCAGCAGCACCTGCACCCTCTGGCAGCCCAGAGAGGCGGAAGGGAGCACCCCCACCCTCACCCCTCCTGCCTCAGGCCCCGGGGATTAACGCCTCTCCCTACCCCCATCCCATCCCACAATGGCAGCAGAGGATGGCAGTGAAGGGTAAAAGCTTCTGTGTGCAAATGTGCGTTTGGGTGTGCAAAACAACACAGAGGAAAATCTGCAAACTGAAGTATGCAAGTGTGGAAAATCCTCATGTGTGTGTTAAGACTGGGCATGGACGTGTGGTGGTCAAATCTGGACGGTAGATTGCTGAACTGCGGCTCTCTGTGCGCATCTGCCATGGTGGCATGGGGCAGCTCCATCCTCTGCTTGACAGGTCAGACAGTGGCCACTGTATCAGGAGTGTCGGGGAGGGGCTGGGGGCTCCGGATGTATCCCTAATGTAATGCAAACTCACGTTCCCAGGAGGACACCTGCCTGCAGACTGGGGAACGCACAAAAAGAGAGGGCAGCACGAAATCCTTTTCCTGACAAAGGGAAACTGAGTCAAGGACCCAAGCAGAGGAGCCCCTCCCTGGGCATCCTGGCTCCAGCTGCCAGGCCCCAGCACCATGGGACTCCAGGTCCAGAGAGGGTGGGGAGTTGCTCCCAGCCTGGGGCCATGTGAGGACAGGCCAGGGAGGAAAGGAGGAGGGGAGCCCGTGGCTGGGAGGCAAGGGACAAGCCTCTGGTCTGCAGGAGAAGGTGGCCCTCACCCCGTGTGCTCAACTCACCCTTCTGGTTAAAAATAACCAAGGTAAGGGCCTGATGGGGGGCGGGAGGGAGGTGGTGTGAGAAGTCCTGTCTTGCCACTATCTGCCCATCAGTCCTTTGGAGGGGAGGAATGTGCCCAAGGACTAAAAAAAGGCCCTGGAGCCAGAGGGGCTGGGGCGACAGACCTTTCATGGGCAAATCTGGAGGCCCCGGGTGTCCTCTTGTCACCTCCAGAGCCAAGGGATCAAGGGAGGAGGGGCTGGGAGGAGAGAGAGGTGGGAGGGAGGGTCCCTCCGGAAGGACTCCAAATTTAGGCAGGGGGTGGGGGCAGCAAAATATAAAGGAGTGTGCTCCAAGGACAGACTGACACTCCTCTGAACCAGGTAAGATGGGGCTCAGGGTGGGAGCCCCCATCTCAAAGGGAATGGGGTGAGATCAGTCGGAGGCCCAAGGGTTCTGCTTGAACTGTCTTGCTCCAGCCCTGGGAAGTTGCTCACGACAGAGGGCAGGTTCCCAGGGGAAAACCAGAAACCTCTTTTCTTCTCCTACCTGCATGTCCTCCCCGGCTTTCGTCTCTTTCATGTGCTTTCTTCACCTTTGTCCCTTCTTGGATGGCTTCCCTCTTGCAGTCCAGTTTGTTTTTGTTTGTTTTTTTTTAAGGGAGGATAGTTACAATATTGTGATGGTTCTTGCCATACATCAACATGAATTGGCCACGGGTGGTTCAGTTTTATTTTTCCTCCTGGTCTTTGTCAGCACTTGTCACTATCATACTTCCTTGTCTGTCTCTCTTCCTGCTCTCTTGGCTGTGTGTTATCTCCTTGCCTCTCTCTGTTTCAAACTCAGATTCCACAGCCCACTCCTTGAACTTTTAGTAACTCTGCATCCTTCCTTTCCTGCCTCTCTGCCGCTCACCTGCCCCTGACTGCCCCTTTCAGTCTGTCCGGCTCGGCTGACTCTCTGGGTTGAGACTCGCAGGTTACTTCTGCCCATGGGCTGCCTCCCTTGTTCTTCATTCTCCTTGTCTCTTCTCTCTGACCAGCTGTACCTCTGTGGCTCACGGTGCAGGGTCTTCAGGATTCTCTGTGAAGAGGTCACCAGGTGAGAACCACCCCAATTTTCTCCTGGAAGCCAGGTTGCTGGACCAGGGGCCCCTGTCTCTCCTCTGAGTGGCTCAGCACCTTGCCTTAGCAATCTCCAGTCCATTCCAGCTCACGCAAACCCCTCACAGATTCCCCTTCAGCCTCATATCAGAGAGCAAGACAGGGCTGGATGCAGGCCAGGTGCTTCTCAGCTGGGGAGGTGAGAGTGACAGGACCCAGGTGGTGAGGAGATGCGGCAGGGAATGGGGGCTGCAGAGGGCAAGGCCACCCACTGAGGCCCAGGCCCTCCTGTCTCGGCCGCAGAGGGTTGACAAGATGACCGATGCCCAGATGGCCGATGCCCAGATGGCCGACTTTGGGGCAGCAGCCCAGTACCTCCGCAAGTCAGAGAGGGAGCGACTGGAGGCCCAGACACGGCCTTTCGACATCCGCACCGAGTGCTTCGTGCCGGATGACAAGGAGGAGTTCGTCAAGGCCAAGATCCTGTCCCGGGAGGGAGGCAAGGTCACTGCCGAGACAGAGAATGGCAAGGTGCGTGGGACACAGCGCAGGGCGGGGAGTGCAGGGCCGAGCCACGTGCAGCGGGAGCCGAGGGGCTCTGGGGGAGGGCCAAAGTCAGCGGGCGTTCAGGACGACCTCCCCTCAAGTGGCCCAGCACCTAGGTGAGAACTGACCGTTCTTGTTGGATCTGAGCAAGCGTAACAAGGCCACACCGGGGATGCCCACCCCTTGCCAAGAAGGATGCTGCAGGCAGGGAACCTCAGCTGGTTTCCTCCTCCGAGGGGTTATGTAGCTAAAGAGAGCACGGACACTGCATCAAACGAAGCTCCCTTCTCAAACCTGCATCCCTCCACTCTGTGCCTTAGTGTTCTCCATGGACCAACTCTCCCCAGTGCTCCCCAACCATACCAAGAGCAAATTTTACAGATGAACACAAAGCAGGAGCTCTTGAGCCGGATGCTCAGTCCAGGGCTGACGACTGGCACTCAGAAGCCCACGGTCCCTGGTCCCTCATTCCAGCCGTTAGAACTGCCACCGATCAGCAGCAGTGGCTCTGAACCGTATGCCTTGTCGACTGACTGTCTACGAGTCTGACTGTCTATACTGGCTGACTGTCGCGTCCCCTTGAGGTGTGCAATAACAGGCCACAACCACTGGGGGCTTTAACTATAATCCCAGCTCTGCCACTAGCAGCCACCATATACTGGCAAATCATTTATCATTTGCTCCACTGTAAAAAAAAAAAAATGCTGGAATACCTACTCACAGTATCTCATGATGCCAGGGCATGACAAACTGGCCAATGGCAGTCAAACCATTTGATAGTGACCAATGAAGACTGTGGAGTAGATGGGTGAGATGTTTCTCCAGTAGCAACAAAGTTTGCCTTGAGCAATTGATGCCCTCAAGCATGCCCCCAGGAGTCAAGGTAAGATGCAGATCAGAGAGCCTCTTGCCCCAAGACCCTCAGGCAGGGACTGAAAGGTGATGCTCATGGGCACAGAGTGTGGGGAACTGGCAAGACAGGGAGACTCTAGGACAATCCATAAGAAGGGAGAGACAGAATGCAGGTGAATTATCTGGCATCATAGGAAGCTACGGGGTAGGGCCCGGGCACTATGAGAAAAGAGCCAGGGGAACAAGGCCAGGTCACAGCCTGTGTTCTGGGAGGAGATAAGTGGGCAGGGCTAGAGAGGGTCCTGGTAGACATGTCTGTCCTACTGCCCACTGCCCCCCCAGACAGTGACCGTGAAGGAGGACGAGGTGTTGCAGCAGAACCCACCCAAGTTCGACAAGATCGAGGACATGGCCATGCTGACCTTCTTGCATGAGCCTGCGGTGCTTTTCAACCTCAAAGAACGATACGCAGCCTGGATGATATACGTGAGTGCACCCTGCACATGGCGGGCAGCGTCCAAAGTCAGCCAGGGCAACTTTCTCAAGGGAAGGGGGTTGGAACTCTCCCTCTGCTCCCTCCCCATCCCTGGTTAGCTGCAGGAAGATAGGAGCCAGCTGGCATAACTGGGGATGCCTCTGCCTAGCACCACTGCCCATCCCAGGCTCTCCCCTCCGATTTCTCGTGACTGCCCTGTCTCCTGCTTCAGACCTACTCGGGCCTCTTCTGCGTCACCGTCAATCCCTACAAGTGGCTGCCGGTGTACAATGCCGAGGTGGTGGCCGCCTACCGGGGCAAGAAGAGGAGCGAGGCACCTCCCCACATCTTTTCCATCTCCGACAACGCCTACCAGTACATGCTGACAGGTAGGCCGGCAGCCCTGACCTGTGGCCCCTCAGTGCCACACCAGAGACCGAGGCCCTGAGCCCTGACCCACTGCCTCTCCTCTTTTCTCTTCCAGATCGGGAAAACCAGTCTATCCTCATCACGTGAGTGAGCAGCACCCATCCACAGAGTGGCCTGGTAGAGGGGAGGCCCAGGCTGACTCCTGGGGTGCTAGGGATGGTTTCAGGCTGTGGTTGCCAGGAGCTGGGCTCTCTGAGGAGTGCCAGAGTGACCTACGGCAATGGGCAGATTCTGCAAGGAGGGGATTAGATCTGGGGGAGGACATTAGATGGCTGGGACGTAGAGGGTGCAGTGCTGAGCTTTGAATGGAAAACAGTGGGAATCTGGGTTCTTATGGGTCCATGTTGTCTCCAGCGGAGAATCCGGGGCAGGGAAGACTGTGAACACGAAACGTGTCATCCAGTACTTTGCCAGCATCGCAGCCATAGGTGACCGTGGCAAGAAGGACAATGTTAATGCAAACAAGGTAGGAGTTGGGCCGCAGGCTCAGCAGAGGGGGTTGGGGGCCAGGCTAACCAGGTGACCCTGAGCCCTGCCCTGGGGAACAGTGCAGACAGCATCCCTGAGCCCAGTACCAGAGACCTTCCCAGCAGGAGACACATTTTCTGAGGTCTGAATATGGCCCTCTTGAGCTGCAGACCCACCAGCAGTCCATCCCACTCCACCACCACCCTCCCCACCACCTCCTAGAGATGAAGCCCTGCGCTCTGCCCCCTCTGCAGGGCACCCTGGAGGACCAGATCATCCAGGCCAACCCCGCCCTGGAGGCCTTCGGCAATGCCAAGACCGTCAGGAATGACAACTCCTCCCGCTTCGTGAGTGCACCTGACCACTGCCCACATGCAGCGTTGATGAAAAAAAGGGTAGAGGTGTAGTTTTGCCAAAAGTCTCCACACCTGGCTGATTGTCCTGAATTTGGTTTTGGGATATCGACTAACACACACGCACATTCCAAACCCTCCCCACTCAGCCTGGCCCCCGAGTTCTGAGAACTCAAGAAAAGAGACCCAGAGCCACCAAAGCTATTTGTTGCAGAACCAAGTCATCGGGCTGACTTGGGTAGCATTCTATATTTTTTTTATGACTGTTCCCAAAGCTCTTCCACGCTATAAGTGGAAGAGCTGGAAGGAAGACAGCAGGGGCTTTTAAGCCAATTCTCCAGCCTTCAATCTGTCCAGCAAGTCCCCACCCCTCTCTGAGCCCCAGGTCCTTCATCTGTGAGACCAAGGCAGTAGTCTCTACCTTGTTGGTTATTGGGAGGATGACGTGAGATCATATCAGAGGCACAAACAGGACGCATTCTATTTTGTTCATGATACTAAACTGGGACTCCAAGGAAATCATTTACATTTCCAAAACCATCCAGGGCATTCTGGGTTGCACTGAGGTCCAGGATCTCCATCTGTCTCTTCTAGCTCCCTCCCTCACTCTTTGTCCCATCTACCCCCAGGGGAAATTCATCAGGATCCACTTTGGAGCCACTGGAAAGCTGGCTTCTGCAGACATAGAGACCTGTGAGTATTCAGGGAGCCTGGCCCCCTCCTTCAGAGTCCTCCACCTCTGCCTTCATTCCCCACTGGACGCCATCTTCTGTGGAAATTTCCCCTCTGTCTCCTGTCTCTGTCTACATTTGCCTCTGGACTTTATCATTCTTTTCCCTTTAAACCGAGTCTTCCCCTGTCTCTCTCCACTTGCCATGAGAGCCTTTCTCCCCTGACCTCCACCCTTGCGCTGATTGGCTCTCTTCCTTCCTACCTGCTCTCCCCCGCCTCCCCTACTCCAGATCTCCTGGAGAAGTCCCGGGTGATTTTCCAGCTGAAGGCTGAGAGGAACTACCACATCTTCTACCAGATCCTGTCCAACAAGAAGCCAGAGCTGCTGGGTGAGCCCCGTCAGAGGTCCCTGCTGCCCCTGGCGCCCCCCGCAAGCCCAGCGGTGCAGGGCGGACCCCTCTTCCTCCTCACCCGCCCCGCCCACCTGTCACCTGTCCCCTCCCTCCATCCGCCCAGTACCTTTCTCTTCCTCCTTCACCTTGGACCCACCTGTGTCAACTCTTGCCTCCCTTTCACACCCTTCCTTCTCTTCTTTCTCCTCCACTTTACTTTTTTTCTCCTTCTCCTCTGCGTTTGTCTCCCCCTCCCCCCACCGTCACTTCCCCACCGTCCTCTCTCCCCGTGTCCCCACCACCCACTTTTCCTTTTCTTCTGGATCCTCCCCTTGGCCTTTGCTGACTGTCCTCCTCTCTGCCTGCTCCCACTCCTCCCCTCTCCCCACCCCTTGCCCCACTGTGCCCCACTCCCGTCCCCTTGTCCCCGGCCCTGCCCCTCGCCTGGACAGACATGCTGCTGGTCACCAACAACCCCTACGACTACGCCTTCGTGTCTCAGGGGGAGGTGTCTGTGGCCTCCATCGACGACTCTGAGGAGCTCATGGCCACCGATGTGAGTAAGGAGGCAGTGGCAGGGCTCCGGGGGCTCCTGGGCCACCCGCCCCGTCACCCACTCTGCCTCTCTCGCCCTGCCCCAGAATGCCTTCGACGTGCTGGGCTTCACTTCTGAGGAGAAAGCCGGCGTCTACAAGCTGACAGGCGCCATCATGCACTACGGAAACATGAAGTTCAAGCAGAAGCAGCGGGAGGAGCAGGCGGAGCCGGACGGCACCGAAGGTTTGAGGCCAGGAGGCCAAGCTGGGAAGGCCTGAGGGCAGCGTGTCTGCCTCTCGTGCAGGGACAGTGCTCCGGGAGCAGAGTCTCCTCCACGCCACGTCCAAACGGGGCGCCTGTCAGTGATTCCTAAGGAGCAACACTCACAGCAGCAATGTTAGGACCATGATACAGAAAACGGGAGGAAACCCAAAGCAGGAGAAGCAGGTGGTTGGAAGGTGGTGCCTTTTCCCAGGGGTGGGTTCTCCCCACCTGATCTAGATTCGAGGTTTTCTGTTCCATTATAACCTAGCCAGACACCACCCTCCACCCCGAACAGGCTGGATCCCAGAGGACCTGAGGCTTGTGGGTGGTGAGGGAAGGGACATGGGAGAAGTGGGAAGACAGGAGGCCCCTCACAGTCCTGCTAGTTTCTCAACCCCAGCTGCACTGAGCAGAAGTGAAATGGAGAGATTTCCTCCTGTGCCCAAGACTCCACCAGGCCCAGGAAAGCACAGACCTGAGTTCTGAGTATCCCCATCACTAAGGCAGTGTGTATGTGAGGGTGTCCAACCCTCAGGAGAGTCCCTCACAGGCTCTGTGCCATATTCTGCTGGGAGACAGGAGGCCAGGGGTCAGAACACAGCTCTGGGTGTTGGCACATCACCCACATCACTGGGTCTCAGCTTCCTCCTCAGTGGAATAAAGCAGTAGCCCTTCCTAGCTCCCTCTGAGGCTGATTCGAGAATCCCTTGAGAAGGAGATGTGAAGGTGTAAACAGGGCTGGAGAAATGCCTGAGAATATTCCTCTTGACCTACCTTCAAGGATCCCTTCTCTGTATCTATCCAGATCAAATGCCAAACCTGAGTTTCACAAAAGCATGTCACCAGTTATCATAAAACTCTCAAAATTAAACCAAGGAAGTCTCCTCTAAATAGAGATCATGGGGCTTTCCAAGTGGTTCAGTGGTAAAGAATCCACCTGCCAATGCAGGAGACACAGGAGATGCAGCTTTGATCCTTGGGTTGGGAAGATACCCTGGAAGAGGAATGACAACCCACTCCAGTATTCTTACCTGAAAACTCCCATGGACAGAAGAGTCTGGCGGGCTACAGTCCATAGGGCTGCAAAGAGTCAGACACAGCTGAGCATGCACGCACACATACAGATAGAGTTTGTATGTTGGATAGCACATTTGGAGAGCTGAGGGTCGGTGGGCTGACCAACACACTGTTAGGAACCTTGATTTCCCAGCGAGTCAATTTGGTGGACACATAGATTCACTATAGAGCATGCCCAGTCCTGGGCTAGATCCTGGGACTGGGGACAAAGGCAGCACGGAGCAGAGAACATCATCAGCCACAGTCCCTGCACTGAGAGAGGAGAGGATGCATGAGGGCAGGGGACATGCCTACAGCTGTGCTGGTAATGGGCCAGGTCTAGAGACATGCAGGAGCGGTAAAGATGGAGGCGAGGTGGCAGGGTGGTGGGAAGTCTGGGGTGACGGAGGAGCCTCAGGCACACACTGGCTGTGTCACTGTGGCAAGCCCTGTGCCTTTCAGGCCTCAATTTGCAGCTCTTTAATGAGAGGGATAGGACCTAGTGGCCCTGGGCAGGGAAGGACAGTCTATGGAAAGTGCTTCCCTTTCTTTCCCCACCAGATGCTGACAAGTCCGCCTACCTCATGGGGCTGAACTCAGCAGACTTGCTCAAGGGGCTGTGCCATCCTCGGGTGAAGGTGGGCAATGAGTACGTCACCAAGGGGCAGAATGTCCAGCAGGTGTACTACTCCATCGGGGCGCTGGCCAAGGCGGTGTATGAGAAGATGTTCAACTGGATGGTGACGCGGATCAACTCCACCCTGGAGACCAAGCAGCCGCGCCAGTACTTCATAGGCGTCCTGGACATCGCCGGCTTCGAGATCTTTGACGTGAGTGGGACCGGGAGAATGGGAACTCACTGGTTCACACAGCCAGCCACCGCTGGCCAAGCCCTGGGGAACGCTGTGGGCTCCCCAGGGGTGGAGACAGCCACGTGTCTTCAGGAGGTGCTCCCTCCCTGCCCTGACCAGAGAGAGGCCAGCCACACCCATTGCCAGGCTGGACGCATTCCTGAGCCGACCCCTCAGGCCACAGACCCCTGCCCACCTGACCCACTCCTCCCCGTCCCCGCCCTGCAGTTCAACAGCTTTGAGCAGCTGTGCATCAACTTCACCAATGAGAAGCTGCAGCAATTCTTCAACCACCACATGTTCGTGCTGGAGCAGGAGGAGTACAAGAAGGAGGGCATTGAGTGGGAGTTCATCGACTTCGGCATGGACCTGCAGGCCTGCATCGACCTCATCGAGAAGGTGCTGCCTTGGCCCCTCCACCCAGGTCCCTGAACCTGCCATCCCAGACGAAGTGGCAGCCCTGTCCCTCGACACCCAGGAAACTAGTCCCCACATCCCCCAGCCTCCCTCCAGGCCCTGCTTCCCCTCACTGTGACATTGCAGGCATACACAGGTCCAGCCCTTCCTTCTCTCCCCAGCACCTAGGACCTTGTCCCATATGGGGGACATCTCCCAGGGCCTGAAGAGACAGATGTAGTGAAGGAGGGAGACGCCCTCTGACGCCCCATGAGAAGCAGCATTCGTGGAAAGGACCTAGGCTGAAACTAGACACATTGGCTTCCCATCCTCTCCCAGTTGGCTGAGGATAAGCCAGTCTTCAGGCCCTCTTGTCTGTGGAGAGTCCTCAGAGGACACCCCTTGTCCTGGCTTGCTTTCAGTGAGCCTTTGCTGAGGGAGGCAGAGCCCGCAGCAACTGATGGTCCCCCAGCCCAGCCACAACCAGTCTGAAATAGGGGCCTCCCCCCACAAGCTTTGCCTAGTGATCCAGGGCCCTTCGCTTCTGGAGGCCTTGGATTCCCCCAAGATTGTATGGAAAAATGTGTGTGTACTGGTGGGGTGGGGGTGCATACGCAAGTATGTGTGTGCAAGCGAATTCTGGGGAGGAAGTCTTAGGGTTCACCAAATTCTCAGTAGGATCCCTGTCCCAGGAAAAGTCAAAAGCTGCTACACTTTCTGAAATGCAGGACATCGTGCAGAACCTGAATCCCTCTAAGCACTCCTTGGAACACTGTTCTCTGACATACAGGCACAGGTCTGGCCTGCCCTGCAGTCTGACACCTCCCATCCCTTCTGTCCCATCCTCATCCCACTCTGGGGCAGGGACATCCAGGAAGAAGGGGCTGTGCTCTGAGCCCTGGGGGTAGGGACTGGGAGTACAGGACTCTTCTCTGGGTCCACCGGGCCAGAAAGAGGTTCCCTAGGCCAGATCTGAATGTTCTCAGATTTATGTTGGCTTCAGGAACGCTGGCTTCCGGTACCAGGACATGAGGGAGCAGCACGGGCTCTCTGTGGCCTGCCAGCTACACAGCTGCAGTTTCTCCTCAGTCAGGGTGTGGGATTCTGCAAACCTGGGGATGTGTTCAGTGACGCTCTCCTCTCTCCCCTAAGCCCATGGGCATCATGTCCATCCTGGAGGAGGAGTGTATGTTCCCCAAGGCCACCGACATGACCTTCAAGGCCAAGCTGTACGACAACCACCTGGGCAAGTCCAACAACTTCCAGAAGCCGCGCAACATCAAGGGGAAGCCGGAAGCCCACTTCTCCCTGATCCACTACGCCGGCACGGTGGACTACAACATCATAGGCTGGCTGGAGAAAAACAAAGACCCGCTCAACGAGACAGTGGTAGGCTTGTACCAGAAGTCTTCCCTCAAGCTCATGGCCACGCTCTTCTCCTCATATGCCTCCGCCGATGTCGGTAAGAGGGCAGCCCTCCACTGCCAGAGCAGTTCTGGAGGTGCAAGGGGCCAGGGGCCCACTGCTTCAAACCACGTGACTCCAAAGGCAGGAGGGGGACTTCCCTGGTGGTCCAGTGATTAAGGCTTCATGCTCCCAATGGTGGGAGGTGGGAGTTTGATCCCTGGTCAGGAAACTAGATACCACATGCCGCAACTAAGCGTTCACCTGCTGCAGCTAAAGATCCCACATGCCACAACAAATACTGGCACAACCAAATTTTTTTAAAAAAATAGTTTTTTAAAATTAAAAAAATAAAGGCAGGAGGGAGCCATAAGAGGGGGGACAAGAGAGCCCACAGCAGCCCATCGGTGCCATTTCTGTGGAAGTGTGATTTTCCCCTCTGGGTTATGGATGTTGGTATACGTGTTCTGCATCTCTTCAAGACTCAGAGCAACTGAAGACCAGTGCCTGAGGCACCCGCGTTGCTGCAGCAGGCCTGGCATAGAACCATGTCTGCAGGAGGCCGCAGTAAATGTTGAGAGCATCCCTGAATGTGCGGTAGAACAAATGAGCCTCCCCTTCAGAGAAGGGAGAGAAAGGGTGTGGATTGAAATGAGGAGGATAAAATACAAGAAAAAAAGTAGAAAGTGGAAAAATGTAAGCAAGGTGTGGGAGGTTAGAGAGAGAAGGAGGAGAAAGCACTAATGTTATTTCAAGACCTACTGTGTGCCAAACAGTGGAGAGGCAGCCTGAAGCTTTGATCTTTTCTAATCTTCTCTATACCATTTAAAGGGACTCACTCTCCTCTTCATGGGAAAACTGAGACTTGGAGATAAATTGTCCAAAGTCACACAGCTAGTGAGCAGCAGAGCCCTGCCCCTGCTCAAAGGGTCTCCGATTTCAAGCCCTGGTTCATCATTCTTTCTCTTGTTATTAGGGGACAGCAGTAAAAGCAAAGGAGGCAAGAAAAAGGGTTCATCATTTCAGACAGTGTCAGCCCTCCACCGGGTAAGAAGGGCCCAGAGATACCAAGAGACTTGTGGTGGGCAGACCCAGCCCAGAGCATTTTGTTTGCACCACCCCTAACCTGATGCTCTTGAGTCTGGGGAGGAAAGAAGCTAGAGTTATGTGATTGTTTTTCGCATGTAAATTCTACACAAGCCTGAATTCACATCATAAGTTATGTATCACCTCCCAATCCCTTAGAGGGTTCTGGTGACAGGTTGTCTGGGGCCCAGGGTCAGGGACTAAAGGGATGGTCACTGTGGCTCCTGACCTCCACCTCTCATCTGCCTCCAGGAGAATCTGAACAAGCTAATGACCAACCTGAGGACCACTCATCCTCACTTTGTGCGCTGCATCATCCCCAATGAACGAAAGGCTCCTGGTGAGTGATGCACAAGGGTCTAGTCTGGATAGGGCATTTGGCATCCACTTGTCCTGAGGCTGACCCCCTGCCTCTCCCCTCCTGCTGCAGGGGTGATGGACAACCCCCTGGTCATGCACCAGCTGCGCTGCAACGGCGTACTGGAGGGCATCCGCATCTGCAGGAAAGGCTTCCCCAACCGCATCCTCTACGGGGACTTCCGGCAGAGGTGGGTACCGGGAGCCGCAGGACTCAAGGAACAGGGAGACCCTGGGCAGCCTTGCGGGGAGGGGAGTCTGTAGCTGGCCTCAGAGTCTGTGAAAGTGAAAGTGTTAATCACTCAGTTGTGTCCAATTCTTTGCAACCCCATAAACTGTAGCCTGCCAGTCTCCTCTGTCCATGGAATTCTTCAGGCAAGAATACTGGAATGAGTAGCCATTTCATTCTCTAGGGGATCTTCTCGACCCAGGGATAGAACCCAGGTCTCCAGCATTCCAGGCAGATTCTTTACTGTCTGAGGCACCAGGGAAGCCCCTTGATTCTGTGGGCAGAGCAAATCAGTGCAGAACGTGGGTAACTCCAGGCACCTCCCTCCAGGTATCGCATCCTGAACCCAGCGGCCATCCCCGAGGGCCAGTTCATTGACAGCAGGAAAGGGACAGAGAAGCTGCTGGGCTCCCTGGACATTGACCACAACCAGTACAAGTTCGGCCACACCAAGGTGAGTCTGGAGGCCCTTAGGGTGGGGGTATAGGATACCCAGCCACACTGAGTGGAACAGCTGGGAATTCGGAAGGCAGACTCTGATTTCTGGCTTCCCGTGTCAACCAAGAGTTGGGACCCAGCTTCTTTTCAGTCTTGTTTTTCACATTTCACTCCCAGGTCTAGGGTATGCAGGTGATGGGGCCCTGGGAAGCTCAGCCAGGGTCTGCCACACTGTCCCTCCACCTTGGCTACCCTTCTCTGAGGCTGCCACCCCCTTGGCCCTACCCCTTGCCCCCAGGTGTTCTTCAAGGCGGGGCTGCTGGGGCTGCTGGAGGAGATGCGAGACGAGAGGCTGAGCCGCATCATCACCCGAATCCAGGCCCAAGCCCGGGGTCAGCTCATGCGCATTGAGTTCAAGAAGATCCTGGAGCGCAGGTGAGGCTGGAGGGAAAGGGAGACTCACTCTCAGAGATGTAAGAGGCAGACAAGCAGAGCTCAGAGGTGTGGGCCAAAAGACCTAAGTTCAATCCTGGCTTCATCACTTACTAGCTGGTCTGGACAAGTGACCAGTCTGGGTCTCATTTTGAGTTCTTTTTAAAAAAAGAAAATTCCCCATAGGGAAATGAAAATTAAGATTCCAACGAGATACCATTTTAAAACACTAGACTGTAGCCTGCCAGGCTCCTCCGTCCATGGGATTTTCCAGGCAAGAATACTGGAGTGGGTTGCCATTTACTTCTCCAGGGGATCTTCCGGACCCAGGGATCAAACATGGGTCTCTCACATTGCAGGCAGACTCTTTACAGTCTAAGCCACCAGGGAAATGTGTGCAATCTCTTTGGAAAACAGTTTATCATTTTCTTTGAAAGTTGAACAGTTACATAGCTTTCCACTCCTGAGTGCATTCCCACAGAGAAATACCTGCACGTGAGAGAAATACCTGCACGTGTTCACAACACGAGACAAAAATGAATCTTTATAGCAGCATTGGTCAAAATGGCAAAGATCTGGAAACAATTTGAATTTTCATCTGCAGGAGAATGGGTAAATAGTAGCATACTCATTTGGGTAATATTATCGAGTAATGAAAAGGAGAGGACTAAAACTACATGGTACAATACATTTGAGCCTTAAAAGCATATTGCTGAGTTAACAGAAGCAAGTCACAGAAGGATACATATATTGTGATGCAATTTTTATAAAACTCGGTAATAATTTTAAAAGAGCATCCTCCTGCAATGCAGGAGGTGCACAGGAGACTTCCCAACCCAGGGAACTTCCCTGGGTTGGGAAGATACCTCATAGGAGGAAATGGAAACCCACTTCAGTATTCTTACCTGGAAAATTCCATGGACAGAGGAGCCTGGCAAGCTACAATCCATGGGGTTGAAAAGAGTCAGAAGTGACTGAGCACACACACACATCATTTAAAAATACATACACATATGGTTAAAATATTTTTGAAAGAGTTAGGAAATGAAAAACACAAGATTCAAGGTAGTGACTGCTTCTGGTGAAAGGACTGGAAATGGGGTGGAGTAAAGTCTACAAGTAGAATCAATGAAGGCAATGCTCTACTTCTTGTCTGGGTGATGAGTTCACAGATAAACCATTTTGCTTCATTCTTCATAACTTACACATACATTATAGACATTCTTAAATGGAAAATACCATGTTCTTAACATATTTGAGGTTCTTAGATTAGAAACACTGAACACAGTAGAGATGCTATAATTGGTCACTTCCATAGCTACTGCTACCCCAGTAAGGAAGATATAAACTGCCCTTTTGTTGAATTGATCAATTAACAAACATTTATGGAGCAACTCCATGTTCAGTGTGGTAATGCTGGGGTGGAGTTGCATATCAAGGCTACAAGAGCAGGTTCCTGCCCTCAGGTGCCCACAAACTTGTTCAGATGTGCTGGAATCCCAGTGCAGTGGGATCTGGGCCAGTGCAGCTGGCCCCATGACTGGAAAGTGCTCCTTCACAGTACGGCTCCCTGCCTCCATGTTCCTTTCCCAGGGATGCCCTGCTGGTAATCCAGTGGAACATTCGGGCCTTCATGGGGGTCAAGAACTGGCCCTGGATGAAGCTCTATTTCAAGATCAAACCACTACTGAAGAGCGCAGAGACTGAGAAGGAGATGGCCACCATGAAGGAGGAGTTTGGGCGAATCAAAGAGACACTGGAGAAGTCGGAGGCTCGGCGCAAGGAGCTGGAGGAGAAGATGGTGTCCCTACTGCAGGAGAAGAACGACCTGCAGCTCCAAGTGCAGGCGGTGAGACCATCTCTCTATCCCCCTCCCCTGGATCCTAACCCATCTCATCATCAGGGACTATGAGTCTCCAAGCTTCAGCTCTCTTTAAACACTCTGGATCTCTCCTCTCTTTCATCACCAGCTCTCCTCTCTGTCCTCTTCTCTCAGGAACAAGACAACCTGAATGATGCAGAAGAGCGCTGTGACCAGCTGATCAAGAACAAGATCCAGCTGGAGGCAAAGGTGAAGGAGATGACCGAGAGGTTGGAGGACGAGGAGGAGATGAATGCTGAGCTCACTGCCAAGAAGCGCAAGCTGGAAGATGAGTGCTCTGAGCTGAAGAAGGACATTGATGACCTGGAGCTGACACTGGCCAAGGTGGAGAAGGAGAAGCACGCGACAGAGAACAAGGTGAGGGCGGCTCCCTTTGACTCCAGACCGAGTCTCAGGATTCCCAGACCTGAGTGTGGTCCTGGCCCCTGGCCTTGGAGGTCTCCATGGATGTCTCCAGGTTGGTGATGTTTAGCCCTAAAGAGGATGGGGTTCTTGGTCAACAGGTGAAGAACCTGACAGAGGAGATGGCTGGGCTGGATGAGATCATTGCCAAGCTGACCAAGGAGAAGAAAGCTCTGCAAGAGGCCCACCAGCAAGCCCTGGATGACCTTCAGGCTGAGGAGGACAAGGTCAACACGCTGACCAAGTCTAAAGTCAAGCTGGAGCAGCAGGTGGATGATGTGAGTAGGAACAACCATGCTTCCTTTGTCTCTCTCAGGTCAGGATTTTGCAGGCAATGCCAATGGCAAGGGGTTTGCAATCCCTAAAACTAACTTCCATCCCCCCCGGGGACCTTTTCTTCCTGTGCATGCTAAGTCACTTCAGTTGTGTCTGACTCTTTGCGACCCTATGGACAGTAGCCCACTAGGCTCCTCTGTCCATGAAATTCTCCAGGCAAGAATACTGGAGTGGGTTGCCGTGCCCTCCTTCAGCGGATCTTCCTGACCCAGGGATTGAACCTGCAGCTCCTGCATTGAAGGCAAATTCTATACCACTGAGCCACCTGTGAAAGCCCCTTTCTTTCTACAGTTCTTCACTAGGCTGGGTCTCTGAATCCTTCATGTCTGCCAGGATGACTCTGCTGGCTTGACTTCCAGTCCCACTGGATTTTGGGTTTAGAAGGGAGCAGAGGCGGATGTATTGTGGACCTCAGGTTTTCTACACCCTGTTCATTTTTACTTTCTCCACCAGCTGGAGGGATCCCTGGAACAGGAGAAGAAGGTACGCATGGACCTGGAGCGAGCTAAGCGGAAGCTGGAGGGTGACCTGAAGCTGACCCAGGAGAGCATCATGGACCTAGACAATGACAAACTGCAGCTGGAAGAAAAGCTCAAGAAGTAGGAGCTTACGGAGGCCGGGAGGGGGTCCTGAGGGTGTCTGGCCTTAGGGTTAGAGCTCAGGGTGCTGCACGGCCTCTGGCCAAGGCTGCCCAGGGCTCAGTGGGAGCAAGCAGGTCAATCACAGCCCTTCCCTTGCCTTCACTCCTGGGGGCCAGAGGGAGAGGAGTGGTCCTTGCATGCAGAGGCAGGAGGAGAGGATGAGGGCAGAGAAAAGAAAAGCACCTGTCACTTCCTTCTTCTCCAGGAAGGAGTTTGACATTAATCAGCTGAACAGTAAGATTGAGGATGAGCAGGCACTGGCCCTTCAGCTGCAGAAGAAACTGAAGGAAAACCAGGTGAGTTTCTTCTGGGTGCAGCCACCGGGGAGCTCAATGGCGCTGAGACAGCTGGGACTGCAGGAGCTGCTTAGGGTTCTAGGCAGTATCTAGACCTCTGAGCTCCCCGGAGGCCCTGCGAGCCCTGACTTCCAGGCACCTGGGAACGTCAGCCTTCCCCCATTAAACCAATAATGTCTTATTTCATCTGGGCTATTTGGAGAGGTGGGTGGGGATCATACTTACTAAAACGGCTTCTCTTGCTGAGCTATACTCTGCCTAATGGATTTTCTTGTGCTTACTCGCTCAGTCGTGTCCAACTCTTTGTGACCCCATGGACTGCAGTGTGCCAGGCTCCTCTGTCCATGGACATTCTCCTGGCAAGAATACTGGAGTGGGTTGCTATGCCCTTTTCCAGGGATCTTCCTGACTCAGGGATCAAACCCAGGTCTCCCTCATTGCAGGCAGATTCTTTACCATCTGAGCCGTCAGGGAAGCCCAATGGGCTTTCTGCCCTGGGACCATTAGTAGGGCTCGGTTCTCCTCCAACCCTTCCTTTGGTGCTTCTCTCCCCTCATGGGGGTTAGAAAAGCCTTCATGGAGCCCCTTCCCCTGGGGAGCTCTGTTCTTATTCTTCCCAGGTACTTGCCTTGCCACTAACTCGGGCTGAATCCCCACAGAGCACTTGAGTCAACTCCTGAGACCTTGAGCAAGTCACTTCCCCTCCTGCAACTCAGATTCTCTCTCATCTGTAAAATGAGACTAATGACCCCTGCCTTGCAGAAGACCAGAAGAGATACTGTACAGGAACCCACGCTGTCAATCAGGAGGCTACGTGTACATGTGATTTTCAGTATAGCTCAGGTTACAGAAGTCAGCCAGCCCCTTGCAAGATGTTCTTTTGTCTGCCCATGGCTTTCTCATCCCTCTGCAGGAGGAGACTGAATTAACAGCCAGAGTCTCCCTTGCCTTTCACACACCCTGAATTTTAATGTGCTTTTAGTCCTGTGTTTGTCAGAAGAGCCCTGGAGGCAAGGGAGGCAGGTACTCTCCTCCTCACTTCAAAGCTGCAGAAGGTGCATGACCACATCTGGATACAGTGATTCCCAGGCCAAGGGGCCTCAGCTATTGACCCCCTCATTTCCTGAAGAGATTGCAGCTGGTGGAGAGGGCCAATCTCCTCTCTGCATTCAGGGCCGAGGGTCCAGGCTGCAAGTGACACGTGAACACAGTTCCACTCCTCTGGGGGCTGCTCAGGGGCTGGCCTGCCTTCAGCGATGCTCTTACCTCCCATCTTCTTGGGTGCCCCTTCTGGGTTTTAGCCAGAATATTAGAACATCCCCAGGTTCTTCTACCCTGGGTCTGGGCAACCTCTTTGACTCTTAGACCCAGAACAACAGTGCAGTTATCCTCACCAGATTCTGGCAATGCACTGTGGTTCCTTCTTCCTGTCCAAGCTCTTGCCCCATCTTAGGAGCAGAGGTATCATGGTCCTCTCTCTCCTGCTCCCAGGACCACCCCCCCCCACCCACCCACACACACACACATTCCATCAACACCACCCATAACCACAGATGAAAGACTCCCACCAAACCTCCCTTTTGCTCCTGGCTAGTCAGACAACAGATCAAAAGGTGGATGGGCCAAGGTTAAGGCCAAGAAAATGAGGTGGGAACATGATACAGAAAAGGGCATCCTGCTAGCACTCTCCTGGCCTGGAAGGGAACAATCAAGCTGGAACCCAGCCATGGGCATAAATACCGTAGGTTCTGGAGAGTGAGCAATAGGTTGATTAGACTTGGTGGTTAACTCAGAAGATTATAAAAGCTTTTGATTGAGGCATATTGTTATAAATATTTGTAAAACACAATCACCAGCTTTCCCATCTCATCATTAGCAGAGTCTAGTGAATCTGTGGAATTTCTGAGATTCAGGATCTCACGGGATCTCAAGATCCCTCTCTGAACACAGATTCTCAGGATTCAGGGCGAGAGATGCTCAGACTGGGTCTGAGATGCCCCTCCAGGAAATGCCTTAAAGGTGTGGCTTCACCCAAATTCCTACTGGTGGTCTGTGCATTATAGGATGTTTAGCAGCCTCCCTGGCCTCTGCCCACTAGAGGCCAGTAGTAACACCTCCTCTCCAAGTCGTGACAATCAAAAATGTCTCCAGACCTTGTCAACTGTCCTCTGGGGCACAGACTGTCCCCTGGTGGGAACCACTGCTCCGCAGGACCTGGGCATCTTGGCCAAGAGCCTTCTAGAGTCCTGGGAGGTGGCTCCGATGGAGGGGCCCAGGCGCTGGGTCTGAGCCCCCTCCGTGTCCCGCCCAGGCACGCATTGAGGAGCTGGAGGAGGAGCTGGAGGCCGAGCGCACCGCCCGGGCCAAGGTGGAGAAGCTGCGCTCAGACCTGTCCCGGGAGCTGGAGGAGATCAGCGAGCGGCTGGAGGAGGCCGGCGGGGCCACGTCCGTGCAGATCGAGATGAACAAGAAGCGCGAGGCTGAGTTCCAGAAGATGAGGCGGGACCTGGAGGAGGCCACGCTGCAGCACGAGGCCACGGCGGCCGCCCTGCGCAAGAAGCACGCCGACAGCGTGGCCGAGCTGGGCGAGCAGATCGACAACCTGCAGCGCGTGAAGCAGAAGCTGGAGAAGGAGAAGAGTGAGTTCAAGCTGGAGCTGGACGATGTCACATCCAACATGGAGCAGATCATCAAGGCCAAGGTGGGCCCAGCTCTGCTCTCCTCACCCTCTCCTCCATCACTGCCTCGCAGGGTGCCTTCCTTCCACTTCTCTCTGCCGTCGCTTATTCTCACTCCCTTCCTCACCCTCTGGTCTCTCTCCCTCTCACCCTTGCACCCGCCTTGCCTTCCCTCTGCGTCTCCATCTCCTCACCATCTCTCCCTTCTTTAATTCATGCACCCCCTTCAGATGGTACCCCTCCAGCCCCGCCCCATGTCGCTTCCCCTATCCCCCCACCTCTGTGTTCTCCACCTTGGCCCTCCTGTCCCTCCTCCAATCCACCCAGCCCCTCCCACATTCAACTCTCCCGTGTCCCATACCGTCTAAAGGCCAACCTGGAGAAGATGTCCCGGACACTGGAGGACCAGGCCAATGAGTACCGGGCGAAGCTAGAAGAGGCCCAGCGCTCCCTCAACGACTTCTCCACCCAGCGAGCCAAGCTGCAGACTGAGAATGGTGGGCACCCCTCAGCAGCCCTGAGCCTGCCCCGGGGTAGAGCATCAGTCGCCCCCTTCCCTAGCCCACAAACCCTCCTTCCCACCTGCAGGTGAGCTGTCCCGGCAGCTGGAGGAAAAGGAGGCGCTGATCTCCCAGCTGACCCGAGGGAAGCTGTCCTACACCCAGCAGCTGGAGGACCTCAAGAGGCAGCTGGAAGAGGAGGGCAAGGTGAGGCCAGCCGGGTGGGCAGTGGACGGGACTGAGAGCTACCCTGGGGCAACCAACCTCAGGAATGGAGGCTGGAGTGAGGCTGGAGACTAAGATAGGCCTCCGAAATAGAAAGACTTTCAGGCCAGGTTCTTCTACTCTTCAGCTAAGCCACACACAAACATTACTGAATGCCTCCTTCCCTTTTTCTTAAACAAACAAACAAAAAAAATTATTTATTTGGCTGCACCAGGTCTTAGTTGAGGCATCTTTACTTGCGGCATAGGGAATCTTTTTTTTTTTTTTGCACATGGAATCTTTAGCTGTGGCATGTGAACTCTTAGCTATGGCATGTAGGATCTAGTTCCTAGACCAGGGGTCAAACTCAGGCCCCCTGCATGAAAAGCACAGAGTCTTAGCCACTGGACCACCTGGGAAATCCCCCTCCTTTCCTATATGGGACAAGGTGGGCAAACTGGGAAAGTACCTCAAGATGCTGAGATTCTACAACACCAGCCCTCACCCCAAAGGAGGCTGGGACCTGACTCAAGCTCATAGATATGAAAAGATCTGAAAAATGGGGAGAGGGTCTTCCCTCCCACCTTCCCAGAAGCTGAGCCCACCTGCGGGTTCCGCCCCTCCCAGGCGAAGAATGCCCTGGCTCACGCGCTGCAGTCGGCCCGGCACGACTGTGACCTGCTGCGGGAGCAGTACGAGGAGGAGACTGAGGCCAAGGCCGAGCTACAACGTGTCCTGTCCAAGGCCAACTCAGAGGTGGCCCAGTGGAGGACCAAGTATGAGACGGACGCCATCCAGAGGACCGAGGAGCTGGAGGAGGCCAAGTGAGTCCCGGGCAGCGCCCCCACCCCAACTCTAAGAGAGGAAGGAGCAAGAGGACCTCGGTGGAGACAGGCAGAGTGGGCGTGGGAGGCAGATTTAAGAGGGAAGACAGGAAGTGGGGAGAAATGTGGTGGGCAACAGAGGTGCTTGGGAGGGAGCCTGGATCCTGCACTCTTGAGTGACCTCTGGCTGGCCCCGACTCACTTCCTGTGACGGGCGAGCTTTTGGCCCGGGTTATACCTGATGCTCACGTATAAGACGAGCAAAAAGCTTGTTGGTCAGAGGAGCTACCGCCGATCAGCCTGGGTGGGGAGGGGTAGAGACTGCCACCCAGAGGCCGCTGCGGGTAGGGAGGAAACTCTTAGGCACCCGCAGCCTTGGCTCCCTGGAGGCTGGGCTTCCAGAGCATCCCAAAGAGCTTTGGGGAGGGGCCTGGTTCTTCTCATCTGGCAGTTCTGATAGGGGTGGTTCCAAGGCACCACCGTTCCCAGGTAGAGTCACGCACACACACCCAACCACCCTGGGCAGGAAGAAGCTGGCCCAGCGGCTGCAGGACGCCGAGGAGGCCGTGGAGGCCGTCAACGCCAAGTGCTCCTCGCTGGAGAAGACCAAGCACCGCCTGCAGAACGAGATCGAGGACCTGATGGTGGACGTGGAGCGCTCCAACGCGGCCGCCGCCGCCCTGGACAAGAAGCAGAGGAACTTCGACAAGGTGGGCCTGGGCTGGGGGCCGCAGCCAGGGGGCAGAGCAGGTGGACAGGCGGGAGTCGGGAACATCCTCCCAGGAGGCTGAGGCCAGGGGAGACTGGGCCCAGGATGGGGACCTGGGTCCCGGAGGCGGGGCTGCGGCTGCCCCTTGAGCCGAGTCCGGCCGTCGGGTCCCCGCAGATCCTGGCCGAGTGGAAGCAGAAGTACGAGGAGTCGCAGTCGGAGCTGGAGTCCTCGCAGAAGGAGGCGCGCTCCCTCAGCACCGAGCTCTTCAAGCTCAAGAACGCCTACGAGGAGTCGCTGGAGCATCTGGAGACCTTCAAGCGCGAGAACAAGAATCTGCAGGGTGCGGGCGCGGGCCGGGCGGGGCGGGGCCGGGCGGGCCGCACGTGGTGCCGCGCCGCGGCTCCTCGAGGCCTTCCCCCGGCGCAGCAGGCAGCAGCGCCCGGCTGAGCTGCCCGCCCCTCCCACAGAGGAGATCTCCGACCTGACGGAGCAGCTGGGAGAAGGAGGGAAGAACATGCACGAGCTGGAGAAGGTCCGCAAGCAGCTGGAGGTGGAAAAGCTAGAGCTGCAGTCGGCCCTGGAGGAGGCGGAGGTGAGGGCCTGGCTCTGCCTGGACCCCTGCCTCTGACCCTCTCCTACCCACCTACCATCACCCTCCTGTCTCTGACCCCCTACTCTCCCTCACCCGGTGGTGATGCTGACCGAAGACAAACTCTATTAGATCATTTTCTTAGTCCAAAGTCATATACCCAGTACCCACTACTACCTCCAAAGCCAGAGTCTGCACAGAGGAAAATGCCACAGCTTGATCATAGGTTTTTGTTTCCCACTGGGTTTATAAAGTTGAAACCTGGCCATCATAACAACTCCTCAGACAGGGGGTGAGAGTCAAACAGATCTGAGTTTGAAACTTGACTTGAGGACTTCCGCTGTGTCATTGGGCAAGTTCCTTAACCTCTTTGTACCTCATTTTTCTCATCTGTAAAATGGCATTAATTATACATACCTCGATCACTGAGTTAGGAAGATTGCCCTGGAGAAGGAAATGGCTACCCACTCCAGTATCCTTGCTTGGAAAATTTCATGGACAGAGGAGACTGGTAGGCTACAGTTCACAGGGCCACAAATATTTGGACAAGACTGAGTGACTAACACTCATAAGATTTTCAGTTCAATGACTATTCAATCATGTCCAACTCTTTATGACCCCATGGACTGCAGCATGCCAGGCTTCCCTGTCTGTCACCAATTCCCAGAGCTTACTCAAATTCATGTCCATTGAGTTGGTAATGCCATCCAACTATCTCATCTTCTGTTGTCCCCTTCTCCTGCCTTCAATCTTTCCCAGCATCAGGGTCTTTTCAAATGAGTCAATTCTTCGAATCAGGTGGCCAAAGTATTGGAGTTTCAGCTTCAGCATCAGTCCTTCCAATGAATATTCAGGACTGACTTCCTTTAGGATTGACTGGTTGGATCTTTTACGCATGACTATTATGATGATTAAACAAGGTAACGCACTTAAGAATTCAATATATATTAGCCATTGTTCACTGTTCACTTTTAAGAACCTGGGACTTCCCTGGCGGCTCAGACAGTAAAGAATCTGCCTGCAATGCAGGAGACCTGGGTTCGATCCCTGGGTTAGAAAGATCCCATGGAGGAGGGCATGGCAACCCACTGCAGTATTCTTGCCTGGAGAATCCCCATGGACAGAGGAGCCCAGTAGGCTAAGGTCCATGGGGTCACAAAGAGTCAGACATGACAGTGACAGTACAGCACAGCACAGGCATAGCCCTGAGATTTGGGCTTCTGACTTTTTTTACTATAAGGTGAGGGACTTGGGAAACAAAGGAAAACGTTTGAATTTGTAGTTGTAGAAATCCTTCCTTTTTCTATGATATTTTAGATGGGTCAGGATCATGCAATATTAATGTTGGAGCGTCTTAGCAATTGTGAGGTCAAAACATTTCCTTGATGAAGGAACCCCAGGGTATCCAGCATGTCCTCCCCCACAGCACCCAGGTGACCTGGGATGCAGGTCCTGCCTCACTGTCTCCAGCTGACACCTTGCACCCTCTCGGCCTCCCTCCCTGACATGCCCTGAGCCCTGACTGTCTAATTTGGTCCCTCTCCCCTCAGGCCTCCCTGGAGCATGAAGAGGGCAAGATCCTCCGGGCCCAGCTGGAGTTCAACCAGATCAAGGCAGAGATTGAGCGGAAGCTGGTGGAGAAGGATGAGGAGATGGAGCAGGCCAAGCGCAACCACCTGCGGGTGGTGGACTCGCTGCAGACCTCCCTGGATGCAGAGACGCGCAGCCGCAATGAGGCCCTGCGGGTGAAGAAGAAGATGGAGGGCGACCTCAACGAGATGGAGATCCAGCTCAGCCAGGCTAACAGGACAGCCTCAGAGGCCCAAAAGCACCTGAAAGTTGCCCAAGTCCATCTAAAGGTAACAGAAGTGAGGGCTCTCAGAGAGGGATAAGTAGGTTTGCTCATAGGAATGGTGAAGGCCCAAGGAAAGGGTCCTGGGCTAACAAATATGAGAGCATGGAGACCACCAACCTCCTGGATTTGGAGGCTTGAAGGAGGAGAACTGATCAGGCCCTGGAGCGTGTTTTGGACCAATCCCACCTGTGGGCCTGGAGATCTGAATGTGTCTCCTGAGGTTAACACGAGCTTAAAACTATAGGGAGGTTAACACTATAGGGAAGGGTGTATCAGATCCCAAATGGAGGCCCTGATGGGGGCCTTCCCTCATCACCCCTATCCCTGGCAGGACACCCAGATCCAGCTAGATGATGCGGTCCGTGCCAACGATGACCTGAAGGAAAACATCGCCATTGTGGAGCGGCGTAACAACCTGCTGCAGGCCGAGCTGGAGGAGCTGAGGGCTGTGGTGGAGCAGACGGAGCGGTCCCGCAAGCTGGCGGAGCAGGAGCTGATCGAGACCAGCGAGCGGGTGCAGCTGCTGCACTCCCAGGTGAGGAAGCTAGGGGAAACCTGCTGAAGGCCAGAGACAGGATGTCTAGCAATGTTCTGAACCAGATGCCCAGAGAAAGCGTATGTCCAACCAGGATCATAAATTATTTCATCTCTTGGACCAGCTTACACCTGTCAGTCATGGCTGCAGAATTACTACCTTGAGAAAGGGGTCTAAATGTAAAAGCCAGTCTCAATTTGCTCTATTAATGGGACTTGTGGAGTTTAAAGACAGCTTCCTTTGTGGCTCAGATGGTAAAGGATCTGCCTGCAATGCAGGAGACCGAGGTTCCATCCCTGGGTCAGGAAGATTCCCTTGAAAAGGGAATAGCTACCCACCCTGGTATTCTTGCCTGGAGAATTCAATGAACAGAGTAGCCTTTAAGGCTACGGTCCATGGGGTTGCAAAGAGGTGGACGACTGAGTGACTAACGCACACATCTATTTGCAAGTCAGATTCTCCACAGAGCACCATTTTTTTTTTTCTTTTTTTATTTATTTTTTCACAACCATAGTGTATCTTTTTTTTTTTTTTACATGTATTCCCCATCCCGGTCCCCCCTCCCACCTCCCTCTCCACCCAATCCCTCTGGGTCTTCCCAGTGCACCAGGCCCGAGCACTTGTCTCATGTACCCAACCTGGGCTGGTGAACTGTTTCACCCTAGATAATATACGTGTTTCGATGCTGTTCTCTTGAAACATCCCACCCTCGCCTTCTCCCAGAGTCCACAAGTCTGTTCTATACATAGGAGTCTCTTTTTCTGTTTTGCACATAGGGTTATCGTTACCATCTTTCTAAATTCCATATATATGTGTTAGTATACTGTAATGGTCTTTATCTTTCTGGCTTACTTCGCTCTGTATAATGGGCTCCAGTTTCATCCATCTCATTAGAACTGATTCAAAGGAATTCTTTTTAATGGCTGAGTAATATTCCATGGTGTATATGTACCACAGCTTCCTCATCCATTCGTCTGCTGATGGGCATCTAGGTTGCTTCCATGTCCTGGCTATTATAAACAGCAGAGCACCATTTTTGTGCAATCCCATATACACTGTTTTCAGCTATACTCAGCAATGAGTTTTTATGTCCATCTTATTGCACTGCCCTATGGAATTTTGTTCCATAATCTAGTACATATGGGAATGACATCACCCACTGACATCATCCTCTCTTCCTTACCTCATTGCATTCTTTCTATAACTACAATCTCTTCCAGGATACAGTCCTTTTAAAAAAGTTGTACCTGTTTTTCTTGGACTTCCTGCAAGGAGAGATTCTTTGGAATTTCCTTTCATTCCCCTACGTAGACATGTTACTAAAGAGCTCAGGAGTAGAACTACAGCCCCTTTCCTGCTTCAAGTCTTCAGAGCTGAGTCATTTTCCATATAATGCCTAGAGTACATATATTTTCATAGGAAAAAAAGAAAGCAGATACAAAACAAGGAAAATACTAAAAGCAAGGCATGTTTTTTAAAAAAACGACTAGTTCTAATTTTCTCTGGATAAAGGTGTAGAATCATGTAACAAAGGATATACATCCGTTTCCTTTACCCTTTTCTAGAACACCAGCCTTATCAACCAGAAGAAGAAGATGGAGTCAGATCTGACTCATCTCCAGTCAGAAGTAGAGGAGGCGGTTCAGGAGTGCAGGAACGCTGAGGAGAAGGCCAAGAAGGCCATCACGGATGTGAGTCACTGCACCTTCCTGCCTCCCCGAAAGACTCAAACAAGGGCTCTGGGTTCAGGACAGGCCACTGTGCTCTAACAGTCACTCTGCCGTTCTGTGGGCTTGAGGGCCTCCAGGACCAAATGTCAGGATGAGAAAGAGGTGATCCTTATGGGAAAGAAGAGGCCCCCCCCCCCCCCCGACCCCGGGCCCTGTTCTTTTACACTCTCTCCGTGCGCAGGCCGCCATGATGGCGGAGGAGCTGAAGAAGGAGCAGGACACCAGCGCGCACCTGGAGCGCATGAAGAAGAACATGGAGCAGACCATCAAGGACCTGCAGCACCGGCTGGACGAGGCGGAGCAGATCGCGCTCAAGGGCGGCAAGAAGCAGCTGCAGAAGCTGGAGGCCCGGGTTCGGGAGCTGGAGAATGAGCTGGAGGCCGAGCAGAAGCGCAACGTGGAGTCGGTCAAGGGCATGAGGAAGAGCGAGCGGCGCATCAAGGAGCTCACCTACCAGGTGCGGGCGCTGGGGCCACGCCCTCAGAAGTAGACGTGGAAATGTATCCCTCGCCCCACCTCCTGACCCACACGGGCTCCACGCAGAGCCCCCCTGCCACCTGCCTCTTGAGAAGCTGTTTTGGGATTAGTTTTCTTTCACATTCTCTGAAGACAGGTTGGCTTGAGTCCATGAATTTTCTTTTAGCAAAGGGAGAATCTGCTTCTACTTCTTGAAAGTTCCTGAACCAGCATTTTCGCAGATATTTAATAACCTGAAGTGCTACCATGAAGGCTTCAGAACCGTCCAAGGCATCTTTCCACCAGCCTCAGAGGCAGGGGCGTGGTGTGGCATTTAGTGATAAAATCAGGGATGGGAAAAGACTCAGATCTTCCATGGAATTCCTGGGACAACAGATAGAAGGCCTTAGAGAAAGAAGATTCCAGAATGTTCTAATCCTTCCATCTGAATAGCTCACAGCTTTTGTTCTTGACCTATTACTTCCCAATATGCCTGGGCAAGAAGGACAAAAAAAAAGAGGTGTTGGTTCATTTGACTGCTGGCTGTGAGAGGCATGGGAAAGAGGTACAAATGAAGAACTGCAGGTGTGTTGTGTGGGTGTAAGTAGAAATAGCATCCTAGCAGAAGCAGTGATCAGGAGTGATCAAGCGATGTAGGAACCATTGATCCTGGTGCTCAATACCTGACCCAGAACAATATATACTGGGTTATGATAATTAGAATGATCTGGATTATGATAATCCCTTCTTTCTGCTTTCCTCCTGAGTCCTCTCTTGTCACTCGAGGCTCACTGCTAAGGAGAGCATCTGTGGTGTTCCAGATTGGAACACCCCTGACCTCTCCACATTATCAAATGAAGAAATCCTGTTTTGTTCCAAGTCTCTCCTGTTTCTCACCTCAGGGCCACAGCCCTCTTTGCTTTTTAGATCCTGGCATGAGAACTTTGCCATGCCCTTTGACCTACAAGTTGCGTCAGAGATGAAGTTTGTGCACAACCTCTTTGGCCTGGCCCATGGGAGGGAGGGGCGGCTGAGGTGTGGGAAGAGAATGGGATGGTGAGGGAGGGAGAGATGATTGCTCTTGCTCCTTCCTCAAAACTGACCTCTCCCACCCATCTGCCCCCAGACGGAGGAAGACAGGAAGAACCTGCTGAGGCTGCAGGACCTGGTGGACAAGCTGCAGCTGAAGGTCAAGGCCTATAAGCGCCAGGCCGAGGAGGCAGTGAGTTCATGGTTTTCTCCACTTCCTGCGTGTCAGAGCCGACAAGGGTCCACCCTAGTGTGGGACCCGGATGGAGGGATTGCTGTTCACTTTAACTCTCAGAGCTGTGGCAGGCACTCCTGAGTTAACAAAAGCAAAGCTTATTCGACCCAGGACCTACCCACAAGCTGCTTATAATCCATGTACTAGTGAGTCCAAGAGAAGGCAGTGCAGCTGCTAATGCAGCTTGGAGGGCCAGCCAGTGCTGAAAGCTGGATGTTGGCAGGGGAACTGAGCCTGGAAAGGGGCCTGAGCAGGCACAGCACGGTGGGGAAGACATCCCAGTGAGCAGACCGGTGCAGCTGCGAGTTGCTGATGAACACACCCGTGCAGGAACCCCTAGGGGTCAGGGAGTGTCTGTCAGGGTCACAGTTGGACCAGGGTGGACCAAGCTGGATTCTGAGGGGGACGGACCAGGCAGCACGTGATTCCTCTTGGGCAGTGGATAGCCTGGATTCTGAGCGCTGGGCAAAGTTTGTGGAGAGTGCCAAGCCAGGAGCAGGACGCTTTTGTTGCAGGAACATGGGTGATGCATGACAGGGAGCCCCTGGATTAGGAGCCTGGGCACCCCCTCACCTCATCCTCCCATCCCCCTGAACCCCCCGCAGGAGGAACAGGCCAACACCAACCTGTCCAAGTTCCGCAAGGTGCAGCACGAGCTGGATGAGGCGGAGGAGCGGGCAGACATCGCCGAGTCCCAGGTCAACAAGCTTCGGGCCAAGAGCCGCGACATCGGCGCCAAGGTGGGTCCCTCCCCAGGCCCTGCCACTCACCCCCATGGCAGTGCAGCCCCAACATCAGTGGCCCCGAAAGCGGGCACTGCATCCTGTATGTGGTTAGTCCTGAGGGTCCCACAGCCCCCACACCTGGGCATCCCCCTCCTGCTCAGACAAGCCCCCTACAGGCTGGAACCTCCTTAGAAAGTCCAGTCCCAACCTGCCTAAACCACAAAGACCTCTAAACAGGACCCCAAGATTCCCAAGGCCTGAACCTCTTCCCTTAAGGGCATCTCCCTTAGGCCCCTGAAAGCCCCGGAGATTTCGCCCCATACCCTTCCTTCCTCTCACCAGCTGCTCCCTCACACCTTTTATTCTTTCTCAGCAAAAAATGCATGACGAGGAGTGACGCTGCCTCAGAACCTCACTCTGGGTGACTTCCAATAAACATGAGTGCCAGACTTTGCCTGAGCCCCTGTCCTTCCCGCCAGCTGGCCAGGAGCCGTCCTGGACTCCTTGGGGGGAGGGTGGCCTGGCCCCTGCACCAGAGCTGGAGGAATCAAGACACCCCACATCTCCAGGGAAGGAGCTGAGGACCAGAGGGGTGCGGCAGCCTGTCTCACCTGATCCCCACACTGCTCAGTCAACCAGCCACAGGGGACGGGAGGGAGATATTTCAAAAATGGAGAGAACAAAGACACCAGAAGGTGATCCAATTCCAGACACCTAGAAGCAGAATTTCACTGCTGAAACTGAAGCCCTCCTCCACCTACCCCACCTCCGAAGCCACAGGGGTTATAGGTGTCCTGTTCCCTCCAAAACGAACTCCCCACTGATGCCAGGAGAGGCTCAAAGCTGGCTGGGGATGGAGATGGGATGGCACAGGTGGCTGGAGCCCGGGTGTATGGGCCCCACCTCCCCATCAGGGCATCCTGAGACCGGAGCCAGCTGATGCCAAGCTGAACTGAAGTGCGGTATGGACCAAACCTGGGCCTTACGTGCCTCACATTGACCTCCCACACACACAAGCAGAGCACACGCAGGCGCACACCACAGAGCACATCTCTGCTCCTTCCAAGCTCCCAGCAGGGACAGGCTGGCCTGGGTCACACAAGGGACAGGGCAGGTCCTGAGGCCCCTCTGCTAGCAAACCTGCTCCCCGCTGTGCTTTACGGCCAGGCTCTCCTGACCACCTTCTCATCCCTTCACTGCCCCTCCATCACCTGGACTCCCCAGCTAAGCCCTTCTGATCCCTCCTCTGAGGCCTTCACCACCCCCTGTCCAGGGTTGATCACCTGTCTTGAGAAGGGCCTGTACAGAAAGTCCTGAGAACCATGAGCAAAGACCAAAGAAACACAAAATTCAGTTGGTTCTAGCCCTGGAAAGGCCACCAGCCGTGGTGAGGAGCCAGGATGTGAGGACAGGAGAACAGGACATAGGAGGCAGGAAAAGCCAGACCAAGAGAGGCAGGTGGATAGCATCGAGGGGAGCAGGGTGCCTCTACCAGGGCTCAGGTTCAGGCAGGGATTGGGGGCCAGGGCCTGCATCTGGACAGAGCACCCGAGAAGAAGGAAGACATTTCAGGGCAGGGGCATGCGAATGTTGGAGAGGGGCTATGAGCAAGTCAGCTTGGAGGAGCTCAGCCATTTGGGGATCTGCAAGGCTGTGCAGGGTCACCCCGGCCACACTGGGCTGTCATGGGCCGGGAAGGGCAGACTCCAAACTCCCTCTGAGCCATGACTGCCCTTCACTAGATGGTCTCCTTTCCCATCTGTGAGGCTCAAGGAGGGGAGCCTGCCGGCCATCTCTGAGTCCCTGGGGCCCAGCACGGGGTCTGCTCATGAGATGTTCAGGAAGCATCCTGCTGGGGTGCTGGCAGCCTGGGAAGGTGGCTCTGTTGGTGGATAGAGCTGGAAATGAAGCTGGGCCATTTTTAATGAGCTTCAAGGGGCTCAGTATAATATCCAGAACACCTGTTGAGGCATTAGGAGTGCTGGGCTCCAGCCCCGTGTGCGTGCTCAGTCATTCAGTCGTGTCTGACTCTTTGTGACCCATGGACTGTAGCCCGCTAAGCATTTCTGTCCATGGGATTCTCTCACCAAGAATACTGGAGTGGGTTGCTATTCCCTTCTCCAGGGATCTTCCCGACCCAGGGATTGAACCCAGGTCTCCTGCATTGCAGGCAGAGTCTTTACCGCTGGGCCACCAAGGAAGCCCAGGCTCCAGCCCTAACTCTGTGACAAATAAAGAGGTCACTTCCCCTAACTGGGCATGTCCTCTCTTATGTGAAATGAGGGCATTGAACCAGCTGGTATCTGAGGGCTTGTCCAGCTCCAGTAACATGGGAATCTCCCTCTTACATCGGATGCTGACCTCTCCCTGGTGACCTGTGGGTCAAGTCCTCCCCACACCACCGGGAAGAGCTCTACACACGCCCCAGGCAAGCAACCCTGGACAGGTGGGCCTTCATTCACCTGGGGAAGGCTTGTGCTTTCTCAGACACAGGACCCGCGGTGCCCAGCCACCAGGCTCACCACAAGGTAGCCTTGCACCCAAGAGTCATGGCATGGAAATTTTGTGTTGAAGGGATATCCTTCAACAGCATCTTCAGTCTAAAGCCCCACTTGCTCATTGTTCAGACCTGGTCCTAGAGAAGGGACCATGACCTGCTCCATGCAACATTCCCATGAATATTCCTAGCATTCCTGATCTGCCTAAGTTCTGAGGAAGAAAGAGATTCACCAGTAGGATTCAAATCTTTTAATTTGCGAATGACCAACTTCCTCCTTCACCCTCCCTTTAGTCCATAACACCCCCTCCCTGGCCGAGCTTCATCAAATGTCAGACTAGCCCCCACAGACAAGTCCGCGTGACTTCTCAGGCCTGGCTCCATCACTGTAGGCTGGGGTAGTAGGCTAAGGAGCTAGTGAATCCAAAGGAGATGAGTCTGGGCTCCCCTGTCCCACTTTCTGGCTGGGCTCAGAAGCCAGGTATCCCCAGGGTCACTGCTGGTCCCCTGTGAAGATGGAGCCAGGTGGGGTAGGGCATGGGAGGGGTAGCTGGGTTGGGGGGCAGGGGGCATCTCCTCTCCCCAGAGGATAGGCACTCACCCTGGGCAGCCCTGGGCACTATCTCGGTCCGGTAGATCTTGAAGGCATCATAGGCAAAGACGGAAACCAGGATGATGCCAAACACCTGTGGGAGCAGGAAGAGGATGCCACAACAAAGGCCAGCGAGCCACTGGACACTAGGGAGAGGGAGGTGGGTGATGCAGGGCAAGGTGTGAGCCAGCCCCTGGGCACTGATGAGCTTGGGGTGGACAGAGGCACAGGAAGTGTGCGACCATCAGCCAGAGGTCCCCGTTGGGGGGGGTGGGGAGCCGGAGAATTCTGCAGGGCTGGACTCACAAAAGCAGCAATGGCAGCTCCGTCCCGGGAGGTCACAGCCGCAAAGGAGACCACCAGGAAGATGATGATGGCACTGACACAGCGGAGGAAGTCCTGGGGGTTGGGGTGCAGAGTCAAAGGGAAGCAGAGGGCAGGCAGCATCAGCCTGAAGTTCTCCAGGCTAGTCAGTGGCTTGACCCTCAGGTACTGGGAATCCCTACATGGAGATACCCTTGGACACAACATAAGGCGCTTGAGAGACAGAAAGCAAGAGAGAGCTCACACAGCTCCCCGGGGAGGGATTCAGATGGGCGCAGAGGGACAGGGATCAAGATGAGAAGCCAGGGGGCTGGGCTGGGGCTGGACCTGCATCGGGGAGCAGATCTGAAGGATGGGGTCAAAGCCATGTTTGAGTATAGGACGTGGGGGCTGGATTCCTTGCTTACCCAGGAAAAGGAGAGAGGCTGGAAGAGGAAAATTCAATGTTGAAAGGAGAAGAAAGGGCCCATAATGGGGTGGGGGAGGCAGCACGGGGGGAGGCAGACCCTCACCAGACAGGGCCAGTTCAGCCGATCGAAGCGCTGGTAGTACTGGGTGGCATAGAGGAAGAGGAAGGCTAGTGTGATGAAGAACTCCAGCAGCGCGGCAGCCATGTAGGCAGAGATGGAGGCCGTGAAGCAGATGAAGATGATGAAGGTCAGGGCCTGCAGGATGGAGGGTGGGACGTGTACCAGGGAGGGGACACAGGCCCGGCCAGGCCTTTGCCTCCCTCTTTCCAGGAAGCTCCCCCAGCAGGCACACCACCTGCCCTCGGAGGTCTTGCCAACCCTGGTGGCAGGAGCCACGCCTAGGGCCTTTGCCCATCAAGGGCCGACTCCAGCCTCCCACCTCTGCCAGCCCAGGCTCCCCCTGCTCGGGGGCCCCAGCAGCTCCAGCAGTTTAGCCAAGCTGCACGGCTCTGGGGAACACCACTCTTTGAAATCCAAAAGAGAGTGGGTTCCCCTTTAGGACTGGGAACACCAGCCCCTCGAGTGGTGGGACATCAGCCTGTGCCCCCAGGAGGTACCCCATGCCCCATAACAATTCAAGGATGCCTAAAACTCCTCTAACAAGGACCAGAGTCCCTGGTTCCATGCCAAGAGGCAAGGATTAGAAGGCAGATGCTCCAGAGTGGACGTGAGTCCCCTCAGCTCTCAAATGTAGGATGAGGTATATACTGAAGACTCAAGTTTACACTGAGGTCTTGCTAAGCGAATAAGGGAAGGTACTTTCCGAGGACAGATGTTCACAGGGAGCAGGCAACAGATAAAGTGGGGCTGCAGAAAGTCTGCCCTTTCGGGTAATTGAACTTCTTGGACATGCTGAGAAGTGGCCACCTGAGAGCCCGGGGAGAGGCCGGCTGGTGTTACCCCCGTCCCAGCCCATCCTCAGGCTCCGTCAGTGTCCCATAGAGAGGCCCTCTGTCTGGCTTCAATCCTTCCTGAGGCACTGAAACCCGCTGTCGCCGCCTCCAGGTGAAGAAGCAGCAAGAAGGCAGGGGAGGAGATGCGGGGAGGGTCGTTGGGGCAGGCGGGGTGTCCTGAGAGCCGGGGGAGGGAGGCTCCTGAGGGGTGAGCCCTGAGGGGCCCGGGGCTGGGAGGTGAAGCTCTAGGCTGGGGAGGTGGCTGTTACCAGCTCAGTCTCCAGCAGGATGCCTTTGAGGGAGGAGAGGAAGGTCTTGTCCACCGCGAAGCCCTCCAGCCCTGCAGCTGTCCCCGCCTCGGGGGGCCGGTCCCGACGACTCCAAGCATTGAACATCTCCAGGAGGCCCACCGGGTACAGCCCCCCACTGCCACCAGCCCAAGAAGGAAAACAGGAAGATGGAAACCTGGTGGGATGGGGAAGCAGACAGGAGCAGGAAAGGCACTGCGAGGAACCTGCAATTGAAGCGGGCAGGCCTGCTGTGGGGCCCCGGAGAAGGCGGCCGCGGGGTGGGGGCGGCGGGTGGGGGGGAGCTGCTTGCCCAGATGGGCCTTCACCCAGCTGCCCAGAGTGCCCTGCTGGGGCCTGCACTGGTCCCCAGGAGGCACGTGGAAGAGGAGGGGCGGGGAAGAGGGGAGGGGTCAGCTCTCCTCCTACTTGAAGCTTGACGCCGCCCACCCGCCGAAGAGGAAGGGAGGGGAGGGGAGGGGGGCGGACTGCGGAGAAACCTGGAGGAGCTGGGAGGTGAGCCAAGAAATGGGCGAGACGGCTGCTGCTGGCGAGACTAGGAGCCCCAAAAAACCCAAGACTGAGGAAGTTTGCGTCCTCCGTTCCATAACCTTAACCCTCTTCCTCGCCATCCTTTCTCTCTTTTCCTTTTAGGGAGGGTGTGAGCTGGAGCCCGGCCCAGGCAGCACCCCTCAGGACCAAGCTGTAGCGGCCAAAACTGAGGACAAAGGCAGATTGTTGGGGGGACAAGGGGGCGCTGTGTGCCTGCTGCAGTGCCTCAATGGGCCTCTGTTTCTCCAGTATGCCAGGAGGGCAGCCTGACCCCCACCCCGGTGTTTAGGGCTGGGCAAGGGAGCCAGGGAAGCGGAGGGAGGGGGGACCACAGCGGAAACTCTGGAGGGCAGTAGGTGAGGGCTGACAGTGGGGAGGAAATGGGACTGGGCTGGGGACCACAAGATACTCAGGCACCAGGGATGCCAAAGACAAATTAGGCCACTTTTAAGTACGGATTATTTATTTGAACAATTCTCTCCCTGCTCAATAACAGCCTCTTCCTTAGCAGCATTCATGTCAAAAGACTAGCAACTCCACCCGGAGGCTTAAGGTCGGTGCTCCAAAGTCGATGCTCACTAAGTGTTTGATGAATGAATGAAGGAGCGAACAAACTAATGAACTGAAGGGCCCTCCACTGGCGAAGGGAAAAATATCTGAAAGTGCCTGTGCTGCACCAGGGCAGCTGGGGGTGGGAGGAAAGAAGAGACAGACATAGCAGAGCTTTGAAGACATTTCCCAGAAGGAAATGACAGGATGCCAGTTTCCAGGGACCATAAACAGCCACTGCTGCCTTGGATTTGCCCTGCATTTCTCATCCACTCCAAAAAGTGCAAAGTGCGGTCCCCCCAAAGTCCCCCATCCTGTCCCAAGATCCTGCTGCTACAGGTGGTCCTTTGGAGGGGCTGTGCCTTCGGGTGTCCTGGTTCACCACAGCAGGTGGTTGTCCAACCAGCTCCAGTGTTTGCCCAGGGACCAGCCATGGTCGGCACAGCTAGGCCATCACACGGGGCCGCACACACACGCAAGCCAAGGAGACACGGTAGAGCCTGCGTTCCAGGCAGTAGCCATGGTGGGTGCCCTGCTGTCCTGGGCACGGCCGCCGGTAGAAGACAGTCTGGTTGTGGTAGAGCAGCTCTGAGTTTCCCAGGGGGTCCATGTGGGAGCCCGTCTTAAGGCTGACACAGTGTGGACACAGGCAACGTGCATGGTAAAGATCCTGCGGGAGCCGGTCCAAGTCTCTGTCCAACCTGTGGAGCAGCAAGAGTCAGGTCCTAGAAGGAGGCTGACTGGGAGACCAGGGGACTGGCCAGGAGCAGTGAGGACCCAGGGTAGAAATGCCAGGGCTGTTGTCAGTTCTGTGGCTTTGGTTCCAGCTCTGGTACCCACAAGCCAGGTGGCTATGAACAAGTCACCCCCTCTTCCCTGGGATTTATTCTCCTGAACTGTGAGGGTCGGGGATGGAAGAGTGACTTTCCAAATGGTCCCGGAGCCCTGAGGTAGGTGGGCCAGGTGGGGAGCTCCACTGGGGCTTCTACCAGACCAGCTGTGGTTCCATGTGATACATATGCTGGGTTCTAGCATCAGGTTTCCTTTTGTGATTGTTAGCATATATATATTTTTTTAATTTTAAAGTAAAAATTGCTCTTATATCCAAGCATAAGAAAGCATGAAGTGAAGGCTGACAGTCTGTCTACCACCAGGCCCACTCCCCTGAGGGAGCTACTGTCCGCCATGTCCTGCCCATCCTCCAGATTCCAACTGTGCATGTATTTATAAGCATGTGTTAGGGTGTATGGTAAGACTTACTGACTTATTCTGAAAAGATTTCATAGCCCCCAGAAGATGTGAGAAGTCAGTGCTCCAAATGCCTGTGCTCCAGAAACCCAGTAGGAAACAGACAATAGGTTAGAAAACCATCCTCCAAACAGACAGGCCTTTGCAAACTGGATCTCAGCTAGTGTCGCATTTCCCAGAGTGGATTCCCTGATAAATACGCTGTAGCGGAAGGGGTCTGTAGTCAAATGATTCTAGGAAGCATTGAGTTTAATGGGCTCTTCTCTGCAGACTTCTCGCTGTGAATGTGCTGAGCACATTGAGAACCTCCAAGGGGGTAGGGACTGCAGCAGTTTTCCCCCCACTTACGCGACATCATCAGTTTTTTTTCTGAGGAACAGCTTGTGCGACACATGTTGCAAAGCACATGCTTCGGGGAAGACCAGCCCAAGTGGTTATCAAGGGTTCACAGCCCACGTGTCTAGACCCCAGCCAAGTCAGCCGTATGGCACCCAGCATCCCCACAAGGGTTCCCAACCTCTTTAGATTTAGTCTAGAAGATAGCCAGGCTACTGAGACCACTTCAAAGCATAGTGGCCTGGAGTCTCCACCCTTGATCTAGTCTCAATCAAAGCTGGCCCCCTCCCTACCCACTGACCTTCTCCTCTCATCCCCAAAGCCAAGGCTAAGCCAGAAATAGACTTACGGTGGGTGGAAACACAGATACCCCATGAGAGTGCAAGACAGGAGGAGAAATATGTTTGGGATCCCTACAGCACTAATTTTTAGTATTTTCATTCATTGTCCCAATTTCAGTACTTTCTAATATTTGTTTACATCATGACATAGAGAATTATAATATGCAGCAGCACATGGAGAAAGAATAAGACAGTTCATGATCAAAGACAACCAGCCTGGAGGTCCAGCCACCCAATTGCCCCCCTAGAGCAGAAAGAGGGTATAATTATAGCCCATCCATGGCTCAAGGCACTAGCATTTGGTATTGGGCTGCATTGCTCCTATATTGTACATTATTCCATGATAGTTTTAGAAACTGGAAAAACACAGCCATTGTAGGGGAAGGAAAAGGAGAAGGGAGAGGAGGAGGGGAAGAAGTAGACGAAGAAGAAGAAAAGAAGGAAACCTACATTTTCTGTACTAAGTTTAGATTTTTCACTCTTGATTTCACATGATCTGCATCATTAGGCTATAGAATATTATTTCATTTTACAGATGAAAAAACTAAGCTTTGAACCCTTGAGCGATTGGCCCAAGGTCACCAAAAATGTGTCAGGGCTAGACCTTGTCTAACACCCAAACTGGGTAACCTCCCTGAGGTAAAAGGGGGGCAGATAGGCTGGAGTTGGCTGGAACTCCCCTGGTCCCTCACACACATCCTGACCAGCACGTGAGCAGGCGTTTAGGAAGGGGCAGGGGCTGGCAGACTCACTCATATATCCAGGGGGCGATGGAGCGGCTGTTGAGGGGTCCATCCTTGCTGGAACTGCAGGATTCTGGGTGGTGGGCGAGGCTGGTGGTCTCTGGGGGAGACATGAGCATACTGTTCCACTTCAGCCACTCCTCAGTGGGGTTCTGTCCTTTGCTGGGGCAGCAGCCGGGCCAGCGTGTGCAACGCCTCTGGGACCCCAAACAGAGGGTGTGGGTTCCCATGACCATTGCCAAGAATGCCACCGCCTGTAGGAAAAGGCCAGTGAGAAAACTGCTCCCACCTAGTCTGGATGCCCCCTCCGCCAGCTGTTCCCTGAGATTCTAATTCGAGCCCCATCTGGTCCGCATGAGCTCCCTCCGTCCCCAGCCGCGTCTCTGCTCCTGCCTCGCTCAGCACCATCCCGGCCAGGCCCCTGCACACTTACCTGGTGCATGCTGGACGCTGCTTGCCAGGCCTCGGTGCCACGCTGTGACAGCAAGGCCTTGTGGAAGCTGTTTGACTGGAGCACTTTAGGAGTCCTGGTTTTATTTTCAGCAAACCTGTTTTGTTTATTCAAATTTATTTCCACTACCTTTTGGAGGGTGTGACCTGAGATTAAAAAACAAAACAAAACCCAAGAAAAAAAAAAAAAAAACTTGAAAGTCTTTCCAAAAGCTGCTTTAAATGCCAGACTCATGGAAGTTGTGATTAACATGTCGTAAGCCTATTGAGTAAACGTTGTTCTTTGCCCTTTTCTGGGCGTGGGGTCAAAGTAATAGTATCCTGTTATTCTGTGCCTTGGGGAACAGACATTATGAGAATTCTGATGGTTCACTTGATACCTGATGTTAGGGAACATCACTTGGACTCTCCCTAAGAGGCGTTGCTGCTATAATCCCTGCTGCTCCCACCCAGGGTCTTGTCTCTTCTCTTCCCTTTCTTCTCAGATGTCCTCAGGATCCTCCACCTCAGCAAACATCTCCCTCCGTCTGCTTGTTCTCTGACCCCTTCCTCATCCTCCATGACCCCAACTTCTATGACCACAATCATCTATGACTTCCCATGTCCATTATTTCTCCCCAACTTCCCCTTGCCCTCCCCAAGGGCCACCCACTCCCATCCCTGTGCATCCCCTGACCTCCTCTGGACTCAGGATACAGGCTTAACCCCACAGGCTGCCAGAAAGGCCTGGACTCCAACAATTTGTTGGCTGGATGTGCAGGGTCTGATGGAAGAAGTGGTGGGTGAGTGTTCCCATGGCACAAATGAGAAGGCAGGGCCAGGAAGAGAGGCACGGTGACAGCCTTAGCTGAGAGCCAGCAGAAGCACCCAGCTCCCAGGTCAGCTTGTCCCACCCCTGCTCACTACTTGAGGAGCATGGCAGGGGGAGCTGCTACTCTCAGGCCATGGGGTAAGGCCATGCAGTCACAGGTCCGTGGACCACTGTCGGCCAGGAGAGGATATGTGTGCTCTGGCAAGGTTCCAGCTGGGCCTGGCCGCAAAGACACAGGTCAGTCAGGGGCCACCCATCTGGGGGGCTCTCTGCCTATTTTGCTCCAATCTTTTTCTCTGCATCCTTGTTCAACAACTCTCCTCATCCCCTCACCACCACCCCCCTCACTCCAACACACTCATATACAGACACCGTCTCTAGAGTGATGTATCCTGATTTGCATGTGCTTTCCCTTAGAAAATACTCCTCTGGTAACCAACGACTCAGGAAATAAACAAAGGGAACCAGGAATAACTTAAATGGCCGAGTGATAAGGAATCTTTTGAATGCTTTAGGGCAAAGCAGCCCTAAAACAGAGGTGTGATGAGGTCAGAGGGCATTCGGAAGTGGGAGAAGCTGATCTGGTGAGCTCTGAGGGTCCTGGAAGTGGACAGGCGGTGAGAGCTTAGGGTCAACAGGTGATGGCTAGGAGAGCAGGGCCAGTGAGGAAGCACACTGGGGCCAGGAATACACTGCCCCACTCCCACTGGCCCACTCTCTGGCCCTGTGCTCCCAGGCACCCTCTCACTTCCATCCACCCCCTCAGCTCCTGAGATCATGTGCCAGGATGGTGCCAAGCCCTGCACATGCATCAGCTCGTTTTGCCTTTATAATAAAACCATGAGATGGCAACTACTGTCCCCATGTTAAGATGAAGAAACTGAGACCCAAAGAAATTGAGTAAGCTCATCAAGGTTGCACAGTTAGGAGGAAGCCGAACTGGTTCCCTCCCAGCTCTGAAAAACTCCAAAGCTAAGCTCCTGGTATGGAAATGCCACACTGTGGTGACCTCTGGATGGAAGGGAAGCCCCTGCTATAAAGGATTTCCTACTCACCCAGGTGTGGGCTGGACAGATCTCACCTAAACCCGCCCGAGGCCACAGGGCATTCCTGCCCACTCAGGCATTTAGCCCAGCTGGCTGGGATCCACAACTCTGGCTACCTCTCCCCCAGCCTCAGGTCTGCCCCTTGGCCCCCAGAGTGGCTTCTGGTGTTCCCAAACAACCCCCAACCCCAGCAAAGGCTTTGCGGGGATCTTCCAAAAGTGCTGGATCCCTCGGGTTTCCCCAAAACCGAACAGAGTCAGAGGCTGACACAGGCCCAGACCTCTTGATCTGGGCCCGCATCCAGGACAGGATGCCTGAAAGAACTGGAAGGGAAACCAAACACTTGTTTCACTTGCTGACGCTGCATATGACCCACATTGATTGCATGGGATGTTCCCTCCAGGAGAGGCTTTGGGGTTGTCCTCCTGCCTCTGTACCATGACTTCCTCTGAGAAAACTGCTGAGGGGCATTCTCCCCTGTGATGACCAGGCCTGACACAGAACCTGTCCTTTGAGACACACACCCCTGCCCCCCGCCCCCGCCCACCTCCTTGCAGTTGCTCAGCCTCCACCCTTATCTCAGGAGCAGCTGTGGGTCTCCTCAGGGTGACTCCCTGCCATGAGAAACATTTTCCAGAGGGTTTTCCTCTTGGGGTGACTAAGAATCCCTGACTCACTTCAGCTTCCAGGGAATCCTTGGGGGTGTAGAGATGGGGGTGGCCATGGGGGAGAATGTGGAGATAGAAGCAAAGTTCGTCCAGTATCTGATATCAATGGTGCCTCCCCATGTGTCCTCACCTGCCTGGGGCTGACCTGGCAGCCACAGGGGAGATCTGAGCATGCCACCCCAAGCCTCCCCAAGCCACTGATACAAGGTCAACCCCTAGCAGGAAAGAAGAGGGAAGATGTGAAAGGGAGCATCCCACCTGGGCCAAGAAAGCCTGAAAGATGCTACAATGGCTGTCCTGCCCTTCCTCAGAAAGATATTCGAGTTCTCATCCATGGCCTTGAAGTCCTGCCCCTGCCCCTGATCAGCTCTTCACCGAGGGCCCTCTCTTCTTGTTCATGGCACTGGGCATGCTTGGTGGGAGGCTGAGGGGGAAGCGGGCAACAAGGATGGCCGCAAAAGTATCTTCCTGGTGGCTCAGACAGTAAAGAATCTACATGCAGTGTGGGAAACCTGGGTTCGATCCCTGGGTTGGGAAGATCCCCTGGAGAAGGGCATGGCAACCCACTCCAGCATGCTTGCCTGGAGAATCCCATGGACAGAGGAGCCTGGTGGGCTACAGTCCATGGGATCACAAAGAGTCATACGTGACTGAGCAACTAACACAAAAGTGCCAACCAACCTAGCAGCCCCTGAAATCGTGCTGAAACCACAGGGCTCCGCAGGGCCATGGACGCTCAGGTGAACTCACCTGAGGGGACGGTAGGGGCAGCAGTGGTTAAAATGTAAAAACACTTCTGCCCCCTGCTGGTAAATAGATGCTATCCTAAGCACTGGAGCACCCCCACACTGCAACCTCCCTGTGATCCCACAACTGAAGGAAGACTGCCTGGCCCAGATGGAGGCCTTCAGAACAGACTCCCATGACCTGTTAGGGACACCATGATGGCACTGGTTGCTAATTATTTATAGGATCACCTTTAGTTACAAAGATTCCCCTGCCTGCAAAAGGAGCCTGCCTTCAAAGAGAAACAATCTTGCCTGGGAGACATGCAGAGAATCAAAGCAAACAGGACAAAAAGCTCAGCAACTCCCTCCCCTAGCCAAGGGCTGGTTCCTCCCCAGGCGGGCCTTTGCCTTTCTCAGTTCTACAATCATGGCTGCACTGTTCATTCATCCATTTGCCAAACATTTATTGAGCACCTACTAGATGCCAGACACCAGTCTAAGTGCTAGGAAGGCAGAGGAGGACAAGTCAGATAAGGCTCCTGCCACATGAAGCTTATGTCTTAGGAGGAGAGGGATGGTAAATAAGGAAACAAGATAATTTTTGATAATAATAAGTGCTATGAAGAAAGTGAAACAATGTTAAGAGATAGGGAATTACTGGGGATAGGGGATTGGTGGAGGGAGAGGGCAACTTTAACTTAAAAAGTCAGAGAAGGACGTTCTGAAGATGTGGAATTTGACATGATGATGGAAAGGTTCTGGGGAAAGAGTGTTTCAGGCAGAGGGAACAGGACAAAAGAATCCTAGAGGTGGAAGGTCTTAGCACATTTAAGAGACAGAAAGGACAATGTGGTTGGAAAACAAAAGCTAAGGAAGAGTGTAGAATGAGATGAAGTGAAGAGGTGGGCAGGGGGACTTCAGTAGCTAAGACCCCTTCCTCCCAGTGCAGGCGGCCAGGGTTCAATCCCTGGTCAGGGAACTAGATCCCACATGTCACAACTAAAGCTCCTAAGGATGAGGACAAGATCAGCTGGAGGGCTCTGCTGGGAAGGGACACGAGTGGGAGAGAAGACTGGGACCCAGGAAACCCAGTGGAGGAGTTCCTTCCTTTCTACCCCGTGAACAGTGGCAAGGCAAGCCCTGAAGCTAAGGGCCCCCTATCTGAGGCAGCCGCCCACCCAGGATCTTAGCTACCCATCCAGTCTGGGTTTTTCCCAACCTAACCTGGGACCCAGAACTTCCCCTGAACAAGTTAGAATCATGTTAAACCTCTGTTTGCAAAGGAGAGGGCAGAGATGAGTCATAAGGACAAGGAGAAGACTTCACCTGCCCTTGATACAGAATGCTTGGAGCTTTCATGCAGGTACAAGCTGGGGGGGTGGGGTCATGGGGAGCTAAGGTAAAGAGGGAAAGTCATAATGCTAATCACTTCACATGTATTCACACCTCACCAAAGTCACTATTCCGGATAAAGAACGGAGCTTCAGAGATGTTCCAGAACTTGACCAACTTCACACAGTTGACAAACCAGGATTCACCCCCCACCCCCACCTCTCCCCGGGGCTTCCTGGGTAGCTCAGCGGGTAAAGAATCCTCCTGCAAAGCAGGAGACACCAGCTCAATCCCCAGGTTGGGAAGTTTCCCTGGAGAAGGGATAGGCTACCCACGCCAGTATTCTGAGGCTTCCCTGATGGCTCTCAGGCAGTAAAGAATCTGCCTGCAACGTGGGAGACCTGAGTTTGATTCCTGGGTCGGGAAGATTCCCTGGAGAAGGGAATGGCTACTCACTCCAGTATTCTGGCCTGGAGAATTCCAAGGACAGGGGAGCCTGACAGCCCACAGTCCATGGCCTCGCAAAGGGTCTGACACAACTGAGCGACCTTCACTTCACTTCACTTCACCTCTCCCCAAGTCTGACTGGCTCCATTCCCTGCCTGGGCACTCCAGAAGCACAGATTCATTTTCCGTGCAGGTTTGCACTCTGCTCCCCTCACCAGGGACTTCCCTGGTGGCTCAGATGGTAAAGATCTGCCTACAATGTGGGAGACCCGGGTTCAGTCCCTGGGTTGGGAAGATCTCCTGGAGAAGGAAATGGCAACCCACTCCAGTATTCTTGCTGGGAAAATCCCATGGATGGAGGAGCCTGGTAGGCTACAGTCCATGGGGTCCCAAAGAGTCAGACACAACTGAGCGACTTCACTTTCACTTTCCCTTTCCCCTCGCCTAGCTACAGGCACTAGCTAGATGCTCAGCTACAATGAAGGCAGTGAGCCTTCTTGCCCACCTCCCAAACCACCATTCTGCCAGGTCCCAGCACTTCCTTCCTGCTTAGTCTTTTCCAGTCTCTATTTCCTGTGCACCAGTCAGAGCATTCATCTTTAGAACTGGGTTTCTTGCCCACCTCCAATTTGCCTTGCCACCTCTTGAGCCCCAATTTGCCTTTGCAGTCCTCTGGGCAGAGATTATACCAGTCACTCCCCAGTAGCTGACTATCTGTATTCCAGGCAGCTAGGCCCCTAGGGCTGGGGTCTGAAAGAGGCTGGACCAGGTTGGAGCTGGAATAGGGAATAGGGAATAGGAGCTGGAATAGCGAATAGCTGAAATAGGGAGTTCTACCATCAGATGCATCTGAAAATTTAAAAGTTCCTCTCCCATCCCAAAGGAGTCTGAGTTTGTTAATAGGTGCCCAAGCAATAGGGAGAGGAAGGTGCTGGGGCAGGTGTCTCTCCCTCCCCTCCTTGCAAATGCCTGGACTTGTGGGCCTGTGGAATGTGGAGGTGGGGTGGACGGAAGGAGAGGTAGAGAGCCTCTATCCAAGGCCTCAGGTTCACAAAGGGCCTTAAATTAGACTTCAGATGTTATCTCCAGATGAGGCTATGCATAGAGCCATTGTCTATTGTGTTTGAGTGTTAATACGTTAAATGTAAATACTGAAAATATGCTGCTGCTGCTGCTAAGTCGCTTCAGTCGTGTCTGACTCTCTGCGACCCTATAGAAGGCAGCCCACCAGGCTCCGCCGACCCTTGGATTCTCCATGCAAGAACACTGGAGTGGGTTGCCATTTCCTGCCAAAGCATCAAAGTGAAAATTGAAAAGTGAAAGTAAAGTCGCCCAGTCGCGTCTGACTCGTAGGGACCCCATGGACTGCAGCCTACCAGGCTCCTCCGTCCATGGGATTTTCCAGGCAAGAGTACTGGAGTGGGGTGCCATTGCCTTCTCCTGAAAATATGCTACAGCTTTTCAATCCAGATTGGCATCTCATTTTTTTAAATTCTAGGACCCTCAAAAACAGAAGAAGTCTTCTCCAGCGCCTCTGAGGGGGCCTTGCAGTCTTCTTTCCAAGAGAAAGAAAGCGGGGAGGGAGTGGGGAGCTGGAGGGATGCCGGCAGACAAAAGAGCAGTAATAGGGCCGACAGGTGTGGGGACCAGAGCCTCGTCCTTTCAGCTGAAGCTCCCGGGGTTCCAAATCCCAGCTTCTCTGAAAGTGTCCGCAGGGCCCACTTCTACTCCACTCAGCAGGAGTGAGCCAGAGTGAGGGCAGAGGACAGGCCTAGACTGACAGAGGAGCGTCAGAGGCGGCACAACCCGCCAGCTCGCCCGCCCCAAGCTCCGGAACCAGCCGCCCAGGCCTCACGTTCCCTCGCCCGGGCTGGAATCTGTGTCAGCTCCAGAGCCCCGGCCGGCCATCCCTGCGGAGGCCACGCCAAGTGAGCAGACAGGCTCCGCGGAGGACCCCAGAAAGGCGGAGGGAGTGTGCTCCCTACCAAAGGAAAGACAGATGTGGGGCTGATGAAAGGGAAGCCGAGAGGCGCGGGGCAGGCGGGCGAGAGCGGGGGCGTGACGGGGAGACGAAAGCTCCGGGGAGGGAGGGAACCAGACCACCTGGAGGTCCGCCGCGACGTCGGGCTGGAGCAGGAGGGGGAGAGGAGCCGGGAGGGGGCGCGCAATTTAGCCCGAGGGTCCTGAGCTGAAACCCAACACCCGCCTTTGGAGGGATCGTCCCCCTTTCTCCTCCGCCCCTTCCCTTCCCCTCCCTTTTCCCCTCCCTCCTTTCTCTTAATCCCCGGGACTGAGCCCCGCGCCGGAGCCGAGAGGGCGCGAGGGGAGGAGAAAGGAGCTGCACCCAGGGGGCGCCGGGAGCCTGGGAAGGGGAGGGAAGGGGAGCCGCGAGCGACCCCCGGACCCTCTCCAGCCCTCTCCGTGGCCCCCCAACCCCACTTCCAGGCGAGTCCGCAGGACCCTGGCCGCTGCGCCTCCTTAGCCTTCTCTCTGCTCCTTCTTTTGCTTTGCGGCCTTTCTCTCCGTTCCCAGAGACACCTGGGCTGCCACGAGCCCTGGGGCGCTCAAAGGGGCCCCGCCGAGGGTGCGTGTAAGCGGGGCGGCGGGGGCCAGCGTCCTGGGCCAGGGGGCCGAGGGTGGGAGCGGGAGTACTGGCGCCGAGGGTTGGAGGGGGACGCGTGGGGAAGGCCGTCCCGCCCCCTCGAGCCCGGCCCGCGTGCGCGTAGCGAGGCGCGGTCCCGGCGCCCCCAGACCCCCAGGCGCGCTACGAGCAAGTGTGCGTGCTCGGGAGCCCGCTTTGGGGGCTTCGAGCGTTGGGGCAGAAAGCCTCCACTGGGGTGCTCCAGCTCAGCCGCCCTGCTCTCCGAGGCCTTTGGCTCCAGCCTGGCCTCCGCTGCCAAGTCGAGCGACTTTGAAGAGAGAAGAACTTCTAGATTTTCACTACCCCCGCCCCCTCCCTCGCAGCTGGGCTGCGGCAGAGCCCCCGACGCCCGGATCTCAGCCCCGGGAGCACCGCTCTCCGGCGCGGCTCCGGGTGGAGAAGGTTGGCCCCTAAACTCGCTCGTCCAGCCCGACCGCCCCGGCGGCTTCTCCCTGCCCTCGGGGCCGTCCTGAGCGGCCCGGAGAGGCGTCGAGCGCAGCCCCAGCTCCCACCTCCTCGCCCGTCCTGGCACTGGAAGGGAGCTTTGGGTCCATGCGGACCCGTGGTGCCCCCGCGGCCTAGGACAGGCAGCTCCGGGGGCCTGGCCCACCCTGCAGCCCCTGGGAGGCCGCGGGGACGGGGCAGAGCGCGCGCCCTTGGATGAGGTCCCGCAGCGACGCCCCGGCCCGCCCCGCTCCTCCTCCTGCCCGGCCAAGCTGCCTCCCATTTGGGGAGTTTTGTGGGTTTTCTTTCTCCTCCTCCAACCTCCGGGGAGGCCACGATTCAGGCGCCTCAGCCTGGGGCCGCCTCCATGGTGCGGGTCAGCCGCTGCTGAAGTCAGCGAAACCGAGCCTGGCCTGGAGCTGGCCACGAGGAAGGCCAAGGCCATGGCCATAGCCACGTCGGTGAGTCCAACCAGAGAAAGGAGGCTGACGGGCAGAGACCGCCACGGTCTGTCCTGCACTCCTGTCACTTTTATTTCTGCCTTCTCTTTGTCTCGCTCCTTCGTCCCTTGCTTCTTGAGGAGACTGTGTCCCCTTTCTGGCACGTTGGTTTCCCTTACCTCTCGCCTCTCATCCCTAACCCCTACTGGGCCTGGCCTCCCCTTCTCTCCTCCCCTTCCCATTCTCCTCTCTTTCTTTCTGGAAGCTGCCCCTGGAAGGAGGGGAGGGGGCAAGCTTGAGTCCTATTTCCTCTTCTATGGGCGGAACCGTTGGCCACTGGAGGTTGGCAGGGGGTTGTGATTGGGAGGGCAGTAAAAGGTTGGAAGGGAGCTGAAAGAATGGAGGTGGCTCCAGGAAAACCGGAGGGCAAAAGGCCCAAGGAAGCCCTGCTCTAGAGGAGGGATGGAGGAAAGGAGGGGAAATAGAGTAAAAGATGGAGATCAGGCAGGGAGCAAGGGAAAATCGAGAGAGGAGGGGAGGTGATGTCAGCCAGCCTCTGGCCACTTTCCTGGGACTGGGGACAAAGGGAGGAGACAGCTGGCATGATGGGACAGTGGGAGGAGGCCTCCCAGGGAACGTGTGGCTCACTGCCACCCCTCTTTAAGGCAGCCACTCCCTCACAAGTCAGCTGGGCCCCTGAAGAGCGAGTAGAGCTGCGGTGGACACACCCATCATCAATCAGTCTATCAGAGACTCTAGCCCAATTCCCGCAATAGCACGGCCCGGAGGTTTGATCTCATTGGACAGAATTGAAATTGAACACAAGGAGGAGCTCTTCACAGCCCCGCCCCTGCTTTCTGAGTTGTACTCCTGTAGCCTGAATCCCGGCAACTATATCCCGTTTCTACCCTTCCTAGGCCCTAGGATGCCCAGGGAAATCGAGGCTGCCACCTGCTTTCTGGACCCCTCTGAATGGGCATTCTGGGAAGGAGGACTGTGACGCTGGGAAGAGAAGCATGGCTCCTCACCTCCTCACACACCCCTTGAGGATGAGTTAGATTTTCACTCCTTCTCAGACCAAATTTCTCTTAGCTTCTCAATCTATATGATGGTGAGAAGCTAGTTCAGAGCCAGAAGCGGGGAGGTGGGGGTACTCCGACATAAAGATGCTGCCTCAAGAACCAGCTAATCATCTTTGTAGTCCCAGGAGGTAGATCTTTCTTTTTACTTGGAAGGGGAAAGTGTTGGTATTTATGCTTGTGAAACATACCGGACCCTGATAACAGCTAATCTTCTTCGAGTATTTACTGGCCCTAAACTTTGTCTTTGGTATGTCCCGGTTCTTTGATGCATTGTCTCATCCAGTACTCACAACAACTCTGAAGCTAGTACTGTTATTATCTGAAAGTGGATATTCAGCTATGGATATGGAATTCTACAAAGGAGGAACCTGAGGCTTGGCGAGGTTAAACAGACAGCCTAAAGTCACCCAACTCGAAAGCAGCAGAGCCGGGACTCAAACCTCAGGTCTGTCTGCCTTAGAAACAGTGCTCTTAACTGCCTGCCTAGATCCAAAACACCAATTTCTAATTTACAGTTAAAAAAGTGCCAAGCTAACCAGGAATTGTGTTATCTGGCTAGCATGTTTGCTTTCTGTGGCACAATTGCCTTTAGAAGCCAAAATATAATCAGAAAAGAGTTTGATGAATTTGGAATCAGGCAAGAAGTCAGTTTGTTGTTAATATCATCCAGCCATAAAGGGCTGGACAACGTCTCCACCTGAGGGAAATATCAGTCAAGAGGAACATGGACTCTCCCTGGCTGAGCAGGCCATCCTTCACCCCATGTCTGTTGGCCAGATGCAGACTACCCGATATCTTGGGCTTGAGAAGTTTCACCATGTTAGTCAATCCACATGGGTTACCTGCTCAGTACTAACTACTCAATGCCTAACTACCTGTTTTCTACCATCACCGTGTAAGCCACTAGCAAACATATAGGAAGTGGAATATATTTTGATAGTGTGAGTGGCTTAAGCCTGATTCTACCAAAGGACTTGGTGGAACCAGAGTCTAGTGATGAGTGACTGGCAAAGGGAACTTGGACATTGTGAAAACTTCCTATGAACTTAAATCATGTTTGAGCTATGGATCCTCTTTTTTTTTTTTTTTGATGTGTAGTTGATTTACAATGATGTGTTAGTTACCGCTCTACAGCAAAGTGATTCAGTTATACATATGCACATATTCCTTTTTAGTATTCTTTTCCACTATGGTTTATCATACAATATTGAATATAGTTCTCTGTGCTCTACCCTAGGACCTTGTTGTTTATCCATTCTATATACAAAAACTTATATCTGCTAACCCCAACCTCCTATTCCATCCCTCTCCCAACCCCTCCCCCTTGGCACCAGCAGTATATTCTTTTCATCCGTGATTCCGTTTCTGCTGCACAGATAGGTTCACTTGTGGCATATTTTAGATTCCATGTATAAGTGATGTCGTATGATGTTTGTCTTTCTCTTTCTGACTTCACTTAGTGTGATAATCTCTAGTTGCATCCATGTTGCTGCAGATGGCATTTATTCATTCTCTTTATGGCTGAGTAATATTCCATTGTGTATGTGTGTGCATGTGTGTGTGTGTAGTTTATGGCTGAGTAGTATTCCGTTTCATGGCTGAGTAGTATTCCATTGTAGTAGAATTCCATAGTATTCCCTTCCATTCCAATACTGAGTAGTGTTCCATGTGGATATATACACCACATCTTCATCCATGTATCTGTTAATGGACATTTAGGGTGTTTCCATGTCTTGACTATTATAAATAGTGCTGTGATGAAATTAGGGGTGCATGTATCTTTTTGAATTATAATTTTGTCTAGATATATGTCGTAGGCCCTCTTGACTTTCCTACTGTTACTATACAAGAAGAAAAAAGTAGATACTTTCTTCTTGGCCATGCCCCACAGCTCGCAGGATCTTGGGTTCCCTAACCAGGAATTGAACTCAGGCCATGGCAGTGAAAGTCTGGCATCCTAACCACTAGGCTACCAGGGAACTCCCCAAAAGTAGATCCTTATGCTTGTGGTTGTGAAAAAGAGTGAGAGTGCAGCCTCTGGAATCACACAGCCTGGAGTTCAAATCACGCTTCACCAGCTGTATGTCATTGGGCAACATACCAAGCTCTCTGTTCCAATTTCCTTTCCAAACAGGGATAATGATGGCTCCTCCCTTATCAAGCTGAGGATTAAATGAGATGAGATGATTAGTGCAAACACTTGTTCAGTGTCTAGATATATAATTTGCACTTGGTGTCTGTGATTTACCTGAGCTTATAGTGTCCAGGTGGCACTAGTGGTAAAGAACCTACCTGCTGATGCAGGGGACACAAGAGATGCAGTTTCCATCCCTGGGTCAGGAAGATCCCCTGGAGGAGGGACTGGCAACCCACTCCAGTATTCTGGCCTGGAGAATCCCATGGACAGAGGAGCCTGGAGGGCTACAGTCCATAGGGTCACAAAGACTCAGACATTACTAAAGCGACTTAGCAGGCATAGCTCTCAAGGGCTTCCCAGATGGCACCAGTGCTAAAGAACCTGCCTGCCAGTGCAGGAGACATAAGAAAAGCAGGTTTGATCCCTGGGTCAGGAAGATCCCCTAGAAGAGGGCATGGCAACCCATTCCAGTATTCTTTCCTGGAAAAGCCCATGGAAAGAGGAGACTGGCAGGCTATAGTCCATAGGGTTGCAAATAGTTGGACACAACTCAAGTGACTTAGCACACACGCACATAACTCTCAAAGGAAAAAGCTTAGATATCCCCACCAGGAAAACTGGAAACAGGCTGATAAATCTTTGCTCTTGGTTGGTCCACTAGCCCCCTCTACACACACACACACACACACACACACACGAGCGTAGATACTTTTCTCTTCTCCATGGTAACGTCAGCCTCTGATGGTAGAACCTTACTTGCTAAGACTGAGAACAAAACAACTGCTTTGGTTTCTGTTTTCTTCCCTATTATGCCAAGGCTCTGTCGGGGCTGGACTTCTCCCAGTCTCTCTCAGAATGAGGTATCTCTTCAGCTGCTTAATCTAACTTGCTTGTAGGGGATACTGACTGGGAAACAGGGAAGGTGAAGGAGATTCTATGGGAGACCTTTGCAAGATTTCCCTGTGTAATTCATTCAACATACGTTCATGGAGGACTAACTCCAGGTCAAGCCTATTGTAGGGGCTAGGAATATAACAGTCTGTTTTCTCACAGGGCTAACAAGGGAAGAAATCTAGTTTTAAAAGTAAGTAGACAAATAGTATGGGCTTCCCTTGTGGCCTAACTGGTAAAGAATCCACCTGCAATGCAGGAGACCTGGGTTTGATCCCTGGATTGGGAAGATCCCCTGGAGAAGGGAAAGGCTACCCACTCCAGTATTCTGGCCTGAGAATTCCATGGACTTTATTGTTCATGGGGTCGCTCAGACATGACTGAGCGACTTTCACTTCACTTCACTTCAGACAAACAGTATAAACTATTGTGAAGGAAGTAATAGGCGGAGACAGACACAGAAGGATGTGGGGAGAAGAGCGAGAAGGAGACATTATTTATTGGCCATGCCCTGCAGGATCTCAGTTCTCTGACCAGGGGTTGAACCTGCGTTATCTGTATTGGGAGCACGGAGTCTTAACCGCTGAACCACCAGGGGAGTCCCAGGAGGAGGAGACACTTAAGAAGAACTGAAGGGGCTTCCCTGGTGACTCAGTAGTAAAGAATCTGCCTACCAATGCAGGAGACTTGAGCTCAATCTCTGGTCTAGGAAGATATCACACACCTCAGAGCAACTATTGAGCCTGTGCGCTAGAGCCTGGGAACCTCAACTACTGAGACCATGTGCTGCAACTACTGAAGCCCATTCACATAGAGCCTGTGCTCTGCAATGAGAGGAGCCACGGCAGGGAGTCCCATGCACCACAACTAGAGAGTAGCCCCTGCTCTCCTCAACTAGAGAAAAAAACCTGTGCATCGATGAAGACCCAGCACAGTAAAAAATAAATAAAATTAAAAAGAAGAACTGAAGGATGAAAAGGTCTAATCAACAGAAGAGTCAGGGAAGGGTAAAAGAAGGGCAAAGACCCGGAGGTGGGAAAGAGCTGGCCTAGATCAAAGAATAAATAGAGAGGAAGAATGCCGGGAATGGCACTGAAGACAGGCTGGGCCCATCAGGAAGAGTTGAGTCAGGAGGTCAGATGTTCAGCTTGAGGAAACCAGGGAGCTCTGTATTTTGAGCAGGGGTAACATGACCTGATGATGTGTGTGAAGACCCCTCTTCCTGCTCCCACCTCACCCACCAGGCGCAGCTGGCCCGGGCGCTATACGACAACACAGCGGAGTCCCCGCAGGAGCTGTCCTTCCGCCGCGGGGACGTTCTGCGGGTACTGCAGAGGGAAGGCGCTGGTGGGCTGGATGGCTGGTGCCTCTGCTCTCTGCATGGCCAGCAGGGCATCGTGCCTGCCAACAGAGTGAAGCTCCTTCCGGCTGGCCCAGCACCCAAGCCTGGCCTCTCCCAGGTGCCCCCAACCCAGCCAGGCTCACCACATCCAGCCCCAGAGCACGGCAGTGAGGACCAGGAGGTGAGCACTGGAGCCCCCCAACCCCGATCCTGGACAACCAGTTCCTCTCTGCTGGTGCATGGGGGGACAGGAGGAGCCCTGAGACCCTGGCTCTGCACTGACTCTGCTGTACAAATCCTGTCTGCCAAGTCTTTCTGGGCTCTTTCTCCATTGAAACAGGGAGGGGGTTGGAAGGTGTCTAAGCTCCTCCCAGGCGCACATTATCTGATTCCCTGCTCCCCACTCCACCTGACCCACCTGCCTGTCGATCCCCCAGTTGTACGTGGTGCCACCCCCAGCTCGACCCTGTCCTACCTCAAGACCTCCAGCTGGACCCTGCCCACCCTCCCCTGACCCCATCTACAAGGTCCCCAGAGGTGGTGGGACCCAACTGGCTGGCCCTGGAGCTGCCTTGGAGGTGAGGGCTAGGGGTTCATGTGTCTGCTGGACAGGGGACAGCTGGCTCTCAGAGATGGGTTGGAGGAGTGGGGGCCCACTGCCGAGCCTGAGAGTGAGTAACTTCTTCCTCTGCAGGTCTACGACGTACCCCCCACTGCCCTCCGCGCTCCCTGCAGTGGCCCCTATGACTCCCCAGCCTCCTTTGCCCGCCCTCTGGCTCAGGTTGCCCCCCAGTCCCTTGGAGAGGATGAAGCTCCCTATGATGTGCCTCTGGCCCCGAAGTCACCATCAGACCTGGAGCCAGATCTGGAGTGGGAGGGGGGCCGGGAGCCAGGGCCCCCGCTCTACGCTGCCCCCTCCAACCTGAAACGAGCATCGGCCCTGCTCAATCTGTACGAAGCACCAGAGGAACTGCTGGCAGACGGGGAAGGCGGGGGCGCTGACGAGGGTATCTACGACGTCCCCCTGCTGGGGCCGGAGACACCCCCTTCTCCAGAGCCCCTGGGAGCTTCGGCCTCCAGTGACCCGGACACCCTGGCCCTCCTTCTGGCCAGAAGCCCCCCGCCCCCACACAGGCCCCGGCTGCCCTCAGCCGAGAGTCTGTCCCGCCGCCCTCTGCCTGCCTTGCCTGTGCTGGAGGCCCCCAGCCCTTCCCCGGCTCCTTCTCCTGCTCCGGGCCGGAAGGGCAGCATCCAGGACAGGCCCCTGCCCCCACCCCCACCGCGCCTGCCTGGCTACGGGGGCCCCAAGGTGGAGGGGGATCCAGAGGGCAGGGAGGTGGAGGACCACCCTGCAGAACACCACAATGAGTACGAGGGCATCCCGGTGGCCGAAGAGTATGATTATGTCCATCTGAAGGTGAGCTTGCCTCAGTCAGCCCCCCAGAATGCCTGCAGGAGAACGGGGCTCAAGACCCGAGGTCCCAGAGGCAGACCCTGGCTTCCTCCATTCCCTCCTTCCCCTCTGCTGACCCTGCAGCCTGGGCCACATTTGTATCAGTACTGCAACGCAACCTGGGGTCCCCAAGCTCTCTGACCTGCCACTAGGGCTCTCCCAGACCCAGAGTCGGGAGGCTGCAGATCTGATGGGAGGAGAGACCTTCAGGAGGAAGTGGGAGTGGGGAGGAGCGGAAAGACCACAGGGCCTACCTTGCCCTGCTCCCCTTCCCCTGCACTGAGGCCCTTATCCCCCGCTGCAGGGCATGGATAAAGCTCAGGAAGCCAGGCCTCCAGATAAGGCCTCCCCAGGGGATCCCGAACAGCTGGAGAGGGGGCCACCAGAGCAGCAGGTAACCCGGTGCGGTTGGTGCTAGAGAAGGGGGCAGGGGAGAAGGAGCAGGGACTTGGAAGAAGGGGTATTCTTAACTGAAGCATCAAGGGAAGTCTATTTAGGGGGGGTAAGAGTTCAATGAAACAGGACAGTTGGGGTAGAGAGGAATTAGAATCCAGAAAGGAGCTGGAACTTAGAAAAGGATATCAGGAATTCAGAAAGAGAGGAAAGAATGTGTTGGAGAGGAGTCAGGAAACCAAGCAGTCAGGGGAACAGAGTTGCTGGGCCAGGTGACTTCTGAGGCTCCTTCCAACTGTGAATTCCTGGGTTCCTAAGAGACCTGGCTCTTAATTCCAGCTCCACCACTAAGAAGCCAGGGCCTCTGAAGCCGCCAGTTAATCTCTCTGGGTCTCAGGGAAATGAGACTGTCTCCTCGACTCATGGTCTAGAATGGTCCTAATCACCATAGCTGCTGCTGCTGCTGCTGCTGCTAAGTCACATCAGTCGTGTCCGACTCTGTGCGACCCCATAGACGGCAGCCCACCAGGCTCCCCCGTCCCTGGGATTCTCCAGGCAAGAATACTGGAGTGGGTTGCCATTTCCTTCTCCAATGCATGAAAGTGAAAAGTGAAAGTGAAGTCGCTCAGTCGTGTCCGACTCTTAGCAACCCGATGGACTGCAGCCCACCAGGCTCCTCCATCCATGGGATTTTCCAGGCAAGAGTACTGGAGTGGGGTGCCATTGCCTTCTCCGAATCACCATAGCTACCATCTGTCAAGTTTGTACCAAGCACCAGGCCCTGTGCTCAGTACATTGCACCTGTCAGCACTGATCATAGGCATACTTAGCTTACAGTTTGCAATGCTGTGTTCTCAGCTCTTTCTATGTACCCTATCAACGAATCTTCACTGCAGCCTTAGGAGGCAGAAAAAACAAGAACTGCACTATCCAGTGTGGTAGCCACAGCCACATGCAGCTACTGATCCCCAAGTGTGACCAGTCTAAACTGAAATGCACTATAAATATAAAATGCACACCAGATTTTGCAGACTTAGTATGAAAAACAATTTCAATAATTTTTATACTGATTACAGTGTTGAAATTTTTCCATACATTTTTAATGTATGGAATTAGAAAATATGTACCAATTGTAACTTTTCTAACGTGGCTACTTGGAAATTTGAAATAGCATGTGTGGTTGGCATTATGTTTACATTGGACAGTGTAGTGCTAGGCTCCCCATAGATAAAGGAGATAAAGGAATGATGAAGTTCAGAGACTTGTTTTTGAGGTTGTTTGAATCCAGATTTATCAGACATCAATTCTGGGCATCTTCCTGTCACTCACTAAGAGAATCTAAATTGTCTGATAGGCAAAGGCACCATCTAAGGGGGTCGAGCTCAGGGAGAAAGGAAGGCATGAGGAACAAAGGGAGGGAAGGGGAAAGGAGATAAGAATGGAAGTGGCACTGGCCAAGCAGTCCCGCTGAACACTCTTCTCACCCTCAGGAGGCCCTGTCCCCCGGGGAGCCACTGGTTCTGCCCACTGGAGATCTACAGCTCCTGCACTTCTACGCCGGGCAGTGCCAGGGCCACTACTCAACACTGCAGGCGGCTGTGGCGGCCCTGATGTCCAGCACCCAGGCAAACCAGCCCCCACGCCTCTTTGTGCCCCACGGCAAGCGGGTGCTGGTGGCTGCTCACCGCCTGGTGTTCATTGGGGATACCCTGGGCCGCCTGGCAGCCTCTGCCCCTCTTCGAGCACAGGTCGGGGCTGTGGGCACAGCGCTGGGCCAGGCATTGCGGGCCACCGTGCTGGCCATCAAGGGGGCCGCCCTGGGCTACCCATCCAGCCCTGCAGCCCAAGAGATGGCGCAGTGCGTGGCGGACCTGGCAGGGCGGGCCCTGCAGTTCACCACTCTGCTCACCAGCCTGGCGCCCTGAGCCCCTTGTCTCCGCTCTGCCTTCACCTGCCTCCCAGAGCCGCCCCAGTCCTCAGGTGGCTGGAGGGCTCTGTTTTCGGGACTAGGAGACACTGAGGCATCCTTCCCCCTTACTGCCCTTTCCAGGCATCTCAGCCTCTCACTGAGGCCCCTCCGCCCCTACCCCACAGCTTTTTGTACGAGCCATTTTGTATAAATTATTTATATTTAATATTATTCCCTGCTTTGTCAGGGGCAGGACCTTCCTCCTCCCTCAGCCTGGGGTGGAGGTTCTTAGACTCTGCAAGGCCAACCCCCTCTGGAATCTTAACCCCACAGAGAGCCAAGTAGCTGAAACCTAGAGCCACCAGGAGCCCCTTTTTTGTCCTGTATCTTGGCTCTGGAACATCAGCGCCTCCCTGTTAGCTGAGAGCGAGGGCAAAACATTGGCAGCCCAGAGTGGGAAGGTCTGGGCGAGGCCAGAGGACTCCTCCACACAGAAGGAGGAGAGCTGGGCCTCTGACATGGTGCACCTCAATAAACCGGGCTTTCTGTTTCCCCGACTCTGCTTCCTGGGAGCCTGGGGGGCAGGCCTTGGCCAAACTGTTGGGACACACACTGTGGGCAGTCTGCCTTTAGGGTTTGTGGGGGAATTCTGCTGTTCCTCCAACTATTCATCTAGCAGGTTCTCAGCTCCCATGATGTGCCAGGCACAGTTCTGAAGGTCCATTGTGGGGGTGGGCTGGATATAAACAAGTCAGCTGAAACAAGTAAATAAAAAAAAAAAGGAACCTGCCACAGAGTTGATAGTTGCTGGTAATGGAAATGAACAGGGTGATATGTGACTAAGTAGATGGGGAGAGGCCATTGGAGACTTTAGACAGGATTGCTGGGGAGGTGGTATCTGTGCTGAGACCCCGAGGATGAGAGAACCAAGAACAGTCTGCAACGTAGCATTCTGGGAAGGCAGGCCCTGATTCCTGACCAAGGCCTCTCCTCCAAGACCGATGTCAGATGATGTCATTAGAGAGGTGTACACATGGGGAGGGAGGCCATGAGAGAGCCTTGATGGTGCCCTGCTGAAGAGGTCACCCCAGCTGTGACCCACTGGAGAGAACTGGCCTGGGTGCCCTCTCCCTTAGGTTAACACAAGAGGGTCTAGTTCCTTAAACTCCCCTTCCCGACTCCCTGCTGACTGTCCTTCCGGACACACCACCTTCTGGAGGAGCTGAGGGGCCAATAAATTCAATGTGTTGGAAGTCCATAGTGCACAGGGCCTTGGTGAAATTGATGGGCCACGGCCTAGACAGGGGATCACTTCAGTCGTTCACCACAAGGGGAGAAGTCCAAGCCACAGATTCATTGCTTAAGCTCTGCTTTCCCAAGATTCTACCCTGGCACAGTGACTGGACTGGAGGTACCCCAAAATTCAATCACAATCAGTCCTTGGCCCCTCTCCCCATGCATTTGCCTCCTCCATTTGAGGTTCTTTGTTCTCATTCACTCTCAAACGAAACTCATTTCCAGAGGCTGGGGCCACCAAAATTCACCCCTAGGTGCTGGCATTAAAGACATAACGGAGGCCATCCTCCACCACCTTCCAGAAAGAATTTCAAGAAATCAGCCTGGAATTAGAGTCGGAGGTCTCAATGCAAGTTTCCGTGTACCTGTGTCTGCAGGTAAATCCCATAAGATCCTCAGAGTCCTAGTTTCCTCTCTAATATGAGAAGGAACATAATGATCTCACAGGGCTCTTGTGAGGCCCTAGCAAGATAATGCATGTGAACAGCCCAGCAAGGCAGAAAGTTACATGGACTACAATTCCAGGACAGACACGAGGACACTAACAAATAAATCCCCAAGGAATGCTGCCTGTAACAGCACCAAAGTAAATCCTGAAGAGATGCTGAAATGGGTTGGGGTGGGCGGGAGGCTGTTTATTGCATTAGAAGTCTTTCCCATATCTGGAAAATTTCTGAACAGAGGGGACATACTAGAAGTGTGGTTCAGTGGAGACTAGATGGAATGGATTTTCTGGTTGAGATTGACAGGACATCCTTTTCAACACTTACCTGGAATTAGAGAATAAAAAACCTATTAGAAATCAAATCTCAAAAAAAAAAAAAAAGGGAAATCAAATCTCTTTGAGAAGTGCATTTCTAACTTCAATGTAAGTATACCTGGGGATCTGGTTTAAAAATGCAAATTATCTGAAACCAGCCTTCGATTCTACATTTCCAGCAAGTTTCCAGGTGCTGTGGATGTTCCTGGTCTGTAAATCATACTTTGAGTAGCAATTCAAGGAGCTAGGGGAGATTTCTCTGAGGCAAATATGCTTGAACTGACAGATGAAGGAGAACTTGACTAAAGTAGAGGAGACTTCTAGGCATAAAGACCAGTTTATTCAAGGGCCCTGTAGCACTGGAAAAACTGAAAGAATGTCAGTGTGACTAATGTGCAGAATTTGGAGAAAGAGAGAGCTGCAGAGATTATGGGATCACTATGAGGTCTAGAATATTGCATTTACCTTGACGGTGAGAAGACGTTGATGGTTGTTAAATAGGAAAGGAACACAAACATCTGCATTTTGAAAAGATCAGTCCATCTGCATTATGAACAGATGGGGGAAAGGATTGGAAACAAAGCAGATATAGAGCACCGGTTAAGAACTGGGAGGCTAAAGCAGTCTGCGCAACAGGTAGCTTGACTAGTGGTGCCAGAGATAGATGGAAAGAAGCAGAATATCTGAGAACTACACAGGAAATCAAAGGGATAGGATTTTGTAGAGGATTTGACATGGGGTGGAGAGCGGGAGTAAGGAAGAGGGCACTTTAAGGGCTGTCACCTGAGCATCTGGCCACAATTGGATGGTGAAAGTGCCATTCAGCGAGGAAAGAAGAGCTAGAAGACAACCAAGTTGGGGGGACAGGGGAGATATGACCTTGAGTTTGGTCTTGGACGTATTGACTTTGAGATCCTTGTGAGTCTTCCAGGGTAAGAAACCAAAGAGGTGGCTTCAAGGGTCAGAAGAGAGGTGGGAACTGGAGATGTAAATCTGGAAATCAGGTTTATATTGGCTCATATTATTTATACTGAGTTTGATGGAAGCTGCGGGCATAGGTGAGATTCTGAGGCGAGAGAACAGTGTGAGATGAGAGGAGGACCTAGAATCAAGTCTCTGAAGATCACAGGTGCTGACTGATGAGGAGGAGAATGAGTCTGTGGTAGAAAAAAAGAGTAGCAAGAGAAAGAAAATCAGGAGAGTGTGGGACCTGGCAGCCAGGGAAGAAAGAGTTTAGATGAAGGGGTAGCCAACAATGCCAAATGCTGTTGAGAAATGATGGAAACCCAGCCAGGATGCGGGTTGTGAAATCAGAGAAGTGGTCTTGTAGAGGACTAAAGCCAAGGCTGAGACAGTGCCCAATGCAGTCCACCATATGCATGCCCTGTAGCATCCTTTCCAGTATACCTGTCTGTCTCCTCCATAAGCCACTCTGAGGTCGGTCTTGTCCATCCTGTTATCCCCAAAGCCCAGCACAAGGCCAGAATATAGCAGACACTTAATAAATTGTACTGATCAGTGATGGATGGATGGATGGATGAGGAGGAAGAATTGGAAGCAAAAGAGGAATCGCTGGCACCTGCTTGGGATGTACTATCCTTTAGTTATTCCCTTTATACCGCAATGGCCCGCAGACCCAGGGAACAGAGACAGAGCCCCATCTTCTCCCTCCCCTGGGTCCCGGCCCCCCTTCCTCTCTCTGACGAAGAGTCTGGACCGAAGGTTCTGCTGACGTTGGAAGGGGAGGAGAGTCTGGAGGAAGGGGAGGGGAAAGCGGCGCAGAGATCGCAGAGACGGAGGAGGCGCCCGCGGCTGCAGAGCTGCAGAGCGGGGTCTCTCGGCTTCTGTGTCCGGGCAACGGGCGCGCCACTGGGCCAGAGGACAGCGCATCCTTTCCGTGCGGGCCGCCTGGGCCCCTGCGGTCGGCAAACTGGCTCCCCGGGTAGCCACTGGGACCCCCGAGCCCAATGGCGGGGGCGGCAGCAAGATCGACAGCACTGTAGAGATCACCCCCAGCCCCAACGGAGTAAGTGCCCGCGCCCTGGGGGCTAGGCCATCATCTCCCCGCACCCCGCGACGAGCGCCTGGCATTTTCCTCCCGCGCAGCCCCCGCGGCAGACCGCCTTCCTCCCTCTGGCGCCCGCCCTCTTCCCTTACCCTGCGGTTTTCTCCGCTTCACCCTTCTCCTGCCACCCCTCCACCCCCCACTCCCACCCCCAGCAGGTCGGGACCCTTGGAGATGCGGTGCCCACGCAGCAGCTGCAGGGTGAGCGGGAGCGCGAACGCGAGCGGGAGGGGGAGGGCCACGCGGGCGGCGACGGGATGGGCAGCAGCCTGTCGCTGGCCGTGCCCCCCGGCCCCCTCAGCTTCGAGGCGCTGCTCGCCCAGGTGGGGGCGCTGGGCGGCGGCCAGCAGCTGCAGCTCGGCCTCTGCTGCCTGCCCGTGCTCTTCGTGGCGCTGGGCCTGGCCTCCGACCCCATCTTCACGCTGGCACCCCCGCTGCATTGCCACTACGGGGCCTTCCCCCCCAACGCCTCCGGCTGGGAGCAGCCCCCCAACGCCAGCGGCGTCAGCGTGGCCAGCGCGGCCCTAGCCGCCAGCGCCGCCAGCCGCCTCGCCACTAGTACGGACCCCTCGTGCAGCGGCTTCGCTCCGCCGGACTTCAACCACTGTCTCAAGGACTGGGACTATAACGGCCTTCCGGTGCTCACCACCAACGCCATCGGCCAGGTGAGGCGGCCCGTGGGCCGCGGGTCTGGGGGCGGGCCGAGAGCCTCCAGCGAGGGGTCTCACACCCGCTCCTCCCTCTCACATCCCCAGTGGGATCTGGTGTGTGACCTGGGCTGGCAGGTGATCCTGGAGCAGATCCTCTTCATCTTGGGCTTTGCCTCCGGCTACCTGTTCCTGGGCTACCCAGCAGACAGGTGAGGGCTCAGCAAGTAGAGAGGAGGGCTTGCTAGGGAGGCTGGCCCAGGCAGCTAGCCTTCGCAAGAGGCTGAAGAGGCTTTGCTCAACTCTGCAGTGTCCTCTGGATTTCTTCTATTCATTGACAGGCGGCCTCACCACTGTCTCAACTTCACTCCCCACCAAGAAATACTCTTACCATACTTCTTCCATAGAGAATAACTCTCCCCCCACTGCCAGTCCCACACCCATGAATCAGTGGCCCCATTCCTACTCACCAAAACCCCTCAGTCCACAGAAGTCCTAACTCCTCTATTGTCCTATTACCACCAAGCTCCTCACTTGCCATCTTCATAGATTAATCCCTGTTAACAGTACTGTCTCCCTGGACTGTTAGCTCTGTCTCAGTGGCCTCATTCCTAAAATCATTATGTTAATTTCTAAATATCAACAGCCCCATTCTCACTGGCCAGTAGTTCAACTCTTCAAACAAATGACTAACCTCTTGGGGGGGGTCCATAGTTTAACCCCCATGGATCAGTGACCACAATAGCACCCCTCACCCCAGGCTAATAGTCCCATCCTCATGGATCATTAGTGCTCTCAGATCCTTTCAGATCAAAAGCCTCATTTCCAGGAATCAGTGGCTTCATCTCAAAGATCTACAAACCCATCCCCATCAACCAGCAGCTCTTCCCAGGGGTCAAAACTCCATCTCTGATCCTCGACACCATCACCGCTGACCAAGTGCTCCATCCTTGGGGATTATTAGACATCTCCACTGGTCTACAGTCCCATCCAAATGGCTTTATAGTTCAACTCCCATGGCTCAAAGGCAACCCACCATTCAATAATCCAGTTCCCTAAAAACAATACCTATCCTCACTGCCCAATAGTCATACACCCCTGTGGGTAAATGATCCTAAACCCATAGGTCAATAGCCCATCCTCATGCCTTAGTGACCTCATACCCCAAGACCAGTAGCATCATTCCTCTGTAATAATAGCCTCATACCCAAAGACCTAAATTCAGCCTCCTAAATTCAGTAGCCTTAGCCAATAAGCTCAACCCCATGGAAAATGGTCTCACCCTACTGGGTCAGTAGTTTCACTCTCAGGCATCAGTGTCCCCTTCCCAATGACCAGTGACCCCAGTCTACATCCATATTACACCAGTGCTCTTATCTCTAAAAATCAGTAGCCTCGCTTCCAAGGATCAGTAACCGTGTCCCCACTGACTCACAGTCTGTGACCATCACCACTGACCAATAGTCTCTCATATTCTCTGCTTTGTGACCCCATGCTTACCGATTATCCGTATGGATTAATAGATTCACCCCTACTGGCCAATAGTCCCATCCATCTTGACTGAAATTCCTACCCCAGGAATTAATAGCTACATCCCCAAAGATCAACTGTCCAATCTTCAGAGGTTAGTGATCAGCCCCACTGATTAATAGTCCTGTCTCATGGATTAAGAGCTCCACTCTCATGGATCAATGGCTCCATCTTCTGGTCAGTGACCCCATCCCACTGACCACCCCTATGGGTTAGTAGACCCATGCCCCAATCCCATGGAAAAATGGCTTCATCCCCCCAAATCAACTACTCAGTTCCCAAAGGTCAAGAGCTCCATTTTCACTGACCAATACTATCCCCATGGACAAGTGGCCAATGGCCCACCTCCTTAGATCAGTAGTTCCAACCCTGTATGTCAACAAGCCCATCTCCTCTGATCAGTCTGAGCAAGACAAGCTCCATCCCCACTGACCAATCTCTCTATTGCCAAGGTCTCAGGGATCCAATTCCCCTAAGCAATATCGCATCCCCACTGATGGCTGGTCTCACTTCCATGAAGAAATGCCTTCATCTCTGACCTATAGCCCTGAGAGTCAGTGGTCACAGCCCCCACAGAACAACAGCCACGCCCCAGTGCCCTGTAGCCAGGGTCCCCATCCTTCCCCGTCTCCTGTAGCCTTAGTCCAATCCTCGTTTCCCCGGGCCTCATCCTCGTATCTCCATCTCTAAAGTGGGCAGCTGGACCCCACCCAGCCACTCCTCCCTCAGGAAGTCTGGGTGACCAGGGGCTCTCCCTGCTCTCCAGGTTTGGCCGACGCGGGATTGTGCTGCTGACTCTGGGACTGGTGGGCCCCTGTGGAGTGGGAGGTGCTGCTGCAGGCTCCTCCACAGGTGTCATGGCCCTCCGATTCCTCCTGGGCTTCCTGCTTGCTGGCGTTGACCTTGGTGTCTACCTGATGCGTGAGTGGCACCCTTCCAGAGCTCCTTCCCTAGGGGCTCATGCCTGCCTGTCTGGATCCCCAGGTCATTGCCACTGCTCCCTAGGGCCCCTCGGTCCCTTTTTCAGCTGTCTGGAATCTCGGCTGTCTCTCTGGCCAGGCCTTTAAAGGATCCAGCGGTCTTGCTTCTCACACGCCCCCTCTCCTTCCATGATCTTTAAAGCTTTCCCTGCCCTGGACTTACTGCTGTCAGGGAATGAGCCTTATTTTAAAAATGAAATAGTAGCTGTATGACCTTGAACAAGGGTTCATGTGAAGGTCAAATAAGAGGTCTGATGTGAAAGGGCCCATAAACTGGGGATGCTGAGCCCCCGCAGGAACTCTGAGCCTCAAGCCCTCCCAAGTGTGAGCAGGAGAGAGGAGAGGACCAAACAGCCTCTCCACTCTGCCTTAGAGCATAGTCTGTGGGAGGGAGTGGCTGCAGCCTCCGCTCAGGGTCTGACCTTGCTTTCTGTCCTCCTCCCTCCCCTCCCCTCTTCTCTTCCACGCCTCCTTCCTCCCCGGCCTCTCCTCCCTGTCCCTGCTGTATCTCCAGGGCTGGAGCTGTGCGACCCAACCCAGAGGCTTCGGGTGGCCCTGGCGGGGGAGTTGGTGGGGGTAGGGGGGCACTTCCTGTTCCTGGGCCTGGCCCTTGTCTCTAAGGACTGGCGATTTCTTCAGCGAATGATCACCGCTCCCTGCATCCTCTTCCTGTTTTATGGGTCAGTATCACCCTCCACCTGTTGTCTGGCCATTCCCATCTCTACCTCCTACCTGTAGCTCTAGACTGCAGACCCCTCCTCTTCTCCACTGCCCCTCGTCCAGGCCTGCTCCAGCCCCAGCCCCTCAAGAGGTGGGAGTTTTCCATCCTGGGTCAGTAGACAGAAAGCCTCACAGTGCACCCCTTCCCTCCTCCCCCAGCTGGCCGGGTCTGTTTCTGGAGTCCGCGCGGTGGCTGATAGTGAAGCGACAGATTGAGGAGGCCCAGTCTGTGCTGAGGATCCTGGCTGAGCGGAACCGGCCCCATGGGCAGATGCTGGGAGAGGAGGCCCAGGAGGCCCTGCAGGGTAAGAGGCGGGGGCCCCACCCATGTAGGAGGACCCTGGGTGCTCAGCTGTTCCTTCTAACAGCTCCTCTCTCTCTCCCAAGACCTGGAGAACACCTGCCCTGTCCCTGCAACATCCTCCTTTTCCTTCGCTTCCCTCCTCAACTACCGCAACATCTGGAAAAATCTGCTTATCCTGGGCTTCACCACGTGAGCCTGGGTGTCGGGGCCAAGGGCCAGGCTGGTAGCTAGGATGGGGGCTGGCTGGGTGGGGAAGGCCTAAGGACCCCTGCAGAGGGCAGCCAGGGTGGTGAAAGGCTGCAGGTAACAATGCAGACACCACAGATGCTGTCCTCTACCTCTCGCCCTGTCTCACAGCTTTATTGCCCACGCCATTCGCCACTGCTACCAGCCTGTGGGAGGAGGAGGGAGCCCATCGGACTTCTACCTGTGTTCCCTGCTGGCCAGCGGCACAGCGGCCCTGGCCTGCGTCTTCCTGGGGGTCACTGTGGACCGATTTGGCCGCCGGGGCATCCTGCTTCTCTCGATGACGCTCACTGGCATTGCATCCCTGGCCCTGCTGGGCCTGTGGGATTGTAAGCACCCTCCCTTCCCCACAGTGTGGGCTCAGCCAAGGAACCCCAGCAGAGGTGCCCCACATGGACTCAGCCACTGCTTCTGGCTCAGGCTTCCCAGGACCAGACCAGATCCTGTCCAGATCTTTTACAACCTTCCCCCTGGCCGCACACTCCAGTCTGTTCTCCCAACTGATCATGAATGCCCAGGCACACCTGGCTAGGGATCAGAAGGGGTGATGGCAGAGACAAGGCCAAGCTTGATCTGCTGCCTCCACTCACACGCCCCGTCTTGTCCCTCCAGATCTGAACGAGGCCGCCATCACCACCTTCTCTGTCCTTGGGCTCTTCTCCTCCCAAGCTGCCGGCATCCTTAGCACCCTCCTTGCTGCCGAAATCATCCCAACCACAGTCCGGTGAGAGCAGGCGTGCTGCCAGGGCGTCCTCCCAGCCTCTGTCTGAGGACAGGGCCTGAGGGATGCAGGAGGAGCGGCCGCTGGGGAAGGGTGGGGATGAGGCCCACAGCCGCAGGCTCAGTGCCTTGTCGTCTCTCCCAGGGGCCGAGGCCTGGGCCTCATCATGGCGCTGGGGGCGCTCGGCGGGCTGAGTGGCCCAGCCCAGCGCCTCCACATGGGCCATGGGGCCTTCCTGCAGCACGTGGTCCTGGCGGCCTGTGCCCTCCTCTGCATCCTCAGCATCATGCTTCTGCCGGAGACCAAGCGCAAGCTCCTGCCGGAGGTGCTCCGGGATGGGGAGCTGTGCCGCCGGCCTTCCCTGCTGCGGCAGCCCCCCCCCAACCGCTGTGACCACGTCCCGCTGCTTGCCACCCCCAACCCCGCCCTCTGAGCGACCTCTGAGCACCCTGGCAGGAGGCTGGCCCATACCGAAAAGTGGCACAAGGCCCTGGCAAGGAGAGCGGGAGGACTGAGTGAGCTCGGCAGGGCTGCCCGCGAGGCTCAGAGGCACCTCGGGCCAGACATGAAGGAGCGCTCAGAGGGCTGCCCTCAACCCATCTCCTCCCCACTGCTGCTTGGTGTTCACTTCCTTGGCTAGAGTCAGGGGGCAGGGAGAGAGCTCCACACTGTACCACCAGGTCTGGGCTCCATCCTGTGCCCAACCACATCCTCCCAGACCTCATTCTTTCTTGCTCTATCATTCTGTTTCAATAAAGACATTTTGAATAAATGAGCCTACCATAGCCTGGACTTCCCTCCCTTCTGTTGTCCTCCTGACTGTCTCTTGGGGAAAGGTGGAATCCAAACCATTAACCATCTCCTTCTCCTTCCCTGTGCCCTGCTCCCACCTCCATGTTAACTTACAGACAATTAACCACCCCTTACTGATGGCTTGCTCTGCTGCTAGGACTGGGCTAGGCACTTCACAAACTTCATGTAATCATTTAATCCTCGCAACCTTGCAAGGTAGGTGTCTGGATCTATTAAAGTTTTTGTTGTTGTTGTTGTTGTTGCAGGCAGTAATAACTGACTGACTCCAGTGAACTTAGAGCAACAAAGGGAATTTATTAGAGGGATTTGGTGGGGCAGGCTGTGGTTCTACCCTATGGGGAAGCTCATGGGGTAGAAGGAAAAGCGGAACTAGTTATAAAAGGCCAAGAACCAGAAAGGGCAAGAGAGTCAATGACTGGCTAGCTTGCCTATCACAACCACCCCCACCCCCATTACTGACAACTGCAGAGGGGGAAGCAGTACCTGCCTGAGTGCTGCTAGCAGAAGACTGGATGTTGTACAGGTGAAAAAATGGATGCCCACCACAGTATTCCTTTTCTTTTACAGATGACAAAACTGACACTCAGTAACTTGCCCAACATTACAAAGTTAAGGAGTGATAGCTGGGGTGTAACTGGATCCTGGAGCTGGTGCTCTCTATTGACGCACACTGTGGCCACCTTCCCAATCCTTCCAATCTCTGTACACCACCCTGGGAATCGAGGAGTGAGTCTCTAGCCCCCGCCCCTGCCCCGGGAGGGGGCAGTAGGAGAATGGGTCTTCACCTCAGTGCTAGGGCCTGCCTCTAACTAACCCTGGCCTGGCTTTGGGCCAATTTCTCAACCTCCAGCCCCCTTCAAGGGCTGCTATGAGGATTAAACAAGATAATGTATGTGCCTCAAATTTTCCCACTAGATGGTAAGTTCCTTGAGGAAAGGAACTTTGTCTTACTCAACTTTGAAACACCAAAGCCTGATCCATGATAGGTGTTCAAACAGTTGTATTTGTTCATTCTTTTGGCAAATCTTTCCTGTGCCAGATTTACAGACCAGTACTATCCTGGATATTAGGATTTCAAGGAGCTTGAAATCCACCTAACACTGGGAATATTAATGAGGAGGAAGACAACAGTGGTTGGAGCATCAAAAGGCTGCCTATTGAAGTGGAACTCAGAGAGGCAGGAAGACCTCAGGCAAAGACCCAGGAGACAGGTACATTGTTCTCAATTCAAAGGCCATAAAGCAGGGGGCTTCCCTGGTGGCTCAGTGGGAAAGAACCCACCTGCCAATGCAGGAGACGTGGTTTCAACCCCTGGGTTGGGACAATCCCCTGGAAAGGCAATGTCAACCCATTCCAGTATTTTTGCCTGGGAAATCCCATGAAGAGAGGAGCCTGGGCTACAGTCCATGGGGTCACAAAGAGTCAGACACAACTGAGTGACTAAAGAACACGGAGAGCAGAGGCCTCAAGGGAGGAAAGGCTGAGACGGCCCTAGAGGAGGAATTCTTGGGAAAAGCAAGCCTGGAGGCCAGCCTCTTCCACATAAGGGAGGCCAGTATCCACAGGTTCCTGCAGTTCCTATCTCCTTTCCCTCTGCCAATCCATGTCCCAGGCCCGGAGCTCTGGAACTAAGCCTCACTTCTGAGTTCTCAGTCACTGGAGAACTCATGGGAATCCTTCTCATTTAATCTTCAGTCCCCTGAAATAGGTGTTAGTAGTTTTAGCCTATTTAGCTACTGAGGGAATGGAAATGAGAGAAATGGAAGGAACTGCTGTGAAAGGCAGAGCCAGGACTTAAACCCAGGCCTTCCGACTGTTCTTTCTACTACCAGAGTTCCCACACAGCTAGACATTCTGCATCATATATTCTGCCCAACAGTGTCTGCGCCATCTGAACTGACTCCAATGTTGACTTTTTTTTTTGGCTGTACCGCATGGCATGCAGGGTCTTCATTCCCTGACTGGCTATATCAAACCCGCACCCTCTGCAATGGTAGCGCAGAGTCTTAGCCACTGGACTGCCAGGGAAGTCCCAATATTGACTTTTTAGCTCTGAGTGGTCAATGATAACACAAGAAAGCATACTCATCGCTGCCTCCAGAGATTCTGCGAGAACCAACAGAATGGTAAATAAATACATTTTGGAAGATCCCATGTAAAGCCAAGGAGTTACTTATATGCTAATGACAGTCTCTAAAGCACACTGTGAGGAACAGTGTCAAAGAGGCATTTCAAAGAACACATCCTTTGCATACCGCTAGAAAAAGTTCCAAGTAAGGAAAACAAAAATACTCAGGAAGCTCGTGCAGCTCCTGTAGCAGGGTAGGTAAGAGAAAGCAAGCCTCTCCGACTTCAAGCAAAGAGGTAAAGGCAAAGAAAATGGTAGCATTCGAGAAGCATCAAGGAAGCCCAGGGAAAGATAGGATCCCTCCACCCCAAGCAAATCACGGTCTAGGTGGGAAGGAACCATGTGTGTTGCTGCAACTGGCACCTTGTCAATTGCTCTAAAATTCACCAACCACATGGTCTCCTTGGACCCTTATCAATACCCCATGAAACATGGCTATTTTCATGTTTTTCAGATGGGAAGACTGAGGTTTGGACCTCCGTCACTTTTGCAGTGACTGGTAGAGTAGTCAGATCTTGAGAAATGAGAACCTGCAATCTTCTTACTGCACAGTAAATAATTCTAAACACCATGAAAGAAAGTATTACTTATCCTGTAATATTGAGAAGGTACTCCCAGGAACCTGGAGATCATTTTCAGACAAACAAGGAAACAACTACTTTCCCTGAAAAGGTTGTACTGATGAAATATGAACTGTTTTTGGAAATGTTTTAGTTGGATTCACAACTAAAAGCCACAATGGATTATTGAGGGAGAAATTAAAAGGATATACATGTTTACATTTCTAACCTTAAAAAGTTACATAAAGTAATATGAAAGCCACTTCCATTCTTCATTCAGTCAACCTAGCCTGGCTACCTTGCAACTGATTTTTACTGATTATCCACTACTTTCTGGTGCTGCCTCAGGTCTGGGGAGCGTGGTTCTGGCCTGGAAGAGCTCAGAACTCTGGGAGATAATTACTATCCTATACAGAAAATGCAGAGAAATGGAAGAAGTGCTATAGCACCTCAAGGAGGATTGGATATATTCTATTGGAGGCAGTCAAGGAAAGCTTCTCAGATATTTGGATTGGACCTTACAGGTAAAGCTGTGAGCTTGCCAAGGACAGAAAGAAAGAAGAAACAGTGCAAAGACTAGAGACATGACAGAACATGGTACACGTGGAGACCACCACAGAATGGAGAACGTGGTGTATGTAGAGAACCATGGAATAAATGGCAGCTATGAAAACCCACAGCTAACACTGTATTCATCAGTGAAAGTCTGAAAGCTCTTCCCCCAAGATCGGGAACAAGACAAGGATGTCTGCTCTCACCACTTCTATTCAACGTTGTCCTTGAGGTTCTAGCCGGAGAAATGAGGCAAGAAAATGAGATACAGGCATACCTCAAAGATACTGTGGGCTCGGTTCCAGACCACTGCAATAAACCAAGTTACACAAATTATTTGGTTTCCAAGTGCATATAAAAGTTATGTTTATACTGTATTGTAGTCTATGAAATGTGCAATAGCATTCTATCTATAAAAGACAGTGTACATACCTTAATTAAAAAATAACTTCAGTGCTACAAAATGCTAACCATCACCTGAGGATTTAGTGAGTTGTAATCTTTCCATTGGTGGAGGGCGTGAAATATTGTGAGAACTGCCAGAATTGCCAAAATGTTACACAGAGACATAAATTAAGCAAATGCTGTCTGAAACTGGTGCCAACAGTCTCATTTAATGCAGGGTTGCCACAAACCTTCATTTAAAAAAAAAATGTAATTATCTTCACAGTGCAATAACGCAAAACCCAATAAAATATGTCTGTAAAAAGCACGAAGAATGGAAAAGACAATGTAAAACTATATTGCAGGTGACATGATCTTGTATATAGAGAATCCTAAAGAATCCACACCAAAAAAAAAAAAAAAATACACAAAACCCCTTTAAGAACTAAATAAACAAGTTCAGCAAGATTACTAAACTTGAGATTGAACTTGGAGGACACAAGATCAATATACAAAATGAACTGGGGTGTTTTGGGTTTTGGGGTGGGGGGGGTTGTCCACACCATGCAGTTTATAGGATCTTAGTTCTCCAACCAGGGATTGAACCTGGGCCCCTGGCAATGAAAGCTCAAAGTTCTAACCACTTGACCACAAAGGAATCCCCAAGATCAATTGTTATCTTTATTTTTTTAATTGCATTTTTATAATAACTGCAATGAACAGTCTGAAAATGAAATTAAGAAGAGAATTCCATTTAAAATAGCTAAACCCCAAATATTCAGGAATAAATTTAATAAAAGAAGTGCAAGACTTGTACACTGTGTTCATAGATTGGAAGACAATATTGTTAAGATGCAACCTTCTACAAATTGATCTATAGATCCTACAGAAATGCATTTCTCTGCATTTTCTGTATAGGACTGTAACTATCTCCCAGTGTTCTGAGCTCTTGCAGGCCAGGACCATGCCCCCCAGACCTGAGGCAGCACCAGACAG